TTACTTTATCCTTGACGAGTTGTCTGGAAACATCCTCTGTTCAGTATAAATTTCACACAACCTACGCCATAGAGGGAACCCCTGGTTGGACCTTAGTAATACAATAAAAATGGCAATCTTTGGGATTGTAACTTGAAATCACAATTTAGAGTAGCTATTCTGAATTAAAATAGCATCTGTAAATTATTCAGCATCACATAACTAGGCTCTTAATGCTAATTATGCATCAATGCATAATTAGCGTACTGCTGTTTTAGCTCATAGAGGTGGAGAAAGTTTTGCCAATTTTATTTTTAGGATTAGAGTGTGGATCCCCTGCAAAGTGTTAGAAGATGAACCCTTGGGTGAAGTATAAGAATGAAGTTGCAGAGATTTTGAACACAAAAAAAGGCACAGGTGAGCCTAAAAGTGATAAAGTACTTATGCTAATGTTTGTCTTGGTCACTCTGAACCGTTTAGTTTAATCATTTGTAAAACCTGTTGTAAAACATGTCACTTATATGCAGAATGAATGAGATTACCTTGCGCGTATCAAACATCCTGGTATAGACATGCAAATGGTGAGGAATGTTTTCTATAATTGCCCCTCTGCAGCATCCGTCCCTCCTACTCCAGGGTCATTAGGGACGGAGAGAGCTCCATTCTGATAAATGTCATTATACCTGAAGTGGGCGAAAGTTGTTATTTTTGCTTTTAATGTCAAGAACACCGTTGTCTCTACATTTTCTCCACAGCAAGCGTTTAGGTCTTTGTGCCTGTTTGCATAATTTGGACGGTTGTTCACAATGGTCCAATTACCATGATTATACATGTTTCTATGGTAACTCACAAGTCCATGTTTGATTCATTATGTTTTACCTCCCGGGCGGTTTTAATTGTTTTGATGCAAGATAAGAAATGCATGTTGGCATTTACAACAACTCACAATTGGCTTTTAACAGCTCAATTTCAGTTTCCCATTGTGTCAGCCGCAGCCTTGTTCAGTATATACTGAAACACCCACACACCTGTCGGGTAACCAGGGGATGATTATTCCAGCAGAAGGGAGGATATAAAGTTCACCTGATGTATCGTAGTCTTCATTTCAAAACAGTTTGATACTGAAAATATATCACCAATCTAATTAGTAGAGATATCCCTTTTATTATGCTTGTGTCACCGCGCCTTAATACCCTCTGAAATAATTATCTATGAGAAATTAAACCAGGTTTCCAATTACCGCATTTCACTTAAATGGTCAAATTGAAAATATATATCACATTCCACACAATAATTGCCTGTGTTGCTTAACTTTCTGCAAAAGTAATCACACCATGTGACTCCCAGGCGAGATGTTGTCTGCACAGGACTTTGTGTTCACGGATTGTGCTCCCTGCGCGTCCACAGAGGACGGCGCACAGAGCCACACATCAGGTCGCAAGCCGTCACGGTGGATGGAGTTTGGACCTCGTGGACACATCACTCGCTGTTACAGAGCTATCGATCGTTTAATTACGCTATGTGGATCAAATTTCCCATGATAGATGGAAGAATAGAAACATTAGAGGAGTAAGACAAAAAAAACATCTACGGATGATGGTGTGTGACCATGAAAGTCACTGACTTATCCCCAAATTGGCAGATGTGTATTCATTTTAATGTTGCATCAAATTAGAGAAAATAACCACATGTTTCAATATTTGGCAACTTGTCAGACTTCTGGGGGTTCTGCATGATGTTAACGTGGTACACCAGGTGCATGCACAAGAAACCAGTGAAATAATATAAATTAGTACTACTTATTTCGTGCTTTAGTAAAAACAGTCTGTGTTTATCATCAGTAAATTTATATTATGATCATAAAATTCTGAAAGTGGCCACGGTGCACAAAGAAAGCTTTTGGTTGCAAAACATGCATAGCCTATATGGTTCCATCCTAAACCTCTCTGCTATCAGGACGTGCTGCGAATCCCTCACCTCGAGAAAATCTGTTGTTGTCGCTTGTGTAAAGTAAAGGTGCAGGCGTAGGAAAATCTCAGCCGTCGTTATTTATGTGCTCGGTCCCTCCCTGTCTCTCCGTCTCCCTCGGCTGTGCTATTTTCTGCTTCCCCCCCCCCTCCCCACCCATCCTCCCCCCTCTGCAGCGCTGCCCTCGCTCCTGCAGGCTCGTGCTCCCGGCTCTAATTCCGCAGCACTCGCCGGCGTCCTTCAGTTGACCTTGGCGCGCCACGATGCCCTCTGACGCCGTGCTTCCAGCCTCGCTGTGCCCCCCCCTCCCTGTGTCTTACCGACACATCATTACAGACACACAATCACACATATTGCCACCCCGCTAATCAATAGTGCATTGGGCTCCAATCCCGTGTGTGTGTGTGTGTGTGTGGGAGGAGGGAGAGGGGGGGCTCAGGGGAAAAATCATTGAATTCGCAGCGCTGCGACTGGTCAAATATGTACGTCTGTGTGTGTATGCATGCGTGTGTGTGTGTGTGTATGCATGCGTGCGCGTATGTGTGTGTGCTTACGTCTGCTTGTGTGTGTCCCCAGTTATGAGAAAGGGGCAAAGGTTAATGGCGTTATTTTGATGATGACCTGTTATTCGCTGCGCGGGCTTGAGTTTGTGTGCACGTGGTTTGCTGTGTGTGTGTGTATGCATCATGTAGGCTCCTGCACCTCCTCTGTGCAGGTTACACTTGTATCATCTCCTCCTCCCCCTCCACCTCGCTGTGCCCTGCTGCTGAACAGGGGCACTTGTGTTTCTCTATCCACCTAACTGCAGAAACAGACTCAAAGTGTTAGGCAGCTACTTGCAACACTGCATTGTTATTTCTGTCTTTGCAGGAATCAGCCTGTGCTCGTACTTGCGCAGTGTCAACTGCGTGCCTCTGTACTGAGAAAGAATCCAGGCGGAATCATTTTTTTTAAAGGTTGTGAGTGCATCAAAGCGTGCACGCCAGTAATAAAGTTTAATGCTTGTTGGACCGCAGAAAGTAACCATACTTTTACATGCCCAGGTTATGCCAAGCTTAAGATTTAACAGGGCTCGTTCACAACACCTGCATTCCTATAAAGGGCCGACCGGCGAGATAGAAGAGCGCGTGGCACTCGCCGCTATCTGTGCCGCTCCATTCTGCGCATCTGTCCCCAGGGCCGGAGTCAGAGCGGCGGGGATCAAAAGTAAAATCAGAGCAGAGAGCTGTATCCAATCGTGTCAGTCAGAGAGGTCTCTCCCTCCACTGTAGTCTGACAACGCGCAGGGCCGAGGGCGCTGATCTCTATCAACCAGGATAAATTCAGTCAAGCCTCTAAAATGCGTGGTGGTGGACCTCAAGTGATTTAAATCATTAAAATGAGGCCAGCCTGCATCATGCAGTCGGTGCACGCTGTTGGGGCATCCGGCAGCCTGTGTACAGAGAGAAGAGTGCCATCATCTGGGCCCTGTTGGTACACCCGTCTCACTGCAGAGCGCCTGTGCATGTGCGTGTGTGTGTGTGCAGAGATGCAACAGCAGACCAGTGTAGGAATTTAAACGTGTACGGGGATATATATTTATTTCGGTCCAGTGCAACATTGTTGCGTCATACAGACCGGCCTTAAATGAACAATCTGTACCTTTTTAGGTAGAGGTACGGGGAAATAACATGCATAACGGGTGTGTGCAGAACCATACGAGAAAGAGCACATCAGTGTTTGCTTTTCTTGTGAGGCCCGGTCCGAATAGACTGCATGAAAGCACGACTATCAGTGCAGAGTGTGGAACTGGTGTGTGATCTGGAGAGAAGGCACACGGGCCTGTCAGCATCTTCGGGAGAAACTAACAGCTTTTACCAGAGACAGACAACAATCACGCATCAGCCGCTCCATTTTCGCAAATAACAGAGCAGCGCCTCCTGCAATCATTATATGGGCCTGCGTGAGGGTTAGTGTGTGTGTGCCTTGTATAATTGTAGGGTTTCAGACATATGTTTGTGTTCGTTCTGGCCGTAGTAAAAAGGTTGTGAGGCGTTGAGTTACCTTTCAGCGTGCAATTGCAAAAGTAAATCGGTACAAGTCATTCCCACTTGCAGGGATGGAGTGAAATGAACCGGCTTGCATTGGTGCTCGACTAGGCTTTCTCTGGCTTTTGTGCCGGCGGTAAACAAATACCTGCATCGGTTTTATGAAATGTAAAATCATTTAAGCACTGTCTTTTTAGAATACATTTCACTATGTCTCACACACACACACACACACACATACACACACACACACACTTTACGAACGCAAGCAAAGCACGGCATGTTCCAATGCAGAGGACGCTTCACAAAGTACGTTAATCGCATCCTCGGGCTTAAAGAAATCTCGGCCTGACTCTCTACGGCTCGCAGACAGAGCAAAAGAAACAGGTGGAATTATCTGTGACACGTAGCAGGCGGCAAAAACACACAGGAGCATCTCAGTCAATCAGCAATCGTGCCTGTCCGGAGCATTAAACACACCTATTACACACGGCAAGCGGTGTCAGTGTAAACAATGCAGAACAACACACTCTGCATTTCCAGCCGTCGCGGCTCCTCTGATTGGCCGCATCGATCGTCGGAGGCATTTGATGTTATAGGAGGAGAAGCGAGGCGTATTGATTGAAGGATATTTAGAGTGAAGCCGGCTTGGTCCCCGTCAATAATTCAAAGGAAGGATTTGGGGTGAGATTCCCTTAGATGGGAGATGCAATGTACATTTTATAACCTGAGAGATTTGGGGAGCTGCAGGAGGACTGGGAGGGTGTGCGTGTGTCTGCGTGTAAAGGGGGGGAAGGCCACACCAGCAGTGAACTAATTCACTCCATCTTATGAAAAAAGACACATGTTACATGCGTGTGCTCGACATTTGTGTGCTTGTATCACGCCTAATGCACGTACGCTATTTTCCCCTCTAGAGGTTTTTTGCAAGATTCCTGAGGCAGAGTGTACAGCAAACTTCACCCAGAGGACCTGACTTTGCAGTCCAACCATTGATTTTCCTCATAACACCTTCAGCTCTGTACGTGTGATTAAGCCAGTTTTATCGGCCGGGACATTGCTGTCAAAACAGAACAGGCATAAACTTTATACCTCCTTTCATTCTATCATCTATGAAAGGCATTTAAATCAGGATCAACAAAATGGTATTATTGATTGACCGGTCGAAGCCTCTGCTTGTAGTAGTACACCTATGACATATTACCCGTCCCGATTTTACCAAGGTCGATTGCAAGTAAAACAGTTTGAACCATTGTAATCGAAGGAGACAGCTGTACTTACTGCATTCTGCAACACAATAATAAAAGACAACTATACGACATTGAAAATGAGACATGTATTTCCCCAGCAGATGTTGTGTGAATCCATTTGTTTAGAAGAAGAGCACTGTGGGAGGTGTGTGAAAACCACCAGCCAAGATTCTTTTTTTTTTTTTGGATAAATAAAAAGCCAGATATTGAGTTGTGAACTAACCTCTACTGGAACTCGTTGATTTGGCCCGTGACCATTATCATGGTGAGATTACCCAGTTTCAGAATATTAAAGAGAAATATCTTTCAAGCCGAGCTTGATCTTCGTGGCGAGGACCTGCAGTGGCTTTAGCGTCTTCACGTCAAATGTGAGGTGGATCCATGTGGTGCTTGTCACACGTGCCTGGAATTCCGACTGTAAAGCTTGCGCAGAGGTCTTCTTCCACGACGCCGTGTTTTCTCCTGGCGCTTATCTACCATTCGCTGCAATTACTATGGCAACACTTGTTGGTTTGTTTGCTGGAATGGCGCGTGAGTGCGTCTTGTATCCCGCTGACCGGCGCAGACGTGTCGGGCGGCCGTCTGGGGGAGGGACGCTGTGGTTTTCAGGCTGTGCAAACAGCAGATATGGGATTTACATGGACGAGCCGCCACCATCATCCCCGTCACCTTAAACATCATCGTCCTGAGCGTGTTTGTCTGTCTGTCCGTACGTACGTCTTTCTTTCTGTTGTTCTTCCTCTGTCTCTCTCAAAGGGAAGGACACACCACTGGGGAATTACTGCATGAGGTCATCCGTCAGTCTCCGTACTGCACCAAGTCCTAGACACCAAACAACCACACCTTGAGTGCATTGAGATGTGATAGTTGTGCCTTTATATATCTGTACGTCCTGCTCTTACTGTGCGGCATTTGATGTTGCCACTAAATCTTTCTTTGCTCTTATTATTTCTGGTTCTCCTTTTGTCTATTTTATAAAATACACGGGAGCCGAGCGATATCTTGTCCTTCTGCCGTCGCCCCTTGTCTTGCTCAGCCTCCGACGTCGGTCCTGGTCCATTTAGTGTTTGAGGAAAGGTGGTGAGTGTGCAGACCATGTCCTCTCCCGTGCTCCGTGTCACCTCCTACCTGGAATCACATCTCCATACACACTCTAATTATCCCGTTTGATGAGCGGCGTGGTTCCTCGGCGTGCTACTCTGGCTCCAGAGCCCGGCGTCTCCAGCCCTTAGCAGGTAGATGCCAGCCTCGTCTCCCACTCATCATTACTGCCGGAGATACCTGGCTAATTATAGTGCCGTGTTGCTGTAATGGAGACAGACCTGGATACCAGGGTGACTGGGAGGAGGAGACGTTGGTGAAAAAGAGAGAGGATTAACAAAGGCGGCTTATCAGATTGTGGGAGCTTGCCGTTATATACTGACTGATGAAAAAAAATGTATTTTTATCCCTGATTTATTAAGACAAAACCCTTTGGTTTTTATTTGGTTTTTAATCAATTCTTGATTATACTTTTTTCTTTCAAAACCATTTTACATTTATATTTCCAGGTAATACACAAATATATTCAGTGCCTGAATTCTCAGAAAAACAATTTGAGCTACAATGTGTGAAGTAAAACAGCCTCACAGCTCATTATTCTTTTGGATAGAAGAGGTGGCGGCAACTGGAGCTGTAGCTTTCCTTTATTCCAACCTACACAGTGCAAAGCTCCTCTGTTTAATGCCGCTTGACCTTGATCGGAAAACTGTAGGTGAGCTGCACGGCAAGCTCAACACACACACACACACACAATGTACTGTGTGTGTGCGCGTGAACATCCTCTCTGACCCAGCATGTCCACCTTCCACCATCTACATCGCTCTTTTTCCCTCCCATCGTTGTAATCGGTCTCTTCGCTGCCTCTCTGGGTTTATGCAGCATCATTCACAAACATCCCCTCCCCACACCTCCACCACCACCACCACCCCCCCCCCTCCCTCCCTCCCCCGCCGTCCTCTCGTTCTTTTGAAGTCCTTGATTCACATATATTCTCCTGAAGAGCTCCTGTATGTCAGCCGACCAGCCAGAGAGACAAAGGCAGGCCTGAGTTAATTACCTATCATTTAGAGCAGATGGCTGCAGATGATATGTAAATGCTTGTGTGCTCGAATGCATGTGTGTGTGTTCGTGTGTGTTTTTCCTGTGTGTGTGTGTGTTAATGTGATTGTAAACAGGTCTGCGTATGTATGTTTGCATAGTTACATCCCACTATCTTTTTCTTATGGGTCTCCAAAAATCTACGCATTCACAGACAGGCGTAAAGACTTTTTTAATTCATAATTCAAATTTGAAATCTGATATGGATTGTTTTATTCCACTCTGATAAAGTGTTAATAACTGAGGTCATAATTACCGGTTGTAATTTTTCTGCAATTACTCGCAGCCTCCTAGGCTCCTTGCATATTCATTCGAATTGTGTTTCACAATCTGTTTCTTCATCTTCAAATTGAAGTAGTTTGTTTACATTTGCTTTTAATTATTTGAGCTCCATATTTTGTGAGTTTGTTTTACATGTAAGGAATAAGCTATTTTTTTATTTTTTTAAAGATGAATCTGCACTAAATTCTGACACTGTGAGGCTGCAGAGCACTACGTTTTATTCAGGCCGCAGTAAGTCAATCAAGATATTTGTTCTCCAAACAGGTCCTTTTCTAAAGAAGCAAGCTCACCTGATGCCGAATGTAAGATGCCGTGTTCCTTAGCATGAAGAGAGAGACGCACGGTAAATCGATGACAAATGTGCAGTGAAACCGAGATCCACGCTACAGTGCACTCCATGACACAGGAGGAAATGTTGCCACAAAGGGAGGGCCGTGCGGCGGGGGAGAGATGAGTCCAGGGGTGGGGGAGGGGGCGAGGGAGATGGGGTTAGCATGCAGATCAATAGCACTGGTAGAGAGACCTGTGCGTTTTTGGACTTCACACTGTAAATGAAGCCTCCTCCGTGCCAGCGTCTTCTCAGCAGTGAGCGTGTGAATTACGTTCTGTATTCCAGCTATAATGCGCCCTTTTGTGCATTGTGCTGGAGCTGCTGTAACCTGTGTGAAATAATCTCTGTATGTTTATTCTCCAGCAAACACTCCCAGCAGGCGTCTGTGAATATAGTCGGCATGTGCGAATGCAATTTTGCAATACCACAGATGGAGACCAACTAATTTACTCATTATGGAGATTTAATATAAGAAAATGCTGCTGCATAGATCAGATAACCAATGCACAGCATCGCCACTCAGTTTTTCATTCAATGCGAGCTTGCTTCATGTTCAGATCCATCTGCCCTGTGCTATATTTTACTTATTTTATCCAGTTGTAAATGCCTCGCAAAATTAAATAGAAATAAATTTCCTTCTTTTTGCACCAATTTACTTTTTATGCTCAGACATGACACAATCAGTGCAGCAGGAGCAAATGGAGCCAATTCATGTGATGGTTAGCCCCCCGATTGGCTTCCTGGTGAGCAAAGCTCTTTCACAGCTTCTAGAAGTTGATGCTGCTTCAGGCCTCTTATTGCATGAGGGCAGATACAGCAATTTGGCTTCATACATTAATATTCATTTGTTAATTCAGCTCGTCTTCAGCTCACACTGTATTGCTCCATGTTCTTGAATTAGATTATATTTTTAAATTAGACTATAACAAAAATATCCGATGTGGAATTGCACAAAGCTCTTCCATTCCATGTAAAAATAATTCTTACAACTGCTTGTTTTTGCTGTGAGAGGTATCCTGTAATCTTTAAATCCTATGTGTTGAAATTAGATAATGAACATCGAATGCCGCTGAGGTTAAAATGTAAAATGTAAGCAAGCTATTTGACGCTTATTTTAAATCATTTAGAGGCATTGAAACGGCATTGTCTCAGCTCAGGAATGAAATCAGTGTGTGGCTGCTAGAAAATGGAAGCGACCGCCGCTGAGCTTCATATTGTAACACTGAGGCCCTCTCCTGGCGTCGAGAGGCTCTACACCAGCACGTCTCTCAATTTAGCCCGGAAAATACCACCAGGATCTCTGCTGTGATGTTTTCTGCTGCTATTCCTCAGGGATATTTTAGTTGAGGTTCCTTGTTTACTCCCGTTGCAGTCGGGGGAACAGTGCAGGCCGCAGCTGGAAGAAAACACCGAGGAAGCACTGGGATGCGCCAAGCCATCTTCTGCAGTCAGCAGCAGCATATGTTAATAAATAAATCTTTAAATTATAGTGGCCTCATTGGGACAATACCATTGTTCCAAGGTGCTTGGGTTTGCTTATCTTCTTGTGTTAACCACCAGGGCTTTTTTGTTTCTTGTTCTTTGTGGTAGTCTGACACATTCAAGACTGACCGACACACGCTTACTCATCTTCACACGCGTTTTCTCCAGCACACGCACACAGTATCCCTCTCATCCCTGCAGAGGAAAGTGTGTGCGCGCCTTTGATCTGGTCGCGCTCGTGGTACACATATCTCTCCTGGAGCAGAGAACTACCACATATACTCTCTGTGTCCAGATACGCTTGTCATGCATTGGGCAGGCTCAGATCCGAGGGAATCAAAGGTGTGGGTGATGCCTCCAGAACCTGCATTAATATGCATGAGAGCGGGAGCTGCCCTGTGATGTAATTGCAGGAGCGGTGAAGGTCAGTGCCTGAGCACAATATCAAAGCGCACATGTACACACAGCACTTAGGTTTTCTTTATGGTGATCTCCATGCATTTTGAAGATGGAAGAAGGATGACTTTGCTGATAGGGGTGTGAAAACAGATGAAAATCTGTGAATTTTGTTTTGCAAAACTCTCACATTACAATGGCGGGCTCTCGTGTTCCCTGCTTGGACACACATCACAGTGAGCCTTTCATCCAGGGAGTAAATCTGTTTACAAGCCTCCCACCCACCCATGTGGTCCTATTCTCAAGGCCCAGTTGGTTGCAAGTATAATGGAGCTTCCTTTTATTCATGTTCCAGCTCTGGCCCTGATCTGGCCTCAAGGGCGCCACTGTATTCAAAGCCAAGCGTCCACTTGTTTAATAGGAATCACTGAGAAATAAGTGTTTGTTCAATATAGGTCCCTTGCTGCATTATTAAATGTATAATATGACTTATAAGAGGCATGGTTTTCTTTGAAGTGAGTGATTTATCCGGTGGTGAATTGATGTTGTTTCACTTATTCTCTGTGTATTGCGCCGCGGTTGTTTTGTTCCCTGTGAATCCCTGACTAGTGCAAGTGATTGATAGAACCAGGACACAGAACAACTTCTATCACTCAGATATGACTGCTATCAGACCCAATTCTGTCATATGACTTTACTTTTGAAATAAATATATATGTATGTATTAATGTTAACTATTTAACAGGGAGTCAAAGCAAGTCAAAAAGAACATACCAGTCAAATCATCTCAACAGACCGAATCCCGACTTGAGGACCATCATGTAAAACATTTCAAAACAACCAGATGGCTGCAGCTCTGGACTGAAAATGTGTTTCATGTCAACTTTATTGTGCAAATCACTCCGAATCTGTTGCTATCTAGGCTGATAGCATGCTTCTGCTATATTTCGTTGAAGCTGATGTTTTGAGCGCATTGATATATTTACCTAATGATGGCACTGATTAGAGCGTTAGGGGAATAAATCAACATTATTCCATTTTATCTTGTGGGAAAAGTGATGTCCAAACCAAACTTTTTAAGACAAGGAGTTTCCTAATGGGAAAAGGTTGCCAGTTATGCGGGAATCCCTCTGAATTAGGAGCGGAGAGGGACACTTCCTGTACAGTAGCAACTAAGACGATTTCCTTGAGCCTCTGTCAAAGCTAATAACCACAGTGATCTCACAGAAAGCTCCCCCAGGGCTGTTTGACCGTGCAAGCCGTGGGAGGGGGTGATGCTCAGAGAGGTGGGGGGTCGGTGGGTTTGAGCTGATGCCTCTCAGACTGTCTCAACTAATTTGGCTCTCCGAGGCGAGGCCCATCCAACTCCCCTGTGTTGAAATAAAGTTCATCATCAACCCTGCTGTGTTGGGAGATGACTGGAGATGGTGAGAGCACAGGAGCGAGGCGCGGGTACGACGCGTGAGTGGACAGCGAGGCCCGAAAGACAGAAATAGAGACAGACACGCAAGCAGATACTCAGAAGCTCGCCCGGGGGGGTGTTCGGTGGGGTGTGCCCCAGCGCTGACATCAGCAGAATCGCAGCGACCTCCACAGAGCACCGTGAGCAGCAAAGGGTGGGCGATAGGAAAAACAGAGGGAGGGGCAAGGAGGAGAGAGATGGGGGGGGGGGGGGGGATAAGGATGGCGGTGCAACACTTGTAATCGGATCATTGGCTACAGCGAGTTGAGTCGATGTGATCAATAGGAACTGCACATGCAGCAGAGAGCCTTTAATGGCCCTTAATCTCCATCCGGCCTGAACAGAAGGGTTGAGGAGGAAGTCGCGGGAGCAGACGCAGCCCGCATCACATTACACACTCCACCTGTAGTAGCAGAAAGCCGTGCACTTAGATTCTCTGTCCCACACTCATACACAATACACACACACATAGGTGTACACCTGCCGACTCCTGTAGGCCTCAGCAGCCGGCGTGTCACGTTTCTTCGTCCCTTTGCACCTTTTTTACTTTCATTTCAAATGCATTACATTTCATACCTTTCCGTTCGGCGCTACCCCCTGCAATGCACAGTCCATATGCCAACCTTTGAATTCAATGAGCAGCCAGACCACAGCTAGTGTGTCTCCACTTACCATCTTTGCAGCACAAGAGAGAGGGCAGTCTGGCTGTGAAGTGTAAATGTGCTGCAGAAGCTGTGTATGCTGCGCTTTCTCTCATTCCTTTAGTTAACTTTAGTCATCTGGCCTATAGATTAAAGATTTATGCGTATGAGCCCCTGCGGCCGGTTTGGCCAAGTATCCCAAAAGGGCATAACACACATACAGATATAGATGAATGAATAAAAGACACCACGGCAGTTTTCTCAATCTCTTCTTTTTTTTACTCATCTTTTCTTTTCACTTTTCACTTTTACACTCCGCACAAAGGCCTGGAACCTGAGGGCAGAACTGTAAAATGAATAACGATGCCCCAGATATGCTCAAAGGAACTTTGATAAGAGGCACCCAGTAAGGCTGCTTTTGTTTGGGCCTTTTCTCTTTTGTATTTTGTTGCCCATTTGCCACATGCTCTCACTCACTTTAAAGCATCATAAAACAGGCCTTCTCATGTGTGTACATCCTCGCTGAAGGGCAGCAGGAGATGCAAGTAACCCAACAGCAGCGGGATACACAGGAACTATAGTCGTTACACTGAGACGTACCCGCTTAACGCTGCAGTAGTGATTTTTCATACCCACACACTGTGGCGTTGATTTGATGACATTTGAACAGATGAATGAGGGCGTAGGCCTTGAATGATCCCCTGTTGCTTTGAACACTGCCGATATGCATCCCCTAAACATTAGACATGTCCAACAAACACAAAATGCTGACTAACACGCCGGTTATTGTTGTAATTGTAACCAATTTCATCCATTCTCGCAGTAAAAGTAATTCAAATAATCTTCACCCACGCATATTCTTTGATGTAGATTATGTACATTATCTTATTATCTAATTATCTCTTAAAATCCAGAATTTGTCTCAAGGGGTCAATTTTGTTGCAGGCCGTGCTGTAGTGCACAGACATACACAAACCTGCTTTGGAGAAAGAAAGTTTGGTAAAAGTGTACCAAACTTTCTTTGGTACACTTTTACCAAGCTGGGAGCTGATTTCCCACATGATGTCATCAGGGTTGTGTCTCTTCACAGGCTCGAAACTTCTCTGCACGGCATTCAGAGTCGATACAGCAAGTATCTGTGGGTGCAAAGATTTAGTGGAGTCGTGTCTGAGCCAAGAATGAATAAGCTCTGCGTGTGTGTGTGTGTGTGTGTGTGTGTGTGTGTGTGTGTGTGTGTGTGTGTGTGTGTGTGTGTGTGTGTGTGTGAAGAAGGCATTTAGAATTATTGTGTGTGGCTTGACCCATTCTTGTGACAGGATATCTGCTGCTAACTTTAAATCATTTTTTTTAATCTGTCTCTTTTGAGCTTTATGGATTTGCAAGAATCAATTTAACGAGAGCCCCTGTAATTATTTGTCTGTGCATGACATTCACGAGTGTGACATCACTTAGTACTTGTCAGATTGTACTCCAATAGTTGAGGGATTGTGAGGAAAAATTAAGTATTGAGCCGTTGGTTTGAAGATGTCTAAATATGGTGTGAGGCATGTATTATGTGTGTGCTCATGTGGGTGTGTGTTATTTCTCTTCAATGCGCGGCGCCTCCTTGTGGTCATCAGAGACAATGACAACTCTTAACACATTACATTACATTACATGTCACTTAGCGGACGCTTTTATCCAAAGCGACGTACAATAAGTGCATTCAACCATACACAAAGGTGAGCAGCAAAGCTACTTCTTGAGCGTCGGATCTTTGATGTTTATACAAACACAATTTTAAAATAGATATATGAAACGTGGTATTAAAGAAAAACCTTGGGTATCTATGCTAATCTATCTGAGTGGTAATTATTTACCCTGTTCAAAATCAGCATTAACCTTGTTTAAAGAAAAGAAGTAATGAGAATCTGCAAATGGGTCATTTTTCTTTCATTGTTTGCAGAAGAATCAAGTCTTTCCAGCTCAGATCTACATCATATCAATGTGTTCAGCAAAACTTAGCCTTTATTTTCAGTTAGCAGATAATGATGTAACCATGGCAACAGAGACAACTTGGAAAAGGGCAGGAAGAAAACTTAGACATTACTGTCACTCAAAACCCCTTTTTTCATATAGTAGATACAATATATTTCACCTGATCTGTTCAGTATTACATTAAAACTTCAATTTAGTTTTCAATATACAACTGTGAGTCCTAAAACATTATTGGCTGGATCGGTTCATAACACAAACAATGCTTATCAGCAAATTATACGCACATGTTCAAAAGTACAATTTCGGGCTCTCCTCATCAACAGTATGTCAGTCAACACAGTCGTCGATGGGATTATTGTTCCGTGAGGACATATTGAGCGATGCGCCGTGGCCCGGAGTTAGAAAAACCTTCAAAAACATCGAAGAAGTACCGACCCTGAGACTCGGCCCAACCTTGCCTTGAGCCATGTGTTGATGAATCTTCAGTGCGACTGAAACTTCAAAGGCATGTCAGCTCACTAAGCAGAGGATGCTCCTTCTCTCTCATCTTCACTCAACCGAATCCCTCCGCAGAAGGACATTTTGATGATTTGGAGGAGAGGTGGTGGTGGTGGTGGGGGGGGAGAAAAGTTTGCTTGCCACTTTCTTGGAACTGATTTGACCGCTGTGGACGTAGGCAAACGGAAGCCCCGCGTTCCAAGAACAAAGTCAAATCAGCATCGTACCAGAGGTACGTCTCTGCACCATCAATCCCGGGTAATACAGCGCTGCGGGGTGCATAGTGCCCTGCTTAGTTCACAGAGGCGGGAAAAGTGTGGTCTTTTCAAAATCCGCCTGCAAAAAACGGATTGATGCGCAAATTAACTGAAAGAGAGAAGAGAGGAGTCACAATCCAATTCTTCCAATGTTACAATTATAAGCTCTTTCTCCCCACTTGACGAACACAAAGAGGGACTTTCCTCACTCGCTCAGCACATCCTTTTTTCTCCACCTCTCGCTGCACAGCTTGGTGAGCTCGCATTAATTGCTCCAAAAAGCTGGAGAAGCACAACAAGTACTTCTCACTCCGGTGTGATTGTGTCCGTGGGAGTTGGAGGGCTTGAGAAGAAAGGGGGCTTTTCTGCTTACAGGAGAGGCTTATGTGTCACATCTCAAGAGCAGAGGACATGCGAGAGAACCGATGTGACGGCGCACTCTGCTGGAGACACGGGGGAAGGAAAGTGAGTGGTTCATTTCAGGGGGAACTGAATGTGTAGAGAGAATATGAAAACACGTGAAAATGAATCATTGTCATGTCAGAGTTCTCCGGTGAATTATGAAAAAATTGTAATTTTACACATCATGTTTACTATATATAATAGCATGTTGATGTGTGTAAGCGCATGTTGATGTATATAATAGGACGTTAATGTATATAAGATCATGTTGATTTATATAAGATCAAGTTGATGTATATAATAGCATGTTGATGTGTGTAATGAGATGTTGATGTATGTAACAGCATGTAGGTTGTGTAAACATTTGTGAAACCCACAGGGAAATTGTATTTCATAACAATTTTATTCATATAATTTTGTATTTAGTTGTTTCATCGTAATGTCTTCTTTTATAGGTCTAACATGTCTTTAAAGTCCGTCTACGATTACTGTTCTACCTTCACCTGCCCTGGTCACTAAATCGAAATAACGCCATACGTACATGTTTTAAAACAGCAAACAGGAAATTCCACATATTCTATCATCACATTGTATTTTAAGTAATAACACAAAGTTTCTGACGGTTTCAAATAAATCATGCAGTCACGAAACTTTACAGGTGTTTTGTCAAGATCAAAATAAACTCTGAGCTCAAAGATTTGTGATCAGAGCGAGGGAGTCAGAATCACTATACCCTCCCTGGACCAGCAATATGGTCTCTATTTGGAATAGTTTGTAATATCTATTCTTGTGAAATTTGAATCATTTAAAGGAAACTTTCTGAGAAGTTTTAAGGGGAAATGTCATCCGCCTTTAAGGTTTTACAGTTACTGTAGGTTTTTCATGTAAAACTCTAACCCGCAAAGTAAGTATAAAACAAATGTGGTGGAGTGAAAAGTACAACATTTGCCTCTGAAACGTAGTGGAGCAGAATTTTTAAAAAAAAGTAAACACTCAAGCTCAGTGCCCTGACCTAAAAATTACGCTTTTGTAAAGTAATGTACTCCAGCTACATTCCACCACTGCCTGCACCATCCATACGTTGTCAAACATTCTAATCCCTGTAGTTGTACCTTTATACCAACTACCTCTGGGCCGGCAGGTCTGTCTCCCAAGTCAGTTTAATCTACAACATATTTTTACTTTATAGTCAGACCAACCCCCTTGGCATCAACACATTTTACACTTTGATGTCAGTAAAGAGCCGCAATGCAGAGCAGATGTGGACATGGAGCTGCTGCTACGGTAAATACATTGCTGTATTTAGCGGCGCATATGCAGATAGTTTATATTTGAGAGTGTGTGTGATACTGTGTGAAGCATTGAAGCAATGCACACATTTCTGAGGCAAATGAGTACACAAAAACACAAAAGCATGGTTTGCGCTAAACATGGAGAATTTTTATTTAGCTAGCGAGTTACCTAGAGGAGAAAACTGTCACATCCTTGCAGTCGGATGTTTTGGGGGAACGAGCGGGCGTTAGCGTGTGGACTCTCCCAAAAAAAAGGGCTTAGTTGTTAAGGACAGTCTTGATTGAGCCTGAGGTACAGTACATCAACACCAGAGCAAAGACAGTCACCCACAGGACCCAAGGAGGCCTGCACTAGTTCTACCAGAGCAGCATGTTTCTCCTCAGACAAATGCACTTCAGAATGTCAGAATCACAAAAGAGGGGCAACAACGAAAACTAAAATAACACGATGTGCATTGGCTGGTGTTTTGCCTTCTGCATAATGGTAATATTTTGGTACACAGAAACCGGTGCAGAAGGGAACACGGTAGGAGAGGATACATCCCATGATTGGCGTGATTGTGGCTGTTTCCCAATTATTTCATCCCACCGGTCAAATCCTCCAAACCTCGTCAAAGTAGTCGGATAAGCTGGTTGAACACAGATTCAAGTTAAAGACTAAAATCATACACATCTTTAATTCTCTTCAGGAGCTGATGAACTTCACCAATATCCCATTTTGAGGCGTTAAAAAATTCAAAGAAAAACTACAAATAAGCCCGTTGAAATCTCCTGACTACTTTAGTTAGTTTTCTCAAACAAAATCAAAGAAGAAGAACAGATTAGAGAGTTAAGGGTACTGGTAGAGGCTATTTAGGAGGATTGAAAGTGCTTTAATGACAGATTTTATTCTAAAGTGGGTTCGGTTTTTCTCGTGAGACAGGAACACACCAGTCAACGGATACGGATGAGTCCATCTATCATGTTCAAGTACTCAGATACATTGTCGTCTTCGGCGGAAAGACTTGTGAGAGCCTTTCCTCCTCTTGTGGTTAGGCAAAATGTATTTAAGGTCCTACATCATTAGTGTTGCAGATCTAGCAGAGAGCTTGCTTGAAGGTTACGGTTTATTCCTATTGCGCTCCTGGCGAGAGAAGGGAAGAAAATAAAAAAGGAAAAGAGGTGATCAGTGGAGCAAACATAAGGGACACAAGCAAACATAAGCAACAGCTGAAAGAACTTCATTCATTACATTACATTACATGTCATTTAGCTGACGCTTTTATCCAAAGCGACGTACAATAAGTGCATTCAACCATAGGGTCACAGGGTAAAGGTCAAATGTTGAGGGAAGACCCAAGCCGAAGACACTGCTTTGTCTTTTTCTAATAGAATAGTGTTCTACGCTGTCAGATACACCTGAAAGTGTAAATCACTCGAGCACAGAAAGAAAGATGTGACATCCTAAAAGGTGTGACACTCGTTTTTGAGACCTTGAAGGTAAAAGATCCTGCATTTATGAAGATGATCAATATTTATTTTACTTCATATATCTGTATCGACAGGATGCATTTATCTATGTGTCATTCTGAACGTCTACGGCAAATATCAATGATTACTTAGGATCTATTGAACTTGGAGCAACAACTCGTCTAAAAGACGGTAAGTACGGTAACAGCAATTTTCAGTTTAATGTGCTGCTAAAAATAAACTGTTCTGGCTCCTAAATGGTGGAATGAGCTCTCTGACCACAGAGAGCCTTTGCATCCTCCGCTGCAAACTGAAGACACAGCTCTTCAGACACGACCTCATGCATCATAAGTGTACTTATAACTGCTCTGATCTATAGCAAGTTGTAAATCGGCTAACTTTATGAAATTGCAATTTATTGTTGTTTTCTTTTGAGTTTGTATCCTATGGTTAGAATGCACTTGTTAGTCGCTTTGCATCAAAGCGTCAGCTAAATGACATGTAATGTAAACTAAACACTTTATTATTACTATCAATTCAGACCCAATAGATTTGTCCTGTGTTTCATTTCGTACATTAGACTCCCTGTTCTATATGGAAAGTTCTCCCATACAAAAGCAAATGTTTCACGAACGCTATACTGCAAGGAAATACAGTTTCAACAACCTCTAAGATAACACTATCTTATTTTTAGTCTGTCATTCCCACCGTTGGTATGCTGTGTAAATTGCAGGATAAGTAATCACTTAAGTACCCTTACCTTTTTGGTTTAGTGTTAAAATAAGTGAGATACAGAATACAGTAAGCCGAAGATAAATATACTAAAAATACTGCAGCCATGAACACTGTATAAATCCCAGTCTTGCGGATAAAAACAACATACGTTGTCCACAAAACACACCTTGAATATTACATATTCATGGGTGTGTCATGCGTTACAATAAAAGAGGAATACAGTGTCACCTTTGAGAAACCCCTTGAGACCAGTGTAACTCTACACCCACCGTGGATGCTAAGACTAACACCCAAAGGGGGGACGTAGCTAACCTCTCGCTATTAATTGCCAAATTAGTTCTGCTAATAAAAATCCTGCAAACAGCATCTTTAAAAAAAAAAAGAATTAAAATGTTGACATGGTGTTTTGGGTGCAGGTGTAGCGGTGCTGGTTTGACACAACCTCAAAAAAAAGGTTCAGGAAGGACAGGCCAGACAACAGAGAACAATTCACCTTGTCAGGCGAAGCAGGGCGAGGCCTCAGCGTGGCCGATCCTGTCATGTAAGAGGTCAGGGCTACAAAAGCAGCGCAGCGCAACGCCCGCAGAGCGCGGGACGGAACAGGCCCTCTGCTGACAGCTTGTTTTCACAAGTCCCGGAAAAACATGCACTTGGAATATTTATGAGAAAGGAACCCGGCGCATATTAACACGGTCAGCGGAGAGGAGTCGGTGCGGCCTCAATGGAGCACCAGCAGTAGGGGGACTGGGAGAAAGGGAATGGGGGGGGGTGTCGGGGAGTGCAGTTTCGATTAGCATACTGGTGAGAATGGATGCTGCACAATGCAAGCATGGATAACATGTCATCCTTCCCACGGCTAATGTTTTTTATACCACTTAGCCTCAACATTTGTGGAACACCACTGTTATTACCTCTGCAACACATTTCAGCCTCCCTTTTGGAGGGAGCCGGCTCACACAGTGGGAGCTTTTCAGAACCACGTGCACCGAACCACCGTAACGATGCATTTCTATCATCCAAAGCGTTTAGAACATCGGAGGTGAACTGTACCAACTCTCAGGGACGGTGCCGCCGGGGGCTTATGTTGTTGCATGCATGAGAAGCCTGTGGAGAGCAGAGAGGCTTGTCGTTCAAAGGGAGATCGGAGCCTACATCTGCCTGTCTGAGAGGAGGAATGCCAGGAATGTGGGCTATTTCAGGAAAACCTCTACGCTGACTCCAACCGGGCAAATCATCGCAGTCTGGGGCTGCACAAGATGGCTGATGAAGAATTAAGAGTTTGGCGAACCTGCCTGTGAGTAATGGTGGCGTGTCTCTCTGCTGACAGACCTCTGGGAACCTCCATCTACACCAGACTGCCCGTTCAGCCATAGGAAGCAGCATCCGCTGTCTAAGAGCAGGTGGAACAAGATCAGCCGATTACAGCCTGGCTCCAGCCCGTAACGGTGATTAAGGGAAAGTACCCCTCCCCGTTTTTAAAATAAAGAGACGAAACGGAACTCACGCGCAGTGACACGTGCGAACGCGCTATTTTAAAAGGGGACAGAGCTGTTTGTATGTATGGTTATCTCACCTTCCTCAGAGCCTCCTCCTCTTCCTGACGTTTCTCGTAATGTGCAAAGTCATCAAAGATTGAGGTGGTATGCTTGTAAGTGGCGATAATTTTAAGCACTTGTTTGGCCTTTTCCAGAGGCACTTCCTGAGTGTCCCTGGAGTTGGTTACTGGCTTGTTGTCATTGTTCTCCAGCCGGATGTGTCGCAGCTGGTTGTTGGGCACGTCTTTGATGAATGCCCACTTCACCTCGAACTTGCCCTTCCACTTGTCCTGAGACCAGACACCTGCATAGGCATTGTAGTCCACCGGGGAGCGCATCTCGGCCACGCCGCAGAAGTGCCCACTGCCGTTGACGCTGAACAACAGGTACAGGGGCCCCTTGTTGCCCAGTGAGCGGTAGGCGCCGTCCAGGCGCTTGTTGCCGTGTTCTGTGCTGCACCAGATGGAGTACTTGATAGAGCGGTGGATGTCGTCTTCGGAATAGCTCTTGATGATGAAGACGCGGCCATTTTTCAAGCTCCAGTCAAAGTCTTTGGGGTTGTAGTTGTTGAGGGCGCGCAGCTTCTCCAGCACGGGATGCACTTCTCCGGAGCAAGGGGAGGCACTAAGTGGGAGTCCCCCACCCAGACCGAAGCCCTCGCCGCGGTTCCTGGGAGCCACCCAGCGGTTGGGCGGGGGACCAGGCTGCTGAGGTGGTTGCTGATGAAGGTGCTGCGGGGGGCCGGGTTGAGAGGAGAGGTGCATGTGTGGATGGCCGGGGGGCATAGGCTGGGGGTGTTGGGGGGATTGGAGGGAGTGAAGCTGGAAAGGCTGATGTTGGTGTTGGGGCTGGTGTTGGTGGTGGTGTTGTTGTTGTTGGTGGTGATGTTGTTGTTGGTGGTGATGTTGTTGTTGTTGGTGGTGGTGGTGTTGGTGGTGATGGTGGTGTTGAGGCGGAGGAGGCAATGGGGTTTTGCAGTAAGGGCTGGGGGCTGAGCTAGGAGAGGCTGCTGCACCATAGGCTGCGGGGGCATCATATTCTGAGCTAACGGAGGCTTATTCAGGGAGCCCTTCTCGTCCCAAGTACCAATGTTCATATTGTGCTTTATGGGGGGTGGGGGAATGGCACCTCCCCCCAACCCCATGTTGGCTTTGGGTTTGACCTTAGGCTGCGGCTTAGCCGGCTTCTTGGCGATGGCGGCCCAGGAGGCGGGTTTAGGGGCAGACGAGTTGACAGACGGTGGGAGGCTGTTGGCTGCCATACTGCTCATTCCTGCTGTGCCCCCCAGGGGGGAGCCCACGGTTTTAGTGACGGCTGCCACCATGTCCGTACCCAGTTTTAAGCCCGTCATACCTTGCTCAATGCTGTTCAGCACCGGGACTTTACTGAGCTGGGTGTCGCTTCCAAAGCCAGCCTGTCCGTCCGTGATGGCCCGGCCCAGCGAGCTGGGGGCATACCCATAGCTGTTACTGTACACGGAGCTCTGTGTGGACTGACCCTGAGAGACACTGGTACCCCAGGTGGAATAGTCTGCATTACCAGGGAAGAAGTTGAAGCCATGCTGGCCCAGGAAGGGAGGGGTGTTTCCAAGGGCCCCAGCCTGGCTGAACACACCGTCGGGAATGAAGTGGGGCTCGCCATTGCTCATCTGTCCATACGTGGTCAGGTAGGGCATGGGAGGGTCTCCCGCTGTGGACCAAGCAGCCTCTCCGAGAGAGTAAGGGAAACCAATGGAAGGAGCATAATAGCTGGGCATGTAGGGGTCTGACATTGGCGGATAGCTGTTACCCTGTGTGACAGAAAGACGGTTAACACACCAGGCACAATGACAAGTAACAAACCAGAAAGATTATCCAACATGGTAACATCCCATTGTGAATGGTGACATTGAGTTGGGTTTTAGGGACACGTCATCATTAGAAACAAGATAGACACGGGGGCGCCTGTAATTAATTGTTTTGTACAGAGGACATGAAAATATAACTGATTTGTCCACTACATAAACTACTGGTACTGGCCACAAGTACTAGCTGAGTGGTTGTACTGCAAGGACCTTATCATGGCTTAGTACAGGACGTTACCTGATTTGTCTGGCCACTTAGATAAGGCTCAAAATCATCATCGTTAACACCATCCTTTTGATGCATTGATCCGTTTTGCACTGAGGACGAGAAGAAAGTTCAGTCAATCATCACACGGACTACGGGGAAGTCCTGAATACTAACAGCTAAAGATGTCTACTTGTTAACCTGTGCAGAGGGGGTAAGTGGTGGTCAAATCTAAAGACGTGACAAGATCTCAGTTTGGTGAAACATCATCACAACAAATGCAGAATTAGGGACAACAACAGGAACATATAAGATCTGCAGTTTCATGCCCACATTTAAAAAAAGAAGCAGATAGCATGTTAGCTCATGTTAATTCATTACACTGATGTGTTAATAACCGAGGGCAGAATCAGTGTTACCTTTATTTCCTTGTCCTTTGGGTCTCTGAAACAGTGAGGAGCACAGGAAGTGGAGATGTCGTTAGATCACGACAGGAAACGAACACACACACGTATGTATGCTAGTTGCATAAATACACATAACAGCAGATTGTAGCAACTTCAGTCTAAAATAGCATCTGCCCGGCTGTGACATTTTACGGGCAGCTCGGCGTTGTTGACCTGATGTCAAAACGTTCTGACATCCAGCAACTAAACGGTGCCGCATTGGCAACGGGCTGCAGCCAGAGAGGGTCGGTGATTCACTCGGCCTACCGCGCAGCTAACAGCTAGCCACGTAAATCAAACACTGGGGGGGTTTGTTATATATATATATATATATGAGCTCGTTTGATCCGGCGTGGCCCGAATGAAACCAGATCGAACTGTTGTCGGTAAAGTACTCCCCCTCCACACGAACCTGATCGACTGTGGTCGCAGACATCCTCCAGGAAAACGAAACTGCGGGTTGTTTGTGACTGTCCACGGCTTCTCCCCCCCCTCCGCCACCACCACCACCACCACCACCCACAGCCCCTGCCTCGTCTGTCGGGTCGTCGGATCGCTCTGTAACGGTTACACGGCGGCTGCTGCTGCTGCTGCTGCTACTGCTACTGCCTCTTCTTCTTCTGCTTCTTCTTCTTCTTCTTCTTTACCGGGTTCGGAGCCGACGACGATCCGCTTCTCCTTCTTCTTCGTTGTTACAAACGGAGACTTTGTGTCTGCGGGGAGAAAGCGTCGGTTTTAACGGGGAGAAAGGAGCGATCCTGTCACGGATTTAGCCTTCAGCGGTCGGTCTAAAAACCTGCCCGGTTGTCTCGCTGGAATATCCCTTACCATTTCCCACAATGGCGGATGAGGGCTTTTTTTTTTTTTTTACTCCCGCTTCCGTTCCGTTCCGCCGCTCCGTGACCTTCCGCCGGTGACGCTCCGAGTCATGCTGCAAGCCGACGCTTCACATGACAACAAGTTCCCCTCTGCGTGGGCCACATTATGTTCTCTGTAAATAAAATATATCCAGCGATCGTCGTGTTTGATGTGTAAATAATAACATAGTCAAGGTGCATGGACATACTCAAATACTTAAAGTAATACGAAATAGATGCATGCAAAAACAAAAGGGAATATATACAAAACATTTGACAGGTATTTTATCAAATAGTGTATAGAGCCAACCAGCATGCAGATGCAGTAATGCAGCAGTATTGACTGAATCGTATATTTCATAAGCCTACAATAAAGGAGCCAATTTGAATGGATGACTAATGGGAAACTGTGTTATTGATTATGTTGCTTCAAAAAAGGGTGTGGATACTTATTTTATCCAAGGCTATAAAAAGTCACTTTGCAAAACACTCAAATTGTCTCTATTATAAAATTAAAGTTACTAGCGTGCTAGTATACGGCATTATTATTAATATGAGTGTACATTTAGTTAGTCTATTTGGCATCGGAGAAAAATATCTTTGGTGGAAAATAACTGCTATATTTAGTCAAGTACTGCACTTGCGTACATATACCTGTTTGTACTTTGCTTTCACGTGTTTTTATGTATTGTTATAATAAAACATTGACAGGGCTTTCTGAACCTCTGTACTTGACATAAACATTTTTTTAAAAAGGAATGAAGTATGTGTACACTGTTTTGCTAATTCAACTGTAATGTAACGCTGAAGGACAATTAGATGCGCTCTGAGTAAACGAGACTAGCTGTGCTCCAACTCTCGCGATATTTCCACAGTGGGTCGCGGAGCAGTATGGCAGCCGTGGCGCTGAGGTCCTGCCGCAGAGGACTTTCACACATTTTAAGTAATGGAGGGCTTGCTGCTTTGTCGTCACTGCGCCCGGAAGGTTTGTTCAAATTTACGCTTTTAGCAGAATACATTTCTCCAGGTGTGAGTTTCGTATGAGGGCGTTTAAGCGCAGAGAGAGGGGGTGTGGCTCACGCGGACTGCGTCGTCTTAAAAATGTAGGGCAAGTGAACTGTGCGCTGTTTGCGCCCCTGAAAGCTTTTGCGTTGTCTCCGGTGATTTACGTTGTATTTTGGAACCCCTTTGACGTGAATTTCTCTCGTTGTGTAACATAAACTGTGCCTCAATTCTCAATTTGCTCGTTATGGGGGGGGGGGGCACGCTGAATCCCCTCGCATCCAGGTGCGGGTTTTCTACTTTGCGTCAAGGGAAGTTTTATTTAAGAAAAGTAAAAACGATGTGTCTGCGCGTTTCACTGTATTTACCAAACGTCGTTTTCGTAATGAAGCCATTTTGACGTCGGTTGTTGTGAGTCATTTAACTTACGTAACGCAACACGTTTTTTGCCCTCGTGCTGTGCCTACCAGGGGTCAGCAGGCACAAGTCCACGGTCCAGTACGCTTCACGACCGGACCTTCCGAAGCTGGCCTACAGGCGAGTGAAGGGCAAGAGCCCCGGCGTGCTCTTCCTCCCGGGATATGGCTCCAACATGAACGGGCAGAAAGCCGAGGCTCTGGAGGAGTTCTGTAGGTCACTGGGACACTCGTACCTGCGGTAAGTCACTGAGGAGCACGAGCTGGAGAAGATGCGCGCGCCCATCCTGCAGAGGAGAAGCACGTGCACACCACAACATAAGCTCTTCTGCTAATTGTGCGTTTACTGGGATAATAAATAGAAAAGGGTCTCAAAGTGTCCTGATGCCCCAAGAAAAGAGGGTATACTAAACATATTTTAGTGGATTGGATTATGGAGAGATAAAAGAACATCGCTCCATCATACTGAAAAGTCACCCGATTTTCAGTGTTGTGTATACAAGTGATTTAATGTCCCAAAAATAATCTACACGAACCTTTCAACCTTCATGGCGTTCTGTTAATGTTTTGCCAGGTTTGACTACACAGGGCACGGGGCCTCGGAGGGGGTCCTCTCAGAAGGAACTATTGGCACCTGGAAAAAAGACGTCCTTTACGTGTTGGATGAGTTAGTCGAGGGGCCACAGGTAATATTCCCGAGGCTGGTGCCCCCTTTTTTCAAGGCCTTTAGTCGTTTCCCATAAAGGGGAAACAGGTTTAACATTGTAAATGCTCATTTAACGTGAGACTGCAAGGAAAACATCTTGAAATGTATGAATGTGTTTCGACAGTGAAGCAAGTGTATCTATATCTAATAGATACTCTGATGGGAACATCAGACACTTAGGCGGGTTGTTGTGAAATAAATTATAAATATTCATATGTTAAACGCTTTGTGTACTTTAAGCACACGATGCACAAATTAATGATGAAATTTTACAGTGTTTGTGGATCTTTTAAGTTTTTGTTTTCACAGGTCCTCCAAACACATAAGACGACTTGCTTTGATTATGATAATGTTTTCCACAAAAAAGTTGAATTTACAGAAGCGTAATTACGTAATACAAAAAACCAACATACTACTTCTCCCAAATTCATAAATTCAGATTCTATGAAAATACTTCCACCACAAAATTGAATCTTGGCAAAACATTATTATTATCCTTCCGACCTCAACTATTCACTGTGTTCTACTTCACAGCCAGAAGATGGCGCCGTGTTACATCATTTGATGGATTGACCTCCGCTACTGTGATTGCACTACACAAGTCTGCTGGGGTTTTTTTGTAATGAATTGGTTTACATTCTCTGTGGTGTCGTTGCATCCTTGTAGATAATGGTGGGTTCCAGTATAGGCGGATGGTTCATGCTGCTGGCGGCAATTGCGAGACCAGAGAGGACCGCCGCACTGGTGGGCATCTCAACTGCCGCCGATCACATTGTCACATTGTTCAACTCTCTTCCCCTGGAGGTAGGCATATATTAGATTTACTCGCATGCAGACATTTTCATTTCCATCTGTCTTTGAGTTGTATTTGCCCGTGTTTCCATGCACAGACTCGCAAGGAGTTTGAGGAGAAGGGTGAGTGGACGTTGCCCACCAAGCACTCGGAGGAGGGTCTTTACAAGTTTAACATGAACTTTCTGCGAGAGGCGGAAAACCACTGCGTGCTGCAGAGTCCGATCCCCATCACCTGTCCCGTGCGGCTCATCCACGGCCTCAAAGACGAGGACGTCCCCTGGCACATCTCCATGCAGGTGGCGGAGCGCGTCCTCAGCAACGACGTGGACGTCATCCTGCGGCGACACGGCCAGCATCGCATGTCCGAGAGGGACGACATCAAGCTCATGGTGTACACTATTGATGATCTCATAGACAAGCTGACCACTCTGGTCTGAGTAAGGGGGCGGGGAAGCGAGCATAAGGATAGAAGGACTGTGTTTACTGGGAAGTCGATCCTCAAGAAATTTACCAAACAACGGCGTGTTTCTCTACTGAGTATGACCGCTTTTCTTTTTCTTCTTTTTTCCCTGTTATCTTCATTTGTCATGTCAACATGCCGTTACAGTGCAAACTTTAATGAAAGGGAGCTTCCCTGTTAGCGGTTCCCTCATATCTTCAGGTTGGATTTGTATGTCCCAAGTTATTATACTGAGTGTTATTTTGGCCTTTTGTTAGGTCCGCTGTCCCTGTTCTTGCCTATTTGACTGTTCTTTACTTAGCCGCATAGCTTTCCTGTGCCTTTTTTAGTCACTTTTCACCTGTTTTGGCCAATAAAACCTCTGCACACTGAATTGCAGGTCAGTCTGTTACCACATCATCAACTGACAAACAATCTGCCTGTTAATATAGAAATGCACACAGAATAGTTAAATTGTAAAGTATTTACAATTTTAGGAAATTGAGAGCTTAATCGCAGAAACCCATCATAACATACAGTTAAGTGCTCTTGAAAATTGCATTTTTTAAATTGACAGAACCCAATTTAAATCACCATAATTGCTAATGCAGGATTTCAAAATATAACTTTTAATTTTATATAAATCCAGATTAACAGCTGCTAACGGAAACTCAATTTGCCAGGTAGCTGCAGGTTAAAGACAGAGAATCAAGGCACTCCGTTATGAATCGGAATCATCAAGGCTTGCTGTGAGATATATTTTTGTGAGAAGAATCTGTCATATGTTTCCCCAACCTGCCTGCCTTTGGTTGGCTGAGTGGAGCACAGGACTGTTTATCATTAACATGTCATTGCCCACTATAGCTGCTCTCTGCTCAATGGGGCGAAACCAGCCGCTTAACTGTCTCTGGTCCGCTTAACTGCAGCGCCGACCTTTAATTCATGGTTGATCTATGTAGTCATTCATTTTTTTTTGCGTCAACTAAACTCACACATTAATTGATGGGAGCATACAGCATGGCGGGTGTAACGTGTCAGGCATATGGCTTTGCAAATTGTTTTACTGGGCCCCCTTCTTAATTGTTGCATAACGCAAATTTTCCATCTCTGTTTAACAGGCACTGCTTTGTAAGTATGGTTGGTGTTGTTTTGCTGTAGAAAAGGGCAGATATCTGTCTTTAGAATTTTTTCTAAACTTTAGAATGTCTTCTAAATGGGGTCGTGGTCGTCGTGGCGCAGGGGTTAGAGAAGGTGTGCTGGGAAGCACAAGGTTGTAGGTTCAATTCCAGGCTGCCCCATGTTCCATGTCGAAGTGTCCCTGAGCAAGACACCTAACCCCTAATTGCTCCCCAGGCGAAAATGTGAAAAAGCCATGGGTTTAAAGTGTAATGTAAGTCGCTTTGGATAAAAGCGTCTGCTAAATGACCTGTAATGTAAATGTCTTTATTTTTTGCTAAATCAATCCGTTGCTACATTGCTAAATCAATCCGCCCCAAAAAACAAACAAGTTAAGGTTAGTTAAGCCAAACAAATTTAGCAGGGCATCACGGGTTAAAGTGTCTTTAACATTACTGAACACCCACTCTGCTGATCGCTCCGGTGCCTTTGAGCAAGGCCCTGAATCTACCAGTCATGAGGCGTCGGGAAGGGAAATCTACAGTCGCGGATACAACTCATTTGTCCCCGTCTTTGTCTCTCGGTTAAAGCTGAGCATGCGCCACAGTGGCCACTGTCCGGCGGCTGCATGCTGTCGCGTTGCATTCTGCCCCCCCCTACTTGGGAGTCGCCACATATAATGAGTGACCCGCCCCTCCTCTACGAATGAGATCCAGCCCGACGCGCCCTCTGCTGCGCTTCATGGATGCTTCAGCACTTCAGCATCCTCAGTTCCTGCGCAGCTCTGCGGAAAATCACACCGTGACGCGGACAAATCTGACCACGCTGTTATTTTTCCAAGTAAGTGTGGTCTTTATTGAATACAATCCGCTGCGGGTGTATGGCATGTTGGATATGATGTTTATGCTGCCGATTAGGTGTCGCAGCACGTGGTGTGAGAGCTTCACGCAGTTGCTTTTTGAGGTTTGTAAAATGTGCATGTTTCAAAAAGCTGCGGGATGTGTTCTCTTGACATTAGACGCAGGACTTTCTTTGGATTTTCCTGAATTTTTCTCCCAACAACCGCGATGAAACGAAACCCATATACTTGAGAGTCAACGACACCCTTAAATCGGTCAATGTGGTCTGACGTAATTTAATTAAACCGTCGTTGCATGCTAATATAGAACTGGTCATAGGATTGTATGAATGCCTGTTTTGTAGGAGGAAGAACATAAATACATTTGATACTTAATTCTCTTCATGACGTTTGCATCGTGGAGGTCATATTCTAGCCATCCTTGCACGCAGCGCATCACTGCACACAGCGTGCCGGAAACTGGCTTGATTGTTACCATGGCAACGGAATGGCCCGTCCCTGTTCGGGACATCTTCCATCGACCACACCCTTCTCTGCCAAAGCATCCGGAGATGAGCAAGGGACACAATAAGAACTGGCTTTTGGTGCTTTTCTTCAAATGTTGACAAGTGTAGTGTTACAGATTTGTATTACAGTAAACAAACATTTGTGCACTAAGAAAATTGTTTTAGTTATTTATTCAGCCATTTATTCAGGATATAAAGCAGTCGAAAACAACTCACTAATATACGTTATACATTAGAAAGATGGGGCTGGGGGGGAGAGGGGGGGGGGGTGTTAGAAGAAGAATTTAGTTTGTAACAGAGTTTTACCATTTCATCCTCATGACATTTTCTCTGCAGGGCTATTCTGTACACTACAGATACTTGAGAGAGCTGCCATGGCGAACAGAGGCCCCAGCTACGGACTGAGTCGAGAGGTGCAGGAGAAGATCGAGCAGAAGTACGACCCTGACCTGGAGCAGCGCTTGGTGGACTGGATCGTTGGCCAGTGTGGAGGGAACCTGGAGAGGCCGCAGACGGGCAAAGAGAACTTCCAGAAATGGCTCGTGGATGGAACAGTGAGTGGCTGCAGTGGGCCTACCTGTGCTTAAAATATAAAAATAGAAGTTACCGTTGAATTATTTAAGCTGCAACATGGCCGAGCCTCCATCCACTTTAAAAGACTGGTCCCACGCTTTAGTCTTACTGAAATCTTTTTTTGTTTTAGCAAACAGGAAATTTGGAATTAATAACTGTTGTTGAAAATTCTTCGCAAGTGTATCATATTGTACCGAATGATTGATGACCTCGATGACTGACCATACCTTATAATCCCACTACAATTCCCAGCTAATTGTAAAATGCCGTGTGCATGATGCTGCAATGTCTCCTTACTTTGAAAAAAAGTTCGATATTGATTTATACTCCAGTAAGTAACTTAAGGCTGTGATGCAGTCAATAAATATGTTGCTTTGTCACTAACAGGACCCACAAGAATACATTTTATTGGCTTTCACAACTAAATCCAAATGGATTTCTGTACCCACCCTCCTCTCCTAACTTAAAACATATTAATTATGTAATTTAAGCATGAGATAAAATCCTTAACTGTCATTTTGTTAAGCTAAAAGTGTAAGTCCAGTGTGATTTAGATTTCTGGCCTCCTCTGTCCCAGATCCTCTGTCGGCTCATCAACAGCCTTTATCCGAGAGGGAAAGAGCCTATCAAGAAGATTCCAGAGACGCAGATGGCCTTCAAACAGATGGAGAAGATCTCTCAGTTCCTGGAAGCTGCTGAAGCTTACGGAGTAACAACCACGGACATATTTCAAACTGTGGATCTCTGGGAAGGTGATTTTACTTCTGATTACTTACATTTCCTCCGATGTCATGTTACACTTTCCCTTGTACTTGTCCATTTTAGTTAGGAGATGTTACTATCATTATCAAACTATAATTTTCTATGAATTATCCTTTCGTCCTGGCTGTAGGAAAGGACATGGCGGCAGTGCAAAGGACTCTCATGTCTCTGGGGAGTGTGGCCGTCACCAAGGACGACGGTCACTACAGAGGTGACCTGGACTGGTTCCGCAGGTAAAGACGATGTGACGGAGGAGATCCAAACAGCTGCGGGAAGCTTCATGTTCCCTCCTCCTCACCTTCTGACTGTCGCCCGTGTACAGGAAAGCCCGGGGATACCGGCGAGAGTTCAGCCAGGAGCAACTCCGCCAGGGCCAGAGTCTGATTGGCCTGCAGATGGGCAGCAACCGCGGGGCCTCCCAAGCTGGCATGACGGGCTACGGCATGCACCGCCAGATCATGTAGACCGCTTACTGACTGACTCCCTCCCCTGCTTTCAGACCTCCTTTTCTACTAATACCCCCAAGGTTGTAGCCCCGATATATACCTCCATCTCCTCCATAGCGCCTGCCATGTGAACCTCAAATTTCCTTGAATTGCTGCTTTCCCAAAACAGTGTTGTACCTTAAAAAATTATGTCAAATACGAGTCTTCTTCAAACTCTCTTCCTGTTAATCTCTTGCCTCCCTCTTTGTTTACCTGCATCTATAAATGATTACATAATGAGTAGCTGAAAGTTATTTAAGAATAACGATGGCAAAAGAAACCATCTGTGTTATTTACATTATCATTCTGAAATACTGTTAGCCACTGTTACAACATGCTGTATGCTTTCTATTTGTATTTATGTGTACATTTATTTACTTCTAGCTATTGTCTCAGGATGATCTGTACGTGAGTACTTATTTAGCCATCTAGCGTGATGAGCTCATTAAGTTATTCAACGTGTCTGTGGTCTTGTCTGAGGACTTTTTGCAGTATGCTCTGTAACCAAATCAACCTCACGTTGTGCCTGGTTATGGGACTACGGAGACCGGGTCCTGATACATTGACCTAAAAATACGTTCGATTCGGAATCATGCTCTGGTTTTTTGTTAGCTAGATTATATCTTTGTATATATGTGTCAATGCAAGTAAATGTGCAGCTGCCAGCATGTTTGACAGTGAAGTTTTCATTTCTGGTGCCAGGTAAAGACGTTGCGTCTTTGTGCACTTTTATTAATTGTTTTGTTTTTATATTTTTGACCACTTATATATATATATATATATATATATATATATATATATATTAGAGAGAGAGAGAGAGAGAGGCTTGTGAGAAGAAGTATTGAAGAAAATAAAGAATGTGGAACATATATTTGTGTCTGTCTCTTACACAAGCTTGGTTTTGTGTTTTCTCCCTTGCACCCATCCCCCACGTCTCTCCTCACAAGGCCTAATAAAGCGAGAGCAGCACAGCATAACGTTTGGGCCGACGGCTCCTCTACCAGTCCTGATTCAAGCCTGTGTCCAGGAGAACTGTTGACTCAGTGAGTTACTTTAAGTAAGGCAGTAGACCCCATGCTGGTCCCATAATGTGGTTAGCAAGCTCATCCTACCTCTGTGGAGGGTGTAGCAAATACAAAAGAGACACCAAAACTGCCATGAGCTGATTACCTCTTTGAGTTACTGTCCTTTGGGAATGTTTGTAGTACTTTTCTTTTGTATGGCCTTTAGAACACAATGTGAAGTCAGTGTTCGGAGGGCCACTCACACTAAATATGGTTAAGAATAAAATCTGCCTAGCATCTAGATAACAACTGAAGGACAATGCCAATGAGAAAAGCATAAACCTTTCTTAAAGGCATTCCGGTGATGGTGGGCTTTGGACCATAAAAAGGTCACATTTTATGTCAATGAACCAGTTTTATGGGGTCAACTGCTCCTGACTTGACATTTCAAAAAAGCATGCACAAATTAACATTTTAACTTGTTAATAGCATACATTGAATTAACAGCCCATTAAAATCCTGTTCTCTGACTTGCAGGCAAAAGAAACTGCTAATATTGTGGGGTCGTCGTGGCGCAGGGGTAGTGAGTGTTTGCTGGGAGCTGCAAGGTTGGTGATCTGAGTCCCGGCTTCCCCGTGTCCCATGACCAAGTGTTCCATAGCGCTGTATCTTGATGTAACTTTTATAATACATATGCCGAAAAGATAAGCATGAGGTGTATTAAACGTGCAAGATGTAGTTATGGCACTGCATACATGATACGAGTAATGGTGTTATGTTCTAAAAAATTTAAAAACTTTCTAAAATAGGTGAAAGGTTTCCCTTTAGAAATGTGCATCAAAAAATGCTGCATGTTGAAATCCCCACTCTGTACAGAGATGTATTCATGATACTTCTGAATAAGTATAACCATGGCTTTTCACACGAAAATGATATAAAACAGAACATTATTCATACGTATGCAGTGACATTAATATCCCTGTTACGTTCATGACAAACCAAACCGTTTCTAAATCGGCTATAAATTGAGCAAGTTATTATTATTACAAGTGCATGCACCACTAAAAACGCAATTCTCTTACTTGGCCCAGCGGTTAGCACACCGGCACAGACTGTGGGGCCTCACTGCCCATGCGCACCTTGCCCGGAGATTTGAGGACGCGGGTTCGGTTCCCGATAAATATATAATAAAGGCTAGATGTCTCGTCCGCTTTGTGGAGGTGCGGTCCGATTTAGAAGCGTACTTTTGCCGCGCTCCATATTCCCTCGCACATGCTGTGGACACACATGGTTGGACAGCTCAAGTCGGCAAAGCCAGTGTGTGCCAGTGGCGAACGAACCACTTTCGCGCCCGTGACAGGCTTTGAAGCGTCGGTGTCGGGCGACCGCACCTTGCTCGGAAATATATAGACGTCATACTGGTTCCCGATAGAGACCATGGATTCATAATAAAGGCTAGATCTCTCGTCTGCGTTTTCAACCGAGACCAAACGGTTTTGTTTTGTCCTCAACGTGCAACATGTAGTTATGGCACAGCACACATAATGTGAGTAATGGTTTTATGTTGTAAAAAACAAAATAATGTTCTAAAAAAAGGCACACGGTTTCCCTTTAGAAATGTGCATCAGGAAATGCTGCATGTTGAAATCCCCACCCTGTACAGAGATGTATGTATGGGTGATACTTATGAATGGGTATAACCATGGCTTTTCACACGAAAATGATAGTGAACAGAACATTATTCATACGTATGCAGTGCCACAAGTTGACCTGTTACGTTGATGACAAAGCAAACCGTTTCCAAATCGGCTAAAAATTGAGCAAGTTATTATTATTACAATACCACTAAAAACACAATCAAGTCAGTAGGTTGTCAAAAAATGCAGTACGCGCCTGTTATGTTAGTGGACGTGCGGATCGATCCAGAGGCGTAGTTGCAACGCTCCATTTACCCTCACTCACCTATTGGCGATTCAGTGTGTGAGCGAACGGTCACGTGCAGACTACGAGACCGCCGCACCTCACTGGGAACTACGCTGGGGCGCCATCCGCTAAAAGGACTTGGAATTCGAAAGGTATTTAAAGTCCTCTAGGCAAGTCCTTGTGTCAGTCAAGGTGCACTACATTTTTGGGGGGCGATTTTGACGTCTGGGAGACTGTGCTTGGCTCGATGACGCCCCAGAAGCCGTTTTCCAACTCGCAAATTGCTTTAGCTTTTACGTTATTGGGTCTGAAAGAGGCCAAAACTGCCCCAGATGCATTGTGGGTAATCTCCGAAACCGCTGCGTAGTATGAAATATCAAGACATATTCATAAAAAAAAGTCACTTGTACCATTGTATGTGCTGATTGGTGGGATGACCCTAGGGCTACATCACATTTGTCTTAGCCACAGGGCTCATTACACCACTGATTAGGTGTTCTATTTGTCAACAGGACACACCGGCCAATCGAGCTCTGTCATTTTGAACCATCACGTTGTGGCGAGTGGAATTCTAGGACGGAGTGGAATTCGGCTTGATGCAGGGTTCAGGCAAGAGCAGGTGCAGTACCGTTTTCGGCCTGCATGGCGTGCCAATGAGTAGGTTCAGCCGTTCCAAAGTAGATGGATAGATATATTACACGGTACTTTCTGTGAGGGTAACGAAAATAAGTTTGTTTAACTTTTATCCACAAAACAATTATGTTTTGTAATTGTGGAATTTGCACTGTAACACAAGCTACAGCACATGTCATTTGGCAGAATGGGAATGAATGTTATGTCTGAAAGGTGGATATGCCTCATTTCTTCCAGAACAGGACCCTCAGCCAGGCCACAACAGGACAAGGCCAAACAGGCCAAACAGGACAAGGCCAAAGCATGACTCTCACATAACACACACAACACATAGCATACTACACATCTCATGAACACCAACAAGAATTTTGTCTTTTTCATTTTAAGTGGCCCAAATCGCTTATATTAAAAGTAAACTAATGAAAATTGCTGCTGTGATTTGATTCTTTTAATAAACCATGTAACTTGATGATCCATGGTTTTGAACAGGTGTGATGTGTGTGGTCACAGCGCGCACATCTGATTTTGTTCACAGTGGTCCTCCGTGTGCTCAGGGAGCTTTTGTGTGTGCCCAAACACGTGAAAAATCAGAGGGAACATTGCTGGCAACCTGACCCAAGAGGGATTTTAAATAGCAGACTTATCCTGAAGAAGCGGAATACTCTTCAGTCATGAAGGAAGACTCACTACGGAAGGTGTTTAGGCCAGCAGAGAGGGCCTTGCTGGCCCTGACGGCCCACCACCTGTAGAAAACCTGTAGAAACTGAAATATATAGAGTTGTACAGTCAGTTTGAGCTCACAATCCTGACAATTGTGATAATAATACAGAAAAGCTCTGAGAAACAAGCCAAGTTAAAGAGACAATCAATATGATTGTATTTAAAATAACACATACGCCTAAAAGAAAAAAGTAAATATGAGGAGGATTAAGGAGAACAAAGACTTAATGTAATCAATTGGCGCAAAAGCAGCTCGTGATGGTTTTGTGCATCTCAGCTGATCTCTCAGGGAGCGACGGGGACGCGTCATGCCACATCACGTCATGACGCTGGCACATCTGACTCTATACCAGGGGTCTCAAACTTGCGGCCCGCGGGCCAATTGCGGCCCTCGGGACGATATTTTGTGGCCCCATCCTTAATATGAAAGTGTAATGTTAGTGCGGCCCGCAAGTTTTATACTGTAACCCCACTGTCAGCTGCTGTGTGGGACATGTTATGATGTTCTGGTTTCCTACTGTGTGCTTGTCCAGTGAACGTGGCATGCATGTGACTGACATGGGGGGCGGGTCGTGTGTGTCGGCCGAGGTGCAGAGAGCAGGAGGGTGAAATTCAGTTTCCTGCCCTCTTTCGCGCAGGTGATCATGTGACTAACCGTTAGCATCGCTCGTTTAATAAAGTTTTCCTTTACGACTCACACTAACAACACATGAAGCATCTGACGTCACCGACGAGCGTCTCCGTCCATTACTACGCAGCTTCGATTCACGTAACTTCACGTTTGGCCATAAAGGAATTCCACGGTCACATGACCTTAGGTCTCCCCCGCTGAGTTAGAGGAGGACTCGTGTTGTAGTCTCATTCGAACCGATCCCCCAGGGTGGGGTTCAATGACTGCTTTTGAAAGTGAGTGTTAAGTTGTGTTATTGTCGACCATGCCGTTCGGATGCTAGTCTGGCCCGCGTTTGGTTGAAGTGGGCTGCATCTGGCCCGCAGCTGATTTGAGTTTGAGACCCCTGCTCTATACAGTCTACTGGACAGGAAAAAAAGATATATATCTTGATGATGTTTAGGCCAGCAGAGAAGGCCTTGCTGGCCCTGACGGCCCACCACCTGTAGAAAACCTGTAGAAACTGAAATATATAGAGTTGTACAGTCAGTTTGAGCTCACAATCCTGACAATTGTGATACTAATACAGAAAAGCTCTGAGAAACAAGCCAAGATAAAGAGACAATCAATATGATTGTATTTAAAATAACACATACGCCTAAAAGAAAAAAGTAAATATGAGGAGGATTAAGGAGAACAAAGACTTAATGTAATATTGAACTGACTTAATGTAATGTATTGATGCAAAAGCAGCTTGTGATGGTTTTGTGCAACGGGGACGCGTCCTACCACGTCACGTCATGACGCTTGCAAATCTGACTATGTATAATCCACTGGAGAGATTGGACAGGCAGCATGTGATCATTTGGCCAAGTATAATATCCTGTCTGCCTTAATGTATAGAAAAGGCATCCCATGTTAAACCATGTGCCCTTTTGCATGTCTGGTCCTGCATACACTTGTGCACATTATTAGCCTCGACTCATCTATGAAGCCTCTGAAGGGGCGCAGGTGATGTGTAACTCACAGACTGAATGAGTAACCCACTAACAAGATCGGACCAATGAGGCGTCTTCCAGGACTGAGGTCCCGCTCGTCCAAAGTACTTGTCCGTCTTATGTTTTCTTTGGTTGAGTAGTGCGCATGGTAATGTAGCAAGGCGTGCACAGGCTTTAACTCCTTACGGTCTAAACGGTTTTGCGTTGTTGGATGTTAGTTTTGTTAGACGGGGGCATCGGGTGCAATGTTGCAGATCAGGGTTAAAGTCGCTCTCTTGCTTCTGCTATTGGCGGTCCGGGGTGTTGCACAGCAAGACACCCAGAATAAAGGGTGTGTTTGTGGACACCCTGGAATACCAGGGGACCCTGGACACAATGGGACACCCGGACGAGACGGCAGAGATGGACTCAGAGGGGACAAAGGTGATCATGGTAAGTTAAAAACTTGAAACAATTCACTTTTCTCCTTGCCGTAATCTTTCAACTTTTGATCATATGCCTCTCATTTCTCAATCACCCAATAAAAGGTCAAGTTGGCCCTATTGGATCAGCAGGCCGTGACGGCCACAAGGGAGACAAAGGGGAACTCGGTATGCGCCTTCAGAGTGAACTGCACCAGTGAAAAACAAACAGATCTGTCGTTGCCGATCTGGCTCTCTGGATTATACTGAATAGTAAACACTGACCGTAGAAGGAAGGGAGTTTTATTGTGTTCTTGTCATTTGCAGGTGCAGTTGGCCAAGCAGGGCTCAAGGGGAAAAGGGGAGAAAATGGAGAACGGGGGCCGCCTGGGAAAATGGGGCCCCAGGGAGTCCAAGGGACCATGGGGCTCAATGGAAGTAAGGGTGAGCTTGGGCTACCTGGACCCCAAGGACCTAAGGGAGATTTGGGCCCTCTTGGACCAGAGGGTCCAAAGGGGGAGACTGGCCTTCGAGGTGACAGAGGCATTCAGGGTCCTTTGGGGCCTCCTGGGAAGATAGGGCCTAAGGGGGAAATCGGTATCCCGGGTTACAAAGGCAATATTGGTTATCGTGGTGAGAGAGGAGCTCGAGGGGAGCAAGGGGACAAGGGTGATAAGGGAGATGCATTCGTTATCTCAAAAAGTGCCTTCACTGTGGGACTCACAGCGCAGAGTAAACTGCCGGCAGCTAACGCACCGATCCGGTTCGATAAGATCATCTACAATGAACAGAATCACTACGACGCACAAACAGGGAGATTCACATGCTCCGCAGCAGGAGCCTATTTCTTCACCTACCACATCACCGTCTTCGCCAGGAACGTCAAGGTGGCTCTGGTGAAGAATGGTGTAAAGATAATCCACACCACAGATAACTACCAGAGCAGCGAGGATCAGGCAGCAGGGGGCGCTGTGCTGCACCTGTCTGAGGGGGACAAGGTCTGGCTGCAGGTGGCTGGAGGAGAGCTGTTCAATGGGCTCTTTGCCGATGAAGATGATGATACCACTTTCTCTGGGTTCTTGATCTTCATGGCTTGAACTGGGCATAACTTCTTAAGGAACTGCTGCTAAATGTTTTATGACAAACAGAAGTCAGTTGGGATAATTTACCCGGTCCCTCAGCTTTAGTTGATTTCATTACATTGTGCAATGTAATGAAGACAGCAGCATTGTGCAATGTAATGAAGTGCATTTACGCAACTACCGATCAGATGAACTTTTACTTTACTTGCGCTTTTCCATTGTATGCTACTTTTACTGCATTATGTTTTGCGGTGCCAAACATCATACGTTTTACTCAACTGCAGCCACCTGAGTACCGTGGTGATTATAAATGACAATCTATTGGTATAGAATAACTACCCCGGGAAATGAAGTAGTTTGAAACAGCTCCAAACTGTAACTTATCTTTTACACATCAGTTATAATAACCTAATGAATACTGTAGACACAGGTTAGAGAGTTTTCTTTAGTTTTCTTTTCATGTGTTGTGTACATTTAACTGGAACGGGAATTTCCAGTTGTATTACTTTAAAATAATCAGATTTGTCTCCCACAGCTGGTATTATAGTTTCATGATTTAGTTAATTCGATTTAAATTGGCTTTCTTGCCAGATCTTATTCATATGAATCTGGTGGAATAAGATAATCAACCTGTTAATACAAATTAAAAAAAATCATTGAACACATGAAAGCAAAAGTTACCACGAGTGTGTGTTTTTTATTTTCCCTGTTGCGGCGTTACAATGATTGCTACTCTGGTATTTGGGGATGGGCATGCACAGCAGAAATACTCGAGACATTCGTTGTCTTTGGCAACATGACACGAGGAAGAACATGCAACCGCAACTGGAAGGTCCAGTCTTCTTTTTCTTTTTTTTTTGTTCAAAGGAGCCGCCGGAAATGATGAGCACCATTTCCTTTTTTTTCTTTCATTTTTTTCTCTCCCAAAAAGAAAGGTGTTTTCCCCCCTTTGGCTCTGCGAGACCCCCCCGAGAAACCCCTTCTAAACGATAGTGGCGTTTTAGGCGGGTTGGTCCCCCCGTGTCACCCCAATAACCTCAATTGTAGCCTCTGTGTAGCAGGCCCCCCCCCCCCCCCCCCCCCATGGCACACTGCAACAAGTGCGTCGATGATGCTCGCTAGCTCGATCCTCCAAGAAAGACCTAACGTTATTTCAACGGGAGACATTATAGAAATAACGAGCCTTTCTTCGTCGACCTTGGAAGAGAGTAGGCGCAACCTACTCATTTTTTGTGCCGTTACTTCACTTTCCAAGTTGCTTGTTGCTAGTCGGTGAAAGCGAAAACAACAACAACCGCAAAGAGTTTTTCAAGAGGTCCGCCAGCCATTCGCCTCAGCATGTTGCGGGGTAACTGGTGAGCAGCTCCAGCGCATTTATCGCGGGTGTGTGTGTGAGTGTGTGCTTCTTTCCTTTCTTTTGTGTGTGTGTGTGTGTGTGTGTGTTTGTGTGTAACCGACATGTTTTTACGAGACGACAACGACCAGGAGCGCGAGGCAGCGAGCCGCGCGCAGCGCAGAGGAACCCGGGCTGCTTCACCGAGGCCCCACCGCGAAAAACAGCTGCTGCGTTGATGTGAGAAGAAGAAGAAGAAGCAGAAGGCCCCTTCCACCCCCACCATATAAAAGGTCAGAAGGGACAACATCAACGACTATGAGCAGGGTGAGCGAGAGTTGTGTTTGACTGATAACGTGACTCAGCTTTTTAAGAAAAAAACACACATGCCAACAGGGTCCGCTCTCGTGTTCTTCTTGTTCTTCGAGAGCCCCATTGTGGAGCTGGTTGTTATAGTGATGTGGGAGACGCCAGGCTGTGCAGGGAGTTGGTGGAGGAGGGATTGGGGGCACCGACTGCAAAGAGCTTTAAGAGCCAAAGAAAGTTAATTAATGCAGAAGTAAATAAGCATTCCCCCCCCCCCCCCCCCCCCCCCCCTTGAGTTCTCTGAGGGCTGTAGTCCGCTTCTGACTTTGAGACACGTGGGAGTCTGCAGCCATCACTACTGTTTACTCATAATTAAATATCTTGTTTTTGTGCCCCCCCCACCAGATGGAATGTTATATAGCTCCACAGTGTCGAAATCATTCATTGTTGAATAAGGTTCTACTTTTTTTTATTACAACAGCGATGATATGATAATTACTTTGTATCATTAACCTACCTTCAAAAACGTAGTCTTTGTGTCAGGGAGACGCATTCATTCATTACACCCCTCGGTCTCAGAGACCCACACATGATATCAGTGGAGTTGTGCTCGTGAGAAGCGATGTTTTTCTTCTTCTTAGACTTCTTCTTTCGTGGTAATTGAATAAGAAGCCGGGGGATTATAGGTGCCTCGCTGTCAGGTTCCACCGTCGACCGTTGACAACGACACTCAGTGTTGTGGTTTTTTTTTGCCCTCCCTGAGCCTTGTGCGCTGTGTGGTGTTAGGTTTCTCTGCCACAGTGCACAGCGGCAGATCAGGGGAGTAAGTGTCTGTGTCAGAGGGGTGACACTCCCTGGTTTCGCCTGTAACTGTACTTCCCACGCTCGATGGAAAGGGGGCGTGCCACCTCCCAATCGACTTCATTCTTACGGATCAAAGAAAAGAAAAAGAAGCGAGGAACCGGGTTACAGGCAAATATGAGGCCGCTAAAAAGTGGAGCGCATGCCGCCCCCCCGCTGTCAGGGCATCGTGGGCCGTGTACAAGCTTTGGGTGTCACTCTACTCTGTGCTGAATAGCTTAGTTGTCGCCCCGATTAGGTTATCATGTGTAGATGAAACCAGTCCTGAACACGGACTGGTAAAGCTCCTCTAATAAGATTATTACTCTGATGGAGGAGGCAGAGGCTACACACACAAACACACACACACACACACCCTGTCCCACGCACTGCCCCCTGTTCTTTCACAGTTTCAGTGTACCAGCATCAAGCCTCCGGGCACCACAAGGTGAATAGACAAAGCACAGTGACCCCTTTTTTCTTCTAGTTCTGGAGATATGTGCAGCCGAAGGTTACAGAACCCTAGTTACGCACCCCGATTTAGCTAATTCAGGCGATCCATTGTTTGAAGCACTATGGTGTGTTGTTTTCAGGACATGTCAGAGCTACGTCTTCCTCATGCCTTCACTCCGCGAGTCAAGTAGACAACCAGTAATGTGAAAGGGAATGACGGCGTTGCTCCGGGGTGGATGTGGCTGTCTCACAATTACTTCCCATAATGGGAAAATGACAGACAAACCTTCCTCTGATACTGTCTGTCTAGTACTTTTCAAATATAATGCGCAGGAGATTTTTGGGCCTAATGGGAGTCATCCCTTATCTCGGGCAGGACATAACTCTGCATGCGGGAACTAGGAGGCACTTAACACTAAACATTTAGGACTCCGAGGCATAACTGGCTGGTTTTGTGCCAAACAGGAAGAGAGTCTGATGGATTTGCTTTCCTCCCTGCTCAGCTCAGTGACCACGGGCCGCGCAATATGCGAAAGGGATGCTCTAACTATTGGCGCGCATTTTTTTGGGAGGGCAGGCGTTGATCCTTTCTATACTTGTTTATGTATCTGGAGGAAGTGTTTTCATCCTGGGGAGTTTATTCTGAGGCTGTTCCCACCTGCCTCCATTTTTTTTGTGGGGGGTGAGAGAGAGAGCTCCTCCCTGCACGCTTAATTAACTCGAGAGCAGGCCACTAGTGCACGGCTCCCCATCCACCGCCTATCAGGAGAACGCCTGAGAGCAACAGTGACCCTGGTACGGAGGCACAGCGAAAATGATGTAGGAAAGTTCATCGGAAAACGGATAATAGCCCGTGATCTGAACATACGTGAGTAAACGTGTTTGACGGTTGCAACACGCGTAGCTGTGGACGTGGACGTAGTAATTGCTTTTATTTCTTCCGTCTTTTAAAATATGGAGGAAAGTGAAATATTTAAACATCTGTGATCTAGACTTTTAGAGATAAATGAACAAAAGTTACAGTACCTCAAGAGAAGAACCAGTGCCCCCTTATTACATTTCATTTCTTGCCACATAAAGAACAGCTTTTCATAGTTAAGGAAACTGCAGTTGTCCGTGTTGAAGCTGGTCTTAACTGTTGTGTTGCCAACTCACATACTATTTCAACAGTGGAACAAGTTTGTCCACCGTGCACACCAAAGCTAGCATTGTCATTCAGGTTGCTGCATTCGGTTTAGACTATAAATATAATCATAAGGCCCATGTAGACGTCACCAGGTATTGTCAGCCAACATACTGGGGGCTTATTGGCGTGTAAAGCAATTAAAGTGTGTGTCTCTTTTTGGTGAAAGCCACCGTCCGCGTCACCTGGGTTCTGACTAACAGCAGCATCGGCCCGTGATTGTCGGCGCCAAGTATCGGGGGGTGGGCAGAAAGGTGTCGAAGGGGTTGTGAGTATTCAAAATGAAAAAAAAAAACTCTCAGCTCGTAGAAATTCCTTTCCTATCGCCCATCTTTCCGCCTGAAGAGGCGATGGCGCAAAACAAGCCCGCCTGTTTGCGGCCTCAACGTGATTCATCGGTGGCCCGAGCTGCAGAGGAGCACAAGAAGACAATTCAACGTGTCTGTGAGAGCGGCACATTGTTCTCGGGGGGGGGGGGGTGTTTACTGTCCGTCAGCAGCGGTGCTTGGCGGCGGTGTCTCTGTGTTTACATAACGTGATGGAAAGAGCCGCTCATGAGTGACTGGACGTCCCACAGAGAGTTTGACCGAGGGAGCCCAACACACACACCCACCCCCCCCCCACAATAAAAACACTTAGAAAATGTTCAACAATCCACAGTTTTAATGCCTGGATTAACATTTATAAGCCACATTTTACGTTGTGGTGCATATTTTAGGTGTGTACTGCGAAATGTAGTTTATTATCAATTTTCTCTACAGGCGGGGAATAAAGTAAAGTTATACAGTAAATACGATGGTAATCCATCAAGTTGTTCTATTTAAATGTAATTAAACCTTCAAGAATATTACATATAATCCATTGTATTAATCTAATAACTGTTTCCTGTTACACAAACTAGTTTTAATAGTCATTCAACATTGTTGCCATCATTGTCGACATACTGTATCCTCTAAATATTCTCTCATCTTTATTTTAGATCATCTGCCAGACAGTTTGCCGTTGTAGAAGTGGTGTGATGACTATTGAGCTCCTGTGGAAACATTGATTCATAAAGAGACGAGCCATCGTAATGTTGTTGCTGATCTGCTTTTCCCACTGAGAGAAGCTTAATGGATTGTGTGAGAAACGCCTACTAGCAAGAGTCCTAAGCAGGGCTGTCTGTGTATGAAGATAAAGAGTTAAAGCTAGAGCTAGTTTACTAATTTGAAGGCCACACCCCTCCACACACACACACACACACACACCGTCGCCTTATCACGTAATCTAGAGAAAACCGGGCAATTTGTTGCATTAATCACAATGGATTAGCAAGTTTCATTGCTTAGTCACGCTCACAAAGCCCCACTTCAAAGGCTCAGCTGCATTTGCCGAAGCCCCGAAGCCCTCTCACAGACACACACACACTCACATAAAGCTGACCTTGGCACAGCCCCCCCCCCCCAAGCTCTCCTTGGACATTGTAATACAGCACCGAGGACAAATGCATGTTCTGTTCTCAGTGAAATATGTTTTCGTCCTCTGGATCCGGTGTGTGCACACGCAGCGGTATCCATCTTTGTTTATGGGTGTGTCCCCATTTCTTCATAACCTTTTTAGGACCATTCACTGTTCTATCATGAAATAAGCAGAGACCTCTCAGATGAACTAAAATGCATCTGTTTGGTTTTTCCAGGCAGAACTACTGGACAGGGTCTCGTCCACCAGCGAAGACTCTCTCCCGGGCCTCCAGAACTCTGAAGGTGACCCGCGGACCCACAGCCGACCCCGCAGCCGACCCCTCAGCGATTCATACCCGTTTCACAGTCCCGCCGACAGAAGTGTGGTCCCGTGTCAGCTGTCCGGGTGCGGCGCCCAGGTGCAGCCGGTGTCCGGGGGCCCTTACGAGAACCAATCGAATGGCATCAACTCGTCGTCCTGGTCCAACCCCGTCATAGGTCAACCCGAGGGCAAGCCTTATTCCTCAAGAATCATGAGGCTTTTTTCGAACCCGAGGAAGGGCCCCGTCCCCGCCCGCGGTCCGACCACTGACAGTCCCGCCCCGTCCCACGGCAACGACAGTAACGGCGTCCCCCAGTCCTGGTCGGGACTACCGGGTCTGGGTGTGGTGGACTCCTTCAAAAAGCTGCGTTCCTCGGTGCTCCAGGGTATTCAGAGCAGAGGGGCGCACAGCCAAGACGGAGAACACGACCCGTCCGACCAGCAAGTAGCGAATGGCACAGGTGCGGCCCACATGTACCCCAGTCCAGCCGACGCTGGAACCCGCTTAAGGTGTGCCGACGGATACGGTGTGCCCAACGTACATTATAACGGCCAAACGTCGGCCGCGACGAGCCGCTGTGGGTCCGACGACGACGATGAGGAGGAAAATGATGAAGGAGATGAGCTGGCGCGCAACACGCGGTTCTCAAGGAGCATCAGGAGGGCGTACGGGGCCGGTCGCATCTCTTTATTGGACACGGGGAGCAGGAGGACGGCGGGAAGCGGTCGGGAGCCCGATCGGACCCCCGGCGCCGACCTCCAAACGGATAACGCGACGGAGGACGCTAATGTGAGCGTGCTGAGCAAACTGACCAGAAGTGCAGAGAATCTTCACATATTTAAGGCGCCTTTTAGACGCAAAGCCCCGTCTCCGGGACCGCCTTCGCTTCAGGAGGACACCCAGTGGTCCGCAGCGTCAAACGGGACACCAAACATCCAGAGGACAGCCAGCGCCTCCTCAGTGGATCTCCAGGGACACGCTGTCGGCGGCGCGAAGACCAAGAGGCCGATGCTGAAGCTGGTCGGCAGCATGACCGACCTGACTGTCAGACGCAGGCGGAGTCCCTCCCCCAGCCCCACCCCTTCCTCTCCGCTGTCCCCGCTGACCCGTCTCCATGACGACTACTCCCGCCGCACGCCTTGCCTGGCGACCGGTGAGCGACAGCGGCGGCCCTCGCCCGTCAGAGCCCGGCTCATGTCCGCCGAAAGCGCCGCTCTGGTCCATCTGCAGCCCGAACACGGCGACGGCCCCGGGCAGCGCAAAGGCCCCACCGGCCTGGTTCCCGCGGAGCCGCCGGGGGGAGCGCAGACGACTTCCGCTGACGCCTTTGCGCGTTGTGAATCGTCTTCCGGAGCCACGGCGGGTGGTTACAAACCGAGAGCAGAGCGCGGCTCGTCTCCTCTCGTCTACAAAGAAGCATCCCGACCCCAGCGTCAGACTGAGGACAACCTGCGACCCCACGAGGTAAGGCACGAAAAATCACCTGTGTGGAAATGACACAGGTCTGAAAATATAAAATGTGCTTGATAAACACTGTGTGTAGGCGTAGTCAATAAAAGCCCACTTATGTCCCCCTGCTTATTAACAGCGTGATCATTAATGGGTGTCAATCGTCCCGCTGAAAGGCATTGACCCTTGTCTCTGGGAAAGGAACCATCACACCTCTGAGAAGTGATTTTATAAAGCAATCTTTGAATCTCTTGATTCTAACACACTGCGATAAGTTGACACGTCCGCTTGCATCGCGCTCGTAAAAAGCTGTGGGTGTCCAAAGTCCTTTTTTACTATCAAATAAATGATGATCGTTCACCGCTGCCCCCCCCGTCAGCCCGGTATAATTGATTGACTTCTGCTGCTGGCGGGTCACATGCTAAAGCCAGCTGGACTGTGCTACCAGGCGCACCGAAGGAGCCGAGTTAATCATTAGGCTTTGTTTATGATTAGTGGTCCCTTGCGCAAAACTGCTCCGTAGTCCCGTTGCAGCGGGAGGGTGGAGAGCTCTGAGCACGTACAGCACCCCCCCCCCCCCCCCACCCCCCACCCTCTTGCTGAAGCCAAGGGTACCAAAGTCCAGCAGCCTGGACACTGGGCCCTTGGGCCGCTAGCAGCACCAGCAGGTAGGCTCCATGGACGACACCGCTAAGGGTGGGATTTGGCTTTTGAAAAATGATCCGGAAAAATTGTATTTTCAGAATTTATGAACAAGAAACGTTAGAAAGTGTTTTTTTACCGGCCTCGAAAGAATTAAGCGTCAGAGGTCAGTCTGCGTCCTCACAATGGTGCTCGTCCACTGTGTGCCCTTCCAGTGTATATGCCGGGGACCGGACCTGGATCGAGAGAACCAAGAGGTAAGGTTTGATTATCGCAGGCTGACTGAGAGACAAATGAGTAACCAGGAGCCAATATTTGAGTTTTGAGCACACAATACATACATACATACCGATATAAATACAGAGTTGATAACATTAAATTGTGGGATATTTGTGGAATTTCAGTTGCAGGTCTTGTTTGAACTTGATAAGCAGAGGGCTTTATTGTGTTCGATAAGAGGAGTCAATCACTGTGTGAACTGAGTTTTATCAGAAGGGTCTTGATAAAAACTTCACTGATTATTGTGTTTTTTTGCCAATAGACCGAGACAATTGCGTTGGGTTGGAGCGTCGTTTCTGATTATCAAACGTGTCCCAACACAGTGTGCAATTGCAGATCGTTGAACAGGGGGAGCGGGGGGGGGATCCATGTCATCGTGCTTATTGAGTTTTAAACGATGCTTATCTGATCCTCAGGCGACATCGGACCAACCGGAGCCAGAAGCCCTTCTCCAAACAGAGGAAGTCTCTCCAACTCCCATCACAACCCCTCCCACCTCTTCCACGAGCCTCTCCGAGTCGCCCACGTCGCCCGCGGCCGCGTCCTTGGAAACGTCCTCCGTCAAGCCGAGGCGGAGGAGCGGACACTCGAGACCTCGTCCCATCTCTGACTACGGGCAGCTCGTTTCCAGGAAGAACCCCATTCCCGAGGAAGGGGCGGAACCGCGCGCCGAGGAAAGGACAGCGGAGACATCCTCGCATAAGGACAGCAGTGCTAGGGACTTGTGCGGGATTGGACAGAGCCCGGAGACATGCAGCATCAACAGGGACGATCAAGGAGGCACGAGGCAGCGTCCAGTCTCTGTGATCGGGGGGGTCGAGGAGAACGAGGAGAAAGAAGACCGCCTCCCTTCTGTAAGCCTTTTAAAGTTCTTGTTAGAAGCAGGTCGCTGTTGATGGTTTGAATGAGAATTCTTGTTTGGTGGACTTCAGGCGGATCTGGTCACCAATGAAAGAATCCAAACCAGGAAATTCAAGTTCAGAATCATTTTTAAACAAAATTTGTTGTTAAAAATCCTGCCTCTCCCTCACTTTGTTTTGGTAAGAAATATATTTCTTCCCAATGCTCCACAAAATAGAGCTTTAGCTCAGTAGTTTCAGGTGTTACCCTGTATCGAAGGCATTAAAAGACTACAACTATATTTCTTCAATGTCTGGATTATGAGCGTCTGTCGAAAAAGTCCCAGGTTCTATTTCTATCTCACCACCACCAGGACGGCGGCGAGAGCTTGAGTAAGTGAGCACTTCATAAATCCCGGGGTGTTTATTTTTGTTTTTTCCCCCCCCTGTCTCTGCAGCTCTTGTCGCGGCCGCCCATCCCCTCCCACCAGGTCCCCCCCTACAGAGCCGTGTCTGCCAGGTTTCGACCCTCCGCCCTCTCGCAGAGCACCCCCATCGGACTGGACCGCGTAGGGCGGCGTAAGCTCCACAGAATGCTCAGCGGTGAGAACCGGGGCTGTTGTTGTTGATCGCAAAGCTGTTCCTGTGGGAAAGCCGAGTCTGGGAATGTCAATAAGCGTGCTGCAGGGGGAAAAAAAGCGGCCTCTTTAATTGAAAATCCCGTCAGAACGTTATCAGCTTTTAACCCCTGTGTATGTGCTGCAGAGGGTTTGTCTGAGTGCTCGGCGGCGCTTGATGACAGCGTGAGTGAAGAGGAGGAGGGCAGCTTCGACGAGCTCGCCGATGCAACGCCCTACCTCCAGCCAGGGGTGGAGCTGTCTGTGCTCAACGAGGTACTTCCCAGGGGGAGGAAGTTGACGTGTTGCAACACTCGAAGCTCTTCTCCAACGATATGTATTGAATCCATGATGTAACCTTTTAATCCGGCTGTGTGTGCTGTGTGAATGTGTTTTTGTTACGTTGTATGAGATGTTTTACAGGACATGTCTAAACATAATCGGACGTGTTTGACTTGGGCTTAGCCTGCATGTAATTGTGTTTTTATCTTATCTCCGTGTGTTCCTCTCAGTGGATAAGCTCTGGCAACGCGGTGCATGCTGAGGCTCTGTGGGACCATGTGACCATGGAGGAGCAGGAGCTGGCCTTCAAGGCCGGAGACGTTATCCGTGTCCTGGAGGCCTCGGATAAGGACTGGTGGTGGGGCAGGGGGGCTGACAAGGAGTCCTGGTTCCCCTCCAGCTTTGTGAGGGTAAGTGGACTTCCTGACCTACGCGTCTGAAGCATGTTTGCTCTCCAAAAGACAAGCGCCGCAAACTGGCTTAACTCCAAACAAGCCCCGTCGGCCCTCTTCACTGTGGGGACGGGCTCCAACCTCAGAGGTTTAACTTGTTTCTGGGGGGACCAGAGCTGATTGACAGTTGAGTCTTAATTAGTGCAGGCTGTGGTAACCATGGTGAGGTCATTTGATTGGCAGATGGCCATCTGCTGTGTAATTGCTTGGAACTGAATCGATGATGCCAACCAGGAGCTGGTTAAACTTGCACATGTTGTTTCCATAGTGATGAGGAATTTTCTTTAGTCTAAGCACTTAAGTTCTAATTCAGTTTTTATTTTGCTAAGGAGCTTTAATCAACCAAAAAAAATAGTAATGTCTCGAGCCATGTTTGTGTGGGGAACGGAAAGGATCCTGATCGACATGGACTTATTTTGGGATTGGAATGCTGCTCAGCAGATCCCATTGTGAGTGCGGCGGTTGTGTTTTTCAGGTGCGAGTGAACCAGGAGGACTCGAGTGCTGAAAGTGCAGAGAGTGTTGCGGACCAGGAAGATCCGGCTCCCAGGGACGCACACAACGCTCAGCACAAGGAGCAGATGAGAACCAACGTGGTTCAGGAAATCATGAATACCGAACGCATCTACATCAAGCACCTAAAGGACATCTGTGAGGTACGTGCGTTATTTAATCAATGCAGTGGTCTACGCACTGCTCCTAAGCAGCCCCTACAATTCCATTTCTACTTTGTGAAACATTTAGCAAGAGTAGTTCAATAATGACGTTTCTCTTTAGCTCCCCCTGCTGTTAAGTGTTTGAACTGTTTCTGTGTAGTCAGCTTTCTGGTTCTGTGCACCTCTGCAGGGTTACATCCGTCAGTGCCGCAAACACCCGGACATGTTCACTGAGCTGCAGCTGAAGACCATCTTCAGCAACATAGAGGACATCTACAGGTTCCAGAGGCAGTTTCTCAGAGACCTGGAGAAGAAGTATGACAAAGACCAACCTCATCATAGTGAAATTGGCTCTTGCTTTCTCCTACAGGTAATCCACACAAAACCAGCACACCGTATCACCATGTACATGCTTTTTTGTATGCCAGGTTTAGGTGCTCAATATTTTCATTGAATGTTTCATTTTTGTCCGAAGGGAGAGGGCTTCTCCATCTACTCCGACTATTGTAACACTCATCCAGCGGCCTGTGCTGAGCTGCAGCGCCTCATGAAGTCCGGAAAATATAAGCATTTCTTCGAGGCCTGCCGGCTGCTCCAGCAGATGATCGACATTTCCATCGCCGGTTTCTTGCTAACGCCCGTTCAGAAGATCTGTAAATACCCCCTGCAGCTGGGAGAGCTGCTTAAGTACACCCCCAAAGACCACAGGTACTGGATGTTCCATACATCCCTACTTACTCATGCTCATTTAATACTACTGCGCGTATTGCACATGTTCAGCATCTTTTTATTTACTCATTCTGGAGGCCAGCAAAGACCGCTTCTTCCCTGCCTTCCAGGCTACACCACTTCTTCAACCAACACACACAAACCTGTATATATACAAAACACGAGTCACACGCCATCTAGTTAAATGTTTGACCTAGACTTTAGACCTAATTATGTTTTTTGCTATGGAGACATGTCCTTCTACAAGAAGCCAGCCGTATACCTGGAATCTGTTGTCTGTGAAGCCGAACTCTGTCTCGTTGTACAATGAAAGCTGTGTGCTAACAGCTGCACGTACAGTGTTTGTGGCCTAGCATAAGCTAACCCATTCCATTTATTCACCTTGAATAAAGAACTCGTGGTTTGATAACTTGCGATGTCCGTGATTGGAGTCGAAGTAAAATGGTCTTTCAATTAGTTTAATGCGTATTGCTCACTGTTCCTTTGCTGATTTACTGCAGCGACTACAGCGGAGTGAGCAAAGCCTACGAGGCGATGAAGAACGTGGCCAGTTTGATAAACGAGAGGAAGCGGCGTCTGGAGAGCGTCGACGCCATCGCTCACTGGCAGGTGGCCATTCTGCACTGGGAGGTGATGAGGACTAATCGACACTGCTCCATTTTGCACTATTAATAGAAATGTAGCGTGTCTGTTTCACAGACCCTTTGGGGGAGAACAAATTCTTTATTTCCACGTTTGCGTCTGAACCTCTTCTAAACGTGCCGTCGCAGGGGTCCGACGTGCTGGAGCTCAGCTCGGACCTGATCCACTCCGGCGAGCTGACTCGAGTCGTCAGACAGGGCAAAATGCAACAGCGCAGCTTCTTCCTGTTTGACCACCAGTTGGTCTTCTGCAAAAAAGACGTGCTGCGCAGAGACCTGCTCCACTACCGCGGACGGCTGGACATGGACCGGACCGAGGTGGTAGACGTGCCCGACGGGCGGGACCCGGACCTGGGCCTGCAGCTGAGGAACGCTCTGCGCCTGCGCAATGCCGCCACTCTGGAGTTTGTGTGCGGGCTGTGCTGCAAGAAGGCCCAGGACAAGCAGCGGTGGTTGCAGGCCTTCGCCAAGGAGAGACACCGAGTCAGAGAAGACCGAGAGATGGGTGAGCGGAGGAATTCCTTTCGGCCTTGATGCAAAAACAAAAATGCACCGCCGTGGGTAGATGTCAAATGAAAGGGAGGTTGGAAATATTTTGACGTGTGTGTGTGTGTGTGTGTGTGTGTGTGTGTGTGTGTTTTTGCAGGAATGGAAATCAGTGAAGAGCAAAGAAAACAGGCCATTCTTAATGCCAGGAGAGCCAAACAGAAGAAGAGCAAAAGTAAGGAAATATTTGACTTAATGCCATTTTTAGAATCTTAACTTGTATTCACATTTATACTGTAGAACTGTTTTTATTTATATATATTTTTTCCCTTCACCACGTAGACATTGGTGTCCCACCACACCACCAAAACCTTCACCCAATTCACCAGCGTCACATCACCATCCCCACCAGCGTGCCCCAGCAGCAGGTCTTCTCACTGGCCGAGCCCCCGAAGCGGAAACCTTACCACCTGTTGCAAAGCATCACCTTTTTCAGGAAGTGAGGCTTTGCTCCCTCGTCCCTTTTTTATTTTTTTTCCCCTCTCAACGTGGACGTTCAGAGCACGCCCGAACCGTCCTGAAAATTCAAAGAACACTCGACTACTTTTTCCGTTTTTTGTGCCTTTTGTGTCTTTCGCTTGTGTTTTTGATTTTGTTTGCATCATGACGTCCAGTGCCTGCAAAGGGGCTTTACTAAAGTGTTAAAATACTGACTCTGTTAATTTTGTTGCTGTTAAGATGGTGCTCATTCCCACCCCCCAGCACCCCAAACCTCCACTGCCTTGTCCCAACTGAAAAAATCTACGGCAACAACCATGGTTCCTGTTAGTTTCAGAGTTTGGACCCTCTTTTTCTTTTGGAGTGTCCCCTCCTGAGGATAAATCAACTGACTCCGTCAGCTGCTTTGTTAACACTGTAAATAAAACTCTTGTACAAACTTACCTTGAAGATCATTTTTGTTTTCTTACCCAATTGTTTGTTTTTGTTTTTTTATAGCCGAGCCAACCCAGTAGACCTTGTTTGAGTATCAGTTCCAATCGGATGTGAGCTAATGAATGAAACATTAGCCATAGGACGTCGCCATCAGCGAGCTCGCAGTCCCTCTGACGCCAGGATCTGGTTTCACGCGCCTGTCAACTGCGCTTCCAAACACCGTCGCTCGCCTGTTTCTCACAAGGCGGATTTTTGCTGAAGGGAAAAGACGATGGATGTTAACACTGGGGGATCAGGAGTTAGGCGATAGAGGCGTGAAGGGATGCCCGTGTCATGGGCACAGAGCGCGAGGCCAACGAGAAGGCGAGCGGGGAGGGCGATGCGTCTCAACTGGAAGCTGCCAGTGTAAGTAGGATGTGTCTGAATTATTGGGGTTGTTGCTCTAGACGTAGCGTAGCTTAAACTACAGTACTGTAAATCTTCAGTTTTATCAGTTAAGTCCTTTTTTTCAAGTTTTATTTGGAATACAGCCATTTCCGCTCATCAAAACCTGGAGATTTGAGTGGACGTGACATTAAAACCTCTAACGTGTTTTTTTTCTTCTTCTCCGTTGCTTGATTAAATGTGTGTGAAATAGATTAAGCTTTTTTTTCCGTGGGAATCTACATCCCACCAGCTTGTGATGGATTAAGTGCCTGTTGCACAGTATGGGATGACACCGAATGAATAATACATGTCCGTTGGGTAACTCAATGAGAGCGCAGAGCTGCATCTGATGGAGTTACTGGTGCTGTCGGCCTTTCTTTCTTCCAGAGCCAAAGTGACCAGTAATGGAGCATCATTACTGGTAGACACGAGCTCACATCACTGCTCAACGGCCAAATGTGAATGCTGCCCTTTCACTTTGTGGACATGGATGTTCTCTCTGTGGACCTTGTACCATTTGAATTCTTGCCCCCTCTTTTCTCACATGCATTCTGGATCGATTAGCACATTGTGTGTCCTCCTGCAATCTGTCCTGGATAAGGTGCTGCGATAAGAGACGCGCGTACAGTTTACTGCCACCAACGGTGTGCACTTTGCATTAGAGTGTGAATGTGTCCTCCCTCCTCGGCTGCAGATCGCCGATGTGTCTGTGGAGGTGGCCACAGTCGACCACACACTGCAGAAGATCTGCAGGAAGTACAGGAAGACCAGGCGGAAGCCCAAAGGACTCAAGAGGCTGCAGGCGCGTCTGTTGAGCATCCCCCACCTGGCCGTCATCATCACAGCGGTGGTGTTTGTGGTGCTGATCATCATGTGGTCCCTGCTGTGGGTCTTCCTATGTAAGTCCGAGGATTCTCATCTATAATGTCTTCACAGCGTAGGATTACAAGAGTGGAACTGCATCACCACTTTCATCCCTTAACCAATGTTATATTTTTACATACTTTTGAATTTATATTTTACGGTGGTTAAATATTACATTTTGTTTTTTTACTCACATATTCCTTTTCTTAATTCTTGTATATTGTTGTTTATTGTGTGTACTGTCTGTAAATTGCATCAGCAGTCAGATTTGATTAAAGCAGATGATTTTAATAACGACAGACCTTTAACCCATAATGCAAGGTGTGACTCCATCTACTTAGTTCGCAGGGAAAGCAACAGTGGAGTGTATTTTGCCGGTATGTTTCGTGTTGCCAACGTGGAGTTTATCCCGGAGTACCGGCAGGCAGAGTCCCGTGAGTTTGTATCCTTGGCGGGAAAAATACAGCACGTGGTATGTATTGACGTAACGCAGGTATTTACGCGACGGTCGGTGTTTAACTGGGACCCGGCTTACAGTTAACTGCCGGTGTCTCGTAGGTGAGCAATGTGTTCAAGGTGTCCTCAGTAGCCAGACTCTACAAGCAAGCCATCATTTCAGACCTCAGGTACTAAAGTGGGGCCCGTTGGTCGTCACAACTCACGAAGCAGAACGAGGCCCGGCTCATATTTAGGAGTTGCTTTGTCCCCCGTTTCCCGCCCACAGCAACAACGACAAGGGCGGCGTGCTGGTTCATTTCTGGATGGCGTTTGTGGTCCCTCAGCTAAGGAGCAAATCCGTGTGCGAGGAGTGTGTGGAAGCCATTTTTAGAGACTCTGTTCACATCAGCATGATGAACAGGTCGTCCGTGGGCTACCTGCTGGGACTCCCGGTGGACATGGACTCCATCCTCATCAACGGTGCGTCGGTGTGGTTTCTTTTTTTTTTTTACCCGCGCATCCACGACGAGTGTGTCTCAATAGCAGAGATTGATTGTTGTGTCTTCACTCCAGCTGTTGAGCGGTCGGACTACTCATCAAGCGGAGCAGGTAGGGCGACGACACACGAGGTGTGATTGAAGTCCACATCTGTATGTCGTGATGTGCGCCCACGGGGGGTCGTTTTCCCCTCCCCTCCCCAGGCTCGCAGTGCGTGGGCAAGCTGTACGCCAACCTCCCCGGCCTGAGCGTTCCGCTGAACGTCTTCTCGTCGTGGGGCGACGTGAGCTGCCACGTAAAGCTCACCTCCGCGCCGGGCTCTCTGATCCGCCTGACCGTCACCTCCTTCCTCATCGAGCCCAGCGACTGCGTGAGCGACGGCCTGACCGCGTACGACGCCCTGCTGCCCATGAGAGGGCGCATTCTGCACAGGTCAGGTCGCCGCTGCGTCTTCCTCCTGAAAACGGCAAACAGCGCGCGTGAAGCACAGTATGTCTCTGTGCTGCAGGATGTGTGAGCCAGTGTCCCGCTCGTTCTCCCTGGTGTCCACCTCCAATGTCATGCTGCTGTCCTTCAGGATGACCAACGGCAACAAGAGCTTCAGGGGACACTTTGAGGCCATCGCTGAAGAAAGTATGACAGGTTTACCATCGAAATGTACAGGCCAGTCCTGTTTGACCATACGATTTATTTCATCTTCACACCCGTGAGATTTATCTAGAGACCAATTCTGTCTCTCTCAGTGTCTCAGATTGAGACCCACGTAGAGCCTGACATCATCGGTCAAATCTACAGCCCCTTCCACCCGAGCCTTCTGCCCCCACAGTGCTTCTCCACGTGGAAGTTTGAGGTAGAGCACAGACACGCATGCACACACGTGCAAATAGCTTTTATTGATTTGTGTATTCTGTATTTCCACGCAGACCCCTAGCAGCGCTTTAGGAGTTGCTCTGCAGTTTCAGAACTACGTACTGAAGCCAAAGGAAGTGAATGGCTGCGAACACGGCTGGTGGAAGGTTAACGAAATCATGTGAGATGGAAAACCCAAAACACTTTTACACTGCAAAGAAAATTCGTATTCATCCCACGACAACGACAACCTGTGACTGATCGTTGATGCGGTCTTTCCCCCCCCCTGCAGATTCTGTGGCAGCTACGTGGGGCACCACACGGTGTTTCGGATCTCGGACCACAGCCCAGAGGTGGAGTTTCGCTGCAGCTCGCGTATCTCTGCTCAGCCTTTCCAGGCGACTTACAGCAGCTACAACATCAGCCAGCGTAAGCACTGCTGGACTCTGCAGGATGCTCCGTCAGGAAATGACGGATCAAGTCTCACAATGGACCTCCGTGTGGATGTGATTCATTGACAAAACATTGGAAATAGAGACATGGAAACATTTGACGGACATTTTAAAAGTAAAAGAAACTTATATTTAATCATTGAATTGATCTCTTCCCGTGTGTGTGTTTGTGTGCTCGTGTGCGTGCGTGCGTGTGTGTGTGTGTGTGTGTGTGTGTGCATGCGTGCGTGCGTGCCAGCCTGTCCAGAGAACCACTTCCTGTGCTCCACAGGACTCTGTGTGGAAAAGAGTCGCCGTTGCGACGGCCTTGACGACTGCCAGGATGAGAGTGACGAGGTCTTCTGCTGTAGGTCGTCCTATTGGTCACTTTCAGTTCTGGTTGCTTAAAAGGACAAATGGCACCGCGAAGTACTGGTAACGCATCACACTGTCTCACCCACGTTTTCACAGCGAGGCCGACAAAGAACTGTGGTGGTAACAGCCCTCTGCATCCTTTGTTCGTGTGCAATGGAGAGAGCGACTGCCCCAATGGAATAGATGAGACCAACTGCACTCAGGGTATGAATCCTTACAACGAACACACGTAGCCTTTTACCCTTTAAACGATAATAATTGCAATATGTTCTCTGCTTTTTTGCAGAAACAACCTGCTCCGCAATCAGGTATCAGTGCAGCAGTGGCTCCTGCATCTTGAAAAAAAATGCAAAGTGTGATGGTGTTCTTGACTGTCAGGACCACAGTGATGAGGCTGATTGTGGTGAGCGCTCTGCATTCCCTGCTCCATGTGCACTTCTTAAAAATGGCAGCAAAAAGAAAAAAAACAATGTAATCTGGAAAGTTGGTTTTTTGAAATGTCAACATGTGGTATAATGCAAAACCATTTGTTCTATAAGACACAATATCAACACTTTTAAAAATCAATTTTTAAGAATTTGATATTTTTAATAACCCAGCATTAACAGTTCTGCCCGTCATTGTTTAAAATCAAGTTCTGAAACTCGAGGTTAGAATTATGAAAGTGAAATCATGGTAAAATGCTGTTTCCAGCACTTTTTATCATCATAAATGATTTGCCTGGCCATCATCATAATTGTAGTCCGCCAGGACTGTTGTTGTTTTTTCAACTGACAACCAGTTCAATGATTTATCAACTAAGACAGAATCACACATATAGGGGACATATTCCTCTGAGTTGTTGGCTAATAATGAAGCAACTGATGCATACTGATTATTGTGCTGCTACACGCGCACACACACACACACGCACACACACACCAAACCAAAGTCTAGTGTGATACAATCATAAGCGCAATATCCATCTCTGTGTGCTGCTCAGCCTGCGGGCGTCCCTCCTCGGTGAAGAAGACTGGTTCACCTCCTGGACGGGAGCGCATCGTGGGGGGAGATAACTCCGTGGAGGGGGAGTGGCCGTGGCAGGTCAGCCTCCACTTCTCTGGTCAGCTGTACTGTGGCGCGTCGGTCCTCTCCTCCGATTGGCTCGTCTCAGCGGCACACTGCTTCAGCAAGGAACGGTCGGTCACACTCACTCCGGTTGTGGTTGTTATACTTTCAGAGTTTCTTTAAAACGTGTGTGACCTCTTGAAACACGGTGGTTGCAAACACCCGTCAGGTGTCACGTTATGTGGACACCGCTGGTATTATCAAACTTCAAACAACAATCAACAGGTCATGACGATGGCTGAACCTCACTTCATATTTTATTATATTAAGAGCTTTGCTCACATATCAACTGATTCATAACAATTTATGTCTTCCCCCCTGGTGACCCTTGACCTCTGACTCCACCAGGCTTTCTGACCCACGTTACTGGAGCGCCCACCTCGGCATGCTGACGCAGGGGAGCGCAAAACACGTGGCGGAGATCCAGCGCATCGTGGTGCACGAGTATTACGACGAGTACACGTTTGACTACGACATCGCCCTGCTGCAGCTGAAGAAGCCCTGGCCCCCCTCCCTCAGCCCGCTGGTCCAGCCCGTGTGCCTGCCGCCCTCCTCCCACGCCGTCACTGACAGCCATCGCTGCGTCGTCACCGGCTGGGGGTACCGCTCCGAAGACGGTGAGCAACTCTTTGGATGAAGGCCAGCGGCTTGCGTACATTGGTATAAGTAAATAAATATTCACATCTGTCCATTTGCATGATCTTCACCCCCCCCGCCTGCAGACAAAGTGCTTCCGTCAGTGCTGCAGAAAGCAGAGGTGTCCATAGTGAGCCAGACGGACTGTAAGAAGAGCTTAGGACCTGTCTCATCCCGCATGCTGTGTGCCGGGGTCGCCTCCGGAGAGCGGGACGCCTGCAGGGTGAGCTCACATCCGAATCGAATCCCCCATAATCCCCTGCATTGTAGTTTCTAGGAGAGGAAGTGAATCTTAGAAAAGTGTCCGTGTACCATTTAAACGTTCTTTCGGCATGGACTGCACCTTCTTTGTTTCTCAGGGCGATTCCGGCGGGCCTCTGTCCTGCCAGGCACCGGGCAGGGGCCGCTGGTTCCTGATTGGCATTGTCAGCTGGGGGTCAGGCTGTGGCAGACCCAACCTGCCCGGGGTCTTCACCAGGGTCAACAAATTCACCTCCTGGATCTACAGCCATATCAGCTGACAATGATGGAACTCTTATTCATCCAGTGCAAGCAGATTATATCACACCAATTAAAGCATCTTCAGTGGACTGTGTGTTTGTTAAAGAGCACGAATTTGAATTATAATAAAGTATCCTCCTCCCTCCGAGTCTGTTCATTGGATGTTGATGTTCTGTTTACTGATCAAGTGTCTAGTAGTAGTTTGCCATGCTTTCCTCCCCCATGGAGCACCCAAGGGCGCAGCAGCCAGGCTCCAATGGTTGGACCCCGTGCACGTTTATCCCTCCTGTAGCTTTTGCTCCCACATACACGGCGAGGACAATTTGCCCACAATATCTGTGGCGCGGACGGTTGTGCGGATCGCAGGCGGAGCCTTTCATAGTGCCCTCATTGTCCCCCGCACTGCATTCTGGGGCTCCGCGTGACACCTGCCACCCACTTCAGGTAAACGGGAGTCCGGTGAATGGCCGCAGCATCCGAGCCACTCAGGTCGGATTTCAGAGTTTTTTTGTTTTTTTTTTCGCAAAGGAAGCGACAGTGGGGGTTTCCTCTCTCTCTCTCTCTCTCTCTCTCTCTCCCCATCGTTTCCATGCCTGAGGTATTGTTGCATATTGCCTCTGCGGAGCTAAACGGCACAGTGCTATGAGGACTCTCCCCAAAAGCAAAACCTGCGAAGTGTACTGCGTCTCCGGGCATGGACATGGATCAGACTGCTCCGCTGCACAAGTAAGTCACCAGTCAGTTAGTTGCGCGTAAAGGACAATTGCACCAAACATGACTTTGCCCTCCGTGAGACCTGTGTTATCAATTTATTTTGAATAGATGTTTAACTCTGGTGAGCTTTCTTCTCCAATAGCAGAGGGATGCCTCACAACCAGAACCCCGTTTTAAGCACGCTCGGCCGTGGCTCATCCTAATTGCAAAATCTGTCTCCGGCGGTTTGTGGGTGTCCTTCTCATGTGTGTCCACACCGGGGTGAGCCACTTGATTGAGCCAGGCCGTGGGAAAGTGGACTCGTCTAGCCACGCTTTGTCTGCTCCCCCGGGGAGTCCTGCCAACCCCCTTAAATGTTTAAGAAGATCCTTTCAGCCCAGGGATGCTCACCGTTACTCTCACTGAACCCGAGTCTGCTCGGCCATTAAGTCTGCGCCTCATTGATTTTGGCAGATAGGCTGCGTTTAGTTTGCTGTTCACCTGCGAGTACAACAATTGGAAGCCACTTGAGCCCGAGAGGTTAAAAACCCGGTATGATATTTGAGTCATGCCCTTGTCTCTGGAAGGGAGAGGGGGAGTCGAAGGAGCCTGCCGAGTCGCCGGGCCCCCCCACGGAGCCTGAGGACCAGGCCGAGCAGAAGGCGGAGGGGGGGGGAGCTCCAGCCGGTGGCTCCAGGAGGAGGTGGATGTTGGGTGCGCTGCCTTTCTTTCCCTTCGCTGCTGCCATTGCATTGACGGTCCACTACTTGGCATGTAAGTGCACACCTGCTTCTCTCCCGTCCTCCAAATGTGTTCATTTTGATTTTCACCCAAGTGCACCTGTCCCGCACCTCTGCCCCGCTCCTCTCCAGCGCCGCCCTCCTCGGTGTTCTTCCTCGGTGGCAGCGTGGAGTTCCCGAACCTGAGCTTCTCCTCGGAGCTGACTGACTCCACCTCCCCTCAGTTCCGCCTGCAGGCCCGGGCTTTGAACCGTTATGTAAGTGGAGCGAAGTACTCGTCCGTCATTGCCTCCCTTCTGAAGGACACATTAGAGCGCTGCTTGACCTTCCCGCGCTCAGCCGAAGCCGGTCTTGCTGTTCTAACGTTGATGTGGTTCACTACAGCAGACCGGGTCTCGTCGTTAGTGTGGTGCTTACGTCGCTGCCCTATTTTCTACTTCCCATTAATTGCATTCTTATTTGTTTCCTTTTCTCTTTATTCGTCTTTGTCCTCCACTCTCTTTCTCTCGTTTTTTTTTTCTTCTGCACGCCACTTTTCTCCCCTCTGTCCCTCTCTCTGTCTCTCTCTGGTGGTGTTAAATGTAAAGCTGAAACGGGAGCCGGCCACTGTGTGTGTGTGTGTGTGTGTGTGTGTGTGTGTGTGTGTGTGTGTGTGTGTGTGTGTGTGTGTGTGCGTGTGCGTGCGTGTGCGTGCGTGTGTGTATGTGGGTGCAAGTTCCTGGGACCCCGAGGGACGGGGGCCTTTCAGGGCCGAGGACAAGCCTGGCATTTGTGAGTCTGGCCGGGCCCAAGCGGAGAGAGTGAGAGGAAGATCAGGCCTTCAATAAAAACATTGTCTGTGTGGCTTTCCAACAATCAGCCACTCTGTGTGCTGAACACCACAGAGAGCAGGTGAACCTCAGTTTGACGCTGGGCTTGCGAGGGAGAGACGGGGCAGTAGGGCAGGAGGGGATGACAGAGGGGTTGGAGGCTCGACAGAAATATGAGAAGGGGGGAATTTTGGGCTTTTTGGAGCAAACGGTCAGAAGGTCAGGCCGAAGATTCTCGCTGAGCAGTGGAGAAATGGCAAAACCCCCAAAACCCTACACTGACACGGTGTAATGCTCCTTTAGGGCGGGTTAGCAGGCTTGTTAAGTGGTCACAGTATCTGTGCTGCCGACTGTTCATTAAAGAACAGGTGAACCCAAGGCCAGGAGCCCACACCTCAAAGGCTCCTAGCTCTACACGGCCGGCATGTAGAGACACAATGGAGCTCTGTGCTGCTCAAAGTCAACATACACACCAGCAGAGGTAGATACACACACACACACACACACACACACAAGAACAGTGCTGGTGTTGAGAGGTGTGTTCGACCAGGTGTTTCCATGTGTTACAAGTGAAAAGTGACCTCACTCGTGATGTCCCACCGATAGCAAACATGTGTCAACTATTGTTTTTTGTCTTTTAAAAAAAAAAAAAAACAGTTCACTGAACTCTACGAGTCTTCGCCGTGGAGCTCTTACTACCTGCACTCAGGAATTACTGCCTTCAGGTTTGACGCATTAACATCAAGCCTCACGATGAAATGACAGAAGTTCACAAACAAAAGGAGACAACAACAGACTTGCACAATAGCAACATTGTGAACCCTTTGTGTGACAGTGAAGGAGCAGAAGGGCTCAATGTCTTCTACTGGAGTAAATTTTCCGCCCCAGGCGACGTTGCCGTGGCGATGAAGAGGTCCGGGCCCGAGCGGCTGCAGCGCAGGCTCCCTGGCAGCAACAAGGTGCAGCGGGACAGCCGCAACGAGCAGCGCTATTACATGGAGCAAGATGACGACACGCTCCACCTGCTGGGTAGAGGCTCTCACTTTAGACACACACACACATATGACGTGCACAAGCGTGTGGTGTTTGGCCCTATGCTGATATTGGTATGCAATAAAAAAAGACTCATGAATAAGACATGAGACTTCAAATAGAAAAATGAATTCACACTCAGGCCTAAATGCTGATAATTGACATATTATAATTCATATTTATTGCTGTAGAGGGGTACTGAATTTGTTTTGGCACCTCCTTTGTGTGCACGTAGGTTTGGACCCTGACGACTTTGAATCAGATGAAAAATCAGACAAGAGTAAGAACCCAAACAGCATCCAAAGTGGGAAGTGGCAGCTCGGCTTCCAAGGTTAGAAGAACACAGCTTCACGCTCCACATCGCTCTTCTTCTTAAAATGTATATGAATGTTTAAGGAATCCCTTCCTCTGTCCAGCAATGTCCTTTGACCTCTACGCCAAATATGGCAACAACCGCACCCTGAGCCTCGTGAGTCCCAAGAAGCCGTACTACCAGTGGCGTCTCCGCGTGCCGTCGGGTCACGTGGTCCGACTGGTCGTCCTCACGCTGCACGGTGCCACGCCGGGGAGCTGCACCGCCCACAAGCTGTCGGCCTACGACTTTTTACTCCCATTACAGAATAAGATAATCGCACGGTAAAAACACGCTTCCCCCCCCACCCCCCCGTACTGATAGCATGTCTGCAAAATGCCCATGTCTGCATGTTGCGTGTAATCACACCCCGGCTGCGTGTACCTGTCTCAGGTGGTGCGGGTTGCCTATTTCCGGTTCGTCGCCCGTCATGAAGCTGACATCCTCTGGGAATGTCATGTTGGTCACCTTCTCCTTCAGCAGACAGAGGGATGGAGCGATCTTCAAAGCGTACTTCCAAGCTATCCCGAGAGCAGGTTTGAGCGCTCTCGTGAAAAGACCTTTTCTACAAATCTTGTGCGATAAGTTTGTGCTGGAATGATTTATTTTCACAGTTGCCTTGGTGTTGTTGTGTATTGTGTGCACTTCATTCCCCCTGCAGGTTGTGGAGGGTCGATTTCCTCCTGGAACGGCTCTATTTCCTCCCCTTACTATCCCTCCTATTATCCTCCCAACGTAGACTGCACCTGGACACTACGGGTGAGTGTGGACATTGAGTGTGTTTGTGTCTGTGGTGGAAACCGTGGAAATATAAGTGTGAATCATGTCTTTAAAACTTGGCCCGTCCACATTCCGGCATGTGGATGCTTTCTTTAGTTGTCTTTGGTTACTTTATCAGGCGCCGTTTCCAGGATACTTGATCTCCATGACGATTGTGGCGATGGACATTCAGGATTCCCGGTCATCAGACGGTTGTGAGAAGGACTGGCTGGACATCGGAGGGATCAGGTGTGGTCCATTAGCAACTCTGGGTCAGCATTTCATTCAGATGAATGAAATGTGTGTTATCTCATACTTGTTTGAGACACTGTCATGTGGCTTCACCTGAGACTCCTTCCTCGTGTGCTCTTCTGCATCTAGACTTTGTAGCCCCGTGTCAGAAAGCGGCAAAAAGCGAGTCTACTCCTCTCCTCTCTCCCTCCACTTCCACTCGGACGAGTCTCTCACCCACAAGGGCTTCCACTTGCTCTATCGCGCCTTCTCCCCCGAGGGCAGTAAGTCAAATGTGATGCCGCTCTCGCTGCAATATGCTCCAACCAGAGGGATGAACTGCTACGGCATGTCATTCGTTAAGGAACTAAAAAAATCAGCATCCACACCAAAGAACGCCCTCTAAATCCAGAGAGTACATTGAAGTTTCCTCCCTGTTTATCCCCAGCCTGCCCTCGGCAGTTTCGCTGTGGCGATGGAGGCTGCATCCCTCTCAGGAAAGTGTGCGATGGAGTGAAAGACTGCTCGGACGGACGCGACGAGGCCAAATGCTGTAAGTGTGTTGCCTGAAGACACTTTTGTAAACCAACGTTTTTGTTTTGTTTTTTCACACTTAATCTGAAAAAAACACAACCATAGTGCTACACTCAGATCTGTATGTGTCTGTGTGTTTCTATGTGCATGTTTGCACATATGTGTAAAACGTGTAGCATCCTGCAGGCCGGGGGAGGTGCTGTGCGGGAACGGCCAGTGCAAGCCTCAAAGCAGCCAGTGTGTGAGCCAGAGCACCTGTGCAGACAGCAGTGAAGAGGGCGCCTGCGGTGAGCAGACGGACGCGGCCGTGACACCACGTGCGCTCGCGCTTGTTTGCAGGATTTAAAGCTCATGTGGTTGTTTTCAGGAGGCAAATGTCCCCACATGTGTTCCAACAAAGTATGTCTGCCGAAGACTTCAGTGTGTAACGGGGTGATTGACTGCAAAGACCGCAGTGATGAACTCAACTGCACCAGAGCGTGTGAGTGCACAGATGTTGCACTGACTGATCAATAAAGTGCATTTCAGTGCATAACGTTGCACCTTTAAAGCGACCCCTCGTTTCACTGCCTTGTTATGTCCGTTATCTTCATTAGACCTCAAAGGCTGCTCCTCATCCTCATACAAATGTGCCAATGGAAAGTGTGTAAGTAAGGTGAACCCCGAGTGTGACGGAGTCAAAGACTGCTTTGACGGCTCGGATGAACTGCGCTGTGGTGAGTTCCAATAGTGACTAAAAAAAGCGAATGAAACCCCTCTAAATTTCTTAAGCGATATATAAATATATATATATATATACATATGTATTTGTATCATCTGTCTCCCTGTGGGTCGCAGGCTGCGGCACCAGGCCCAGGAAGCGTACTAAGATAGTGGGCGGCTCTGATGCCGGGGCGGGGTCGTGGCCGTGGCAGGTCAGCCTCCAGATGGAACGTTATGGACACGTCTGTGGAGCCACGCTGGTCGCCAACCGCTGGCTCATCTCGGCAGCTCACTGCTTCCAGGACTCTGACGCAATCAAGTGAGAATGACCCTCCTCACCCCGGGGGGAACACAGCACACACAACTTCGGTGTGTGTGCCGTGTGCCCATGAGTGCTGTGTCTGCAGATACTCAGACGCCCGTGCGTGGCGGGCCTACCTGGGAATGCGGCTGATGACTACGGGGAACAACGGGGCCGCCACCAGGCCCATCCGGCGGATTCTCCTGCACCCGCAGTACGACCAGTTCACCTCCGACTACGACATCGCCCTCCTCGAGCTCAGCGCTCCCGTCTTCTTCAATGACCTGGTGCAGCCCGTGTGCGTCCCCGCGCCCTCACACACCTTCACCACGGGGACCAGCTGCTACGTCACAGGCTGGGGGGTCCTCATGGAGGACGGTAGGAGCTCAAATTTACCTCCCTCGCAAAAGAAAAACAACGTTTGCAGATCTCGAATGCAACGTGGGGCCCAAATAAACACAGCAGGGCGACGTTCAGAACACCTGAAGACTTTGCGTTTGCTTTAATTAAAGGTGAACTGGCCGCTCACTTACAAGAGGCCACAGTGAAGATCATCAACAGGAAGACTTGTAACAAACTGTACGACGAGGCCGTCACCCCCAGGATGCTGTGCGCCGGGAACCTACAGGGAGGAGTGGACGCCTGCCAGGTGAGTGTGTACATCAGTGTACTGCTCTCACTATCCATGCTCAGCTTTGCTGCAAGCTCAACGCACTTCCATTAGACGTAGAAGACACTGTAAGAGGACTTGTGTTCCCTCAGGGTGACTCCGGAGGGCCTCTGGTGTGTCTGGAGCGGGGCAGGCGGTGGTTCCTGGCGGGGATCGTGAGCTGGGGCGAGGGCTGTGCGAGGCAGAACCGGCCCGGCGTCTACACACAGGTGGTCAAGTTCACCGACTGGATTCAACAGCAGACGAAAGGACAGGTGTAACTGAGGACCACGTGGAGAGAAAAAAAGAAACAGAATTAACACACATTGACGAAGGTTTCAGACCCCAGTTCGTCTTCATATTCTGTCATTTCTTTTGTCCACGGCAGCGGGACCAGCAGGAGGAGCGTCCCTGCCTCACACCAACCAGCTTTCCTTTAAAAACGTACTGAACCTGATCAATTCAATTGACTCGGTTTTTGGTCGTGGCACGTTAATGTAAGAATACAAGTTACAGAATTAAAAATACCCAATTCTGTTAAAGAGTCCCGCCGAAAACCCACTCTATTAGCTTTGAGTTTTCACTGTCTGCACACTTGTAGAGTGAGCTGTGTGTTAATATCTACTTTATATAAGTCTCCTCAATCAGATGGACGGGTCAGGCCAAAGTACGACAACCAGCCGGGTTGTCCTGTGTGTCAATGTAGCCAATTACCTCCTGCTTTCCCATCGTCTCTGTTCTGCCTGCTAGATTTTTCATTTTTCACTTCACGGAGATTGTGACCGTTTCACCTGTCGCCAACAGAAATCCAGATAGTCCTTTTTATTGAATGTGGAAAGAGTTCTCTCCCCACGCACATGTAACCTTAAATGTTATTGCCATCTACATTCGTCCATGTACTGTATATGCGTGTTTTAAGAGTTGTTGTACTGTATGTGTATGTGTGTGCATTTGTATATCATCAGTTCACCTCAGAGCCTTAAATTCAATATATTCTGTAACTGTAGAGAAGTGAATAGTCCCTCAATAGGATGTGATAATATATTTGGTATTTCAGTCATACTGGGATTTAATTCATCTCTGCGGTGCCTCGTTTGTACTTTGTGCTCCATGAAAAGCATGATCCCATCTCCCCGTAAGGACCTGACGCCGTTGATGCTGCATGGCGAAGGGAGCCATGAGATTATTAGGAGAGCAGCCTACCATCCTTTCCTATGAGGTCACACTGGTCCTGTTTCTCCTGAAATCGACTCAGTCAGCTCACATCGCCACCCAGCGGCCTGTCTGCGTCACTGCTTTATATCTTGAGAAATGATGCACCTCACACCCAAGGGATCCCAAAACACGCAGTTTGCATCATGGTTTCATTTTGTTTTATGCTTTGACATTAAATACACAACTTTTAACGCAGCAGGTCTCAACAAAACGAACTTTCGCTTTACTTTTTAAAAACATTTTTCTTCAAACATGACCATTTCTGTTGCTTCAACTACCAGACCTTTGCACAGCACAGATATTTGGAGTACAGAGTTATCTGATGACGTCACGGTGTGATCAAGGAGTCACCATTTTACAGAGGTTCACTGTCTTTGTGGTGAGATCATTGCTTTTCAATAGCTACACCCTGTGTTGCATGCCCTTCCAAGCGGAACGCGTGTTTATTTTCTTTTTTTCCGGGGAAAAAAAAGCAGTTCTAAAAGTGAGACGCCTGTCAAGTTGTTGATGCGGTCACCACCCGGTCTGATCCGGTGCCTACGTGCTGATCAACAGGTGTACCAACAGAGCCAGAACCCTGTGCGCATCCCCCATGTAATCACTAGTGAGTCTTAGTCTGTTAGAAATAACAGACCTTGCAGACTATTGGGAAGTGGTCATATGCATCCACTCATTTATTTATTTTAAAGTGTGTCCAAAAGAACACTCTGTATTGCACCATTCTCTTTTACTCACACCTCGCCGTCCCACTGCTTGAATTAAAAGGGGACTGCTCTTACGCGCTTCCGTGACGTCACCCATCCGGTGGCTGCACTGTGGGAACGGTATAAATCTGCGCCACTATCCAACTCGATGGGAAAAGTTGCACTGGAGTTCAAGCGCGGAGTCCTGTTGCGTGACTGGGGGGGGGGACATCGGCAGGAATAAAAGTTCTATCGTATATCTGCAACCCGGTCGCAGCACCAGAGTCAGCAGAGATGATGAATTGTTACCTAATCTGCCTGCTATGTGGAATGTATGGTGCTCTTGCAAGGGGTGAGTGAATTTCAGCTACTTTTGTCATTTAGTTATTGCTTAATAATAACTTTAAATCGTTGTTAAATTAATTAGCACTTAACCCACGACTGTTTCCTACGATGTTGTTTCACATTAACTAGCGGGTTCTGCAGGGTCATAAGGCATCTTTTTTTTTAAATAACCAAAGATAGAACATACAGTCTTTACTTTGCAATAATACAAAAGATGCGCGTCTTCAGACGTGGCGCACTGTGCGCTGCTCGTTTATTGGTCCGTTCGGTCGTCAGCGTGGTCGCGGGTCTGCGGCTGTTCGGCGCGTTTAACCTCTGTGTGCAGAGGCGGAGATAAGCGCTATCCTGCGGGACACATGTTTGGATAATGCGCGGCCCCGTGGCCCTGCGCATTGTGCGCTCGGCCCCCGGTTGAATGGGCTGACGCACGGCGGTGTTTCCGGAGACTGATGAGTTTACCTAATGACAGTTGTGGTTGAATAGAACGCGGGGTCGTGGCCGCCTGACGGAAAGTATCTGGGCAGCAACCGGGTTTAATTCGTGCTCCTCAAAACAGTCGGCCGGTTGCGTTTAAGCTGCACTCTGCGGTGTTGTTGGTTGCTTGAAGAGGAAAAAAGGGGCTAATATGGTGTTTCTCTGCTAAATTAAACTCTGCACATATAACCTCAAGTTGATATATTTCACATGCAAATAGAGGTAATGAACACAATATGTGCCTTGATTAACTAACTATTCCCACTTTTTTTGTAAATATTTTAAATGTTTTTAATACTTTTTATTTAATTTAAATGTAACTAAATTAAGACCACTAATTAACTAATGCTAAAAGGGAACTAAAAGGGAGACGCTGCAAGGCCTGCGAGTGTAATATTAAGCTGGACAATTTATGTTTTTCAGTCAATCAACAAATGTATAATTATAGTATAATTATATTCACATGATCATACATAGAAGTTGAGCATGCAATTAGTTCTACAACATAATGCACACATCACCATCCGTTAGACATACATTTATCATTGATTATCGCAATGTTGTCCGATATCATCAAACTGCAGACAAATTCTGCAGAAACTATTTGATTCCCTTCATCTTAAAATTTTCAGTGCAAAAAAAAGGTTTTGAGGTGCAAGTCAGTGTTAATTTTTACAATTGTTAGTATGTGTGTGCGCGTATAAACATGCCACAAAGCATATTTTTGCCATGATTTTCACTCTGTAAGTGTGGCATGTGAAAACAAAAGACGTCTATTATTTTAGCAGGGAAGTAGGCTACAAAATTATTTGGAAACGCTGCTTTTAGACACTTGGCAGCCTGTTGTTGGAGATCCCTAACTTCCTCTCTGTCTTCCCTCACCCTGCCTTGTGAGGTCGTCGCTCACACAATGTGAAATCCAAGGAAATGGTATAGGAAGTGCTTGTGGTGTGAGTAATGCTAGATCTGCTCAACGGGGCATCCTCTGGGAACAATGATGCTGACAATGAAAGGTACTAATGGACATGATAAACTAACTCACTGCTGCACAAGTGATTTAACTGCTCTCACAGCAGTGAGACGGTTGGGTTCCGAGGACTGTGTCGGCCCGCGGGGTGCGCTCTCCGTGAGGAGCAGTCACAGCGAAGGACGGACTTCCCTGAATGATGTTTCCGCTGTTGTTGGGAGGAAGGAAGGGCGGACTCGCAGTCGTATTTATCTCTCATTAATAAACCTCAGCGATGGAGTGGAGCAATGGCTTTTTTTCGATAAACAAGAGGGACACTGCTTACGCATTTCCACACAAGTTGTCAAGTGGCCTGAGCGAGGAGATGTGGGAGAGGGGGGTAAAGCATACTGTAGCCTGGATGGAGTACGTGCTGTTGAGCCGTGACCCACCAAGACGGGTCCTGTCCAGAATATTTATTGGTTGTTAAGTGTTTTGACTTCCAGGGGTTCCTCAGAAATTGGTCTCACTTGGATCCGTTTCGACATTTAGAGATTAGTACAGTCTCAGTCATGATCCCTAATCATATGATTAGATTTGAATATAATTGGATCAGTGGATCTTTTTGCCCAATTGGTTTGGTAACGAGCAAGATATTCTGCAGCAAAACCATACTGAATAATGCATTTCCACCTCTCAATTATCTGGAGAGGTCCAAATGTGAATACAACCTGATTACCTTATAGCTACATCAGTGATCTATGTCCTGTGATTCTCATCCTCTCTCCTGCCTCCGCAGACAAAGATCAGAAGGGGAAGTACAGAGTCCCTCGTCTGGATGTGAGAACCCGGCAGCTTGTCCTTGACACCAACCAGACACTAGTGCTCAGCTGCAGGTAGGTAGATACATCCAGGCCAGACCACCTTTATTTGGGCAACCTTGATGCACGGCGATCCCCATCTTCGATAGCAGCGAATTCAACGCCATCTTTCATTAATCTAACGTTATCTCGGAGTAGAGGCGATTTACTCACAATTTTTCCCAAACTCAGATCTCTTTCACCATTAATTTACATTAAATTGTAACTACGAATTTCAATCACTAGTTTTTCACTGTTCACGCAGATGTGTTGGCGTATTTGTTTGTAGCTACATTCAGACATTACAGATTTGAGTCCTGTATAACGTAAAATGTTTTTTAACTTATATATAGTATTTTAGTTTCAAATTGTTTTCTCAAAACGCCCTTAACAGCCTTTTCCTTTGCTGAATGTGAACACATGTGCAAAGATCGCCTCGTGTCTTTAAAGCAATCTTCCAACCCTTTGTACCTCTCGCGTCCAGAGGCCGCTGGGAGCTGGCGTGGACGTACCCGTCGGGTTTGGCCAGAGATGAGGTGCGTGTGGAGGAGTCTCGCTGTGGGAGGACGAGCCAGCACTACTGCAGCGGGGTGACGGTGAGCGGCGCCCAGGCCCGGCACACCGGCCCGTATCGCTGCAGGTACCGACACCGAACACGAAAGCAGACCTCCGTCTACGTCTACGTCTCAGGTAAGGCTCTGCTGCCGGAAGGTCCAAGACGCACACTGTTCGTCTGGCTGCGCTCATCGAGCCCCTCCCGTCACACCTTCGCGCCCCCTCATGCTGATTGTTTATACCTTCAGGTTAAACAGGATGTGGTGGGTGCTAAATACAGACCAATTCCAGAGAGCCAACTATATCCGAACACTGTTTGTCCCAATAACACATCCTTCTAGATGACTCTGGCAGAGTTTTATCCCGCCCCTCCCCTGCCTCTCTCTCTGTCTCTCTACCTCCCTGTTTTCTATATATAAATCCTTTTTACTTTCGTTTACGTGCTACCTCGAGGCCAGGAATAGCCCAGCTGCTGAAAGACTCAGGCCTGGGCAGAGTTTCCCAGGGCATCGGCCTTATCTGCTCTGCTCAGCTTTGCCTGGAGCATCCTGTGCTTCGGGGAGGAGGGGGAGGGCTTGAAGGGGGTTCGCTGGGAGGGGATGCCGCCGTGTCTGTACAAGGTGGCGGCGGGAAGGTGTGTGGAAGTGTGGGTGTGTGTGTGTGTGTGTGTGTGTGTGTGTGTGTGTGTGAGAGGAGCTGAGAGGGATAAGTTGAAGGCCAGTGTATCAAGGGGTGAAGGAGGCACAATGTCTACCCAGCCAGCTCCTCCCTGTCCTGGGGGTGGGGGGAGGCAGGGTCACAGGGCACGCTACTGTTTGGCCAACAGGACCCTGGGGGGCCATCAATCGGTCAGGTCGGCATGTCCATTAAGGGTCAGACTTGGCCTGCGGCTCTGCTTAGACTTTGCCTCCCTCCCAGAATCCTCTAGGAATCAAAGCAAGAGAAGGAAGCCTTCAGTCCGCTAGTCCTTTGGGTACTTTTGTTCAAATGTTCAGAGATTTTCTTTCTTTGAATAACACCCTGCGGTAACAAACAATACAGTGAGCAACACCCACACTTTTCAATGGCACAGCACTATTACAGTAGTCGAGTTGGGAGGAGAAAGCTCAGAGAGGCCGTTTGATTGCTTCTAGACAATCTGTGTGTTTATTGTTGACTGCAGGCAGTCATCTGCTGAACGGGTATTCAATGAGTGGGTGTGGAGGACAGTATGTTTAGGAGTGTGTGTCTGTTTGTTTTTGTTTGTTCCTGAGATTGATACTTGGAAGTGTGTGTGTTTGTTTGTGTTTGTGCAGAGGCCCCTGATTTTTCTTTCCTTTCTCTGTGTGCATGAAATTAAAGGGTCGGTTCACAGAAAATAGTAGAAAAACACTCGGTCAAAGAGGTCATTCTTTTCTCCCCTTCACTTCCCTTAATGTGTCATGTGGATTATACAATCTTTTAAGTGCCAGTTTTCAAAGCAGTGAAGACCATAAACATAATTATAATCACCTCCTGGTCTCCTGGCATGTCAGAAATATACAGGTCTCAAACAATAAAAACTGAATAATCCTCTGGGTTTCTTCATTAAAGAAATTAAAAAATATAACAACAAAACTGGCATTGGCTTGTCGGGTTTGTCTGATTTTCTCTTTTATATCAATGATAAGCTGAAATATATGTTGTTTAATCTGGTTGTGCAAACCAGGTCAAATTGACCGTTGAGATGTTGTAATGGGTGTTTTCCTGTCGTACACCGCTACTTTAAACCATTTTGTAACAATTTACTGTACCGTTCAAAGAAAGAACAGCCTTTGTTTTCGCTTTTCTCTTACATGTTCATTGTCTGTACTGTATGTGTCCCTGACCGCAGTGTTTGGGTTTCAGACAGCAAGCAGCCATTTGTGGCACATCCGGGTAAGAGCCCAGATGTGTTGTACATGAAGGAGAACCAGCCGCTGGTCATCCCCTGCCGGGTCACCCACCCCAACGTCACCACCACACTGGTCAAGGTCAGTGCAGGAAATATGAACAAAATGACGGGCTGACAAGCCGGGTTTGACTGCAAAAAACTGTTTAACACCCCTCACATTCTGTGCACATCATCACTTGCCCCAGGTTATTTCCATTAGGGCTCACTTATGCACACAATGCACCAGACCGTCGCTTCCCCCTATACACATCATTCGCCACATTGTTCTTATCTTGGCAGCCATTACGCTGTGGCGTGTGTGTCCGTTTGTTTGTGTCCGTTTGCAAGGATGCGTGAAAGTGTGTGCGGAAACGGTTGTGAGTGTTGGAGCTTGAGTGCAGAGCGAAGGGGACAAGAGGGCAGCGCTATTAAGTGCAAAGAGGAGCTTTTAGAGTGTGTCTGTTTTTTTAACTGCATGCTGCCACGCAGATCTTGTTTCCCTTCTGATGAAACAACAGCAGGTCCGTCTGCTTGAATCGTGCTAGAAGACGAGGATGCCGCTTTCTTCACTGACTTTCTCTGCTGAAGCGAGGCCCACAGCATCCTGTCGGCAATGTTTCTACCTCTGGAAACAGGACATAAGCTTTGGATTGCCCCCTTTTTGGCCGCTGGCCACCGCCGCTTCCCACACCTCACCCGTTACCTCTTGCAGTAGGAATCCTGGCTGCCAACTTCCCCCGACTGATGCTTTAAACAGCTGGTTTGCCTGGTTGAGGAAGCGGAGGGCAGCTACTGTTGACCCCCGACAGATCAAAGTACAGTAAATGTTCTTTAATCACAAAGCTGATCATTAATATGGCAGCGCGTGCGTCACTGTAGATTATTTTTTGCGTCACAAAACATGTAATGTGTGGTGGAAATTCCCCCCCGACATAATGCACTCCACCAATTCAGTATTGCACCATCCTAGATTTGAGGGACTGGCTGAGGATGGATTAATGGGAAAAATTGGTGGGGCACTGTTAGTGATTTCATAACTTTTCTACGGTAATGGTAAAAAAAAATCCTCCGCCCTACAATTTCCATTATACAAAAGAGAAAAAAGGCTTTGTTATACCCTCTGTGTCACCTAAATATATGTGTCTTTTTTCTGCTATCAGAAGTCACACAAGAGGGCACAAGGTTGGTGGTTCGAGTCCAGGCTGCCCCATGTTCCATGTCGAAGTGTCCCTGAGCAAGACACCTAACCCCTAATTGCTCCCCGGGCAAAAATGTGAAAAAGCCATGGGTTTAAAGTGTAATGTAAGACGCTTTGGATAAAAGCGTCTGCTAAATGACCTGTAATGTAATGTAATGTAATGTAAAAGAGGGCGGAGCTTAGTACAACTGACAGTTGATTAAGATATTTCGGGGGGAAAGTTAAAATGAACCTTCATAAAAACAAAAACGTACTTAGACAAAAACCCGGAGGGCCCATGTAGCTGAAAGCGTGTAACGATGTTCGCGTCCCGTTATTGTCTCAAAACAGCCGCCCCCTTTTGGCCACTAGAAAGAATGCAGGTTAAGCACACTTACGCAATGGCTTCACTTTTCCGACAAGGAGGTTGTCACCTCGGACAAACCTTACATAACATTCCTACTGTGTTTGTTTTCTGCTTCCATCTCCTCACAAATGCCTGGAACCTCAAAGGTAATTATTCTAAAAATAGCTCTTCTCCGCTTCCTTCTTCGCCACTAATCCGGTTTTGACAGAACCAGAAATCCACTCACTGTCACAGTGTTGTTTTTCCTGGATCTCTAACGTGACCCTTCTGAGCGGGAACAATACACAGGAGGCTGTGAAAGTGACCAGAAGGTCCCAGAGGTCCGGAATGACTGGTTCGACCTGGGGTTCAAGTCAAAATGTCTATATCCTGTAGTAACAGGATGCGAGGCCATGGACCGGAGTCACGTTCCTCGTATCCTGACTCCTCTGACTCCTTCGCTCCTCCTCCCGCTTCTCCACCTTCACACGCTTTTCACGTGTACGTTGGGAGGACGGGGTTAAGAGGGGCAGCGAGGCCGATCAGAGGTGGCGTCAGGAAGTTTTGGTGAAAGGGAAGAGCGACTACTTTGCAGGACTGAGAGGAGAAGGAGGAGGAGCTCAGTGGCGTCTGTGAGGTTTGACTCGCTCTGGGAGGGGGGATATCAACCAGTTCACACTGGGGGTGCAGGAATGGGGGGGGAAGTGTGTGTGTGTGTGTGTGTGTGTGTTTGTGTGTGTGTGTGTGTGTGTGTGTGTGTGTGTGTGTGCGTAAGACTGTGGTGGGGGGGTCCACTTGTTCCCTTGAGATTGGGTGGGAGGCTTCCACTGGGTCAAAGAATCTCTAGTAAACATTTCCTTGAGACTGCTTATAAAGAAACAGCGAGGTTACACAAGTGTCCATGTCAAGAAGGCCAAGTATTATAAAACCAACACAGTGACAATACACGCAACATCATCGGGAGCTTCTTGGCAAATTGGACCGTATTATCAGCTTCTTCTAAAGGTATTTTTAGGTAACCTGCGGCTCGTAACACCGGACGATAAACCTTTCACCCAAACTGAAGTGGAGACAAGAGTATCTGGATTTCAGCTCAAATCGGAAAACAAAATGGACACCAATTGCAGAAAAACCTGCAGTTCCGCAAATGCAATATAGCTTTGTCGTAATAGAAAGAAGGAGTAAATAATTTCACCACTCAATGACTTGAGCCTGAGTTACATTAAGTTACGCTGATGTACCAACAATAGAGTTTGGATTCTTGACTTTCTTTTTGCCTAGCAGCTGATCAAAGGCTAATAGCAAAGACCAGTTTCCTCCTCACATGTGACTACCTTCCTTCATTTTTTCCAATGTTTAAGTATCAAATCAGTCATGACTGTTTGTTTGCCGGGTGGTGTCTTGTCCTCCCTCCTCCCACAGTACCCCAACCAGAAGCTGACTCTAGACCACAGAAGCATTGTTTGGAACAGCAAGCAAGGCTTCACCATCCGAAGTCCGACCTTCTCTTTCGTTGGCCTCATCTTCTGCCAGGCGGTCGCCGAGGGCGTCGTGCACAATTCACCTAAATACTTCGTACACAGACATGGTCAGCATCACACATAAATGCGAACGTCAGAGTCAGAGAATTTGTTTTGGTTGAGTATTTGTTTCTTGCTCCTCACAGTGAGTAACATCATGGAGGTGTATCTGAACACCAGTGGACCCGTGCAAGTCCTGCAGGGAGAGAGGATGGTCTTGAACTGCACCGCCACCGGGGAGTGGAACACCAGAGTTAACATCACCTGGGACTACCCCGGAAAGGTCAGCCCTGCATTCAAGTCCCTGGAGATAAATTACTTTTGACAGAGAATAGGAAGGCAAACAATACGGCAGAAAAAAAACCTAACCCTAACCCTTTGCACGGTACTGCAAACGATACGAAACGCCAGCCGATTGTTAGTAAAGAGGTCACGTGACCCTCTGTGGGTTGAAGAACTAGCGTCTGGGTTCACAACTCCTCAAATAAACAAACATTTGAACACCTTTCAGTGTTAATTCTGTGGTTTCTTCTCCTTCTCCACCTTCAGAAAAAAAACACCGGCTCCACGTACAAGAGGCTCCTCAAGCAACAAACGCACATGTTGTTTTACAATATTCTGACAATCCCGAAGCTGCAGCATTCAGACCGAGGCCGCTACACGTGCCGCGTGACCAGCGGGAAGAACACCAGACAACAGAAAGTCACTGTTTCCGTCTATGGTGAGTGTCGTACTCACCACAGTGTGGTGGATTAATGTCAAATTTCAAACAAATGATCAAACATTTGCATTCCCTTGCTTTATCCTACCTACATTTGTGCATGTGTGTCTATAAATTTAGACCGTCCATTTATTCGCCTGAAGCCCGAACATGGATCTGTTATGGAGGTACAGAAAGGACAGAAATCTTACCGAATCGCTCCCAATCTCCGAGCGTTCCCTGCCCCTGAAGTCGTCTGGTAAGAGATCCCCTTCATCCCAAAACAGCCTTTTTTTTACCGTAGCTTGTTTTTTTTAAATATATTTTTTAAGTTTATTGTTTTCATTTTAATCTATTTTAATCTCTTTCACACTTTCTCAACAACAATTCCCATGAAAGGCCTTGGACCTTTTTATATACATGCATCGGCCTAAAACCGTAACAATCTTTCAGTCCCTGAAACTTTGCTCAGAGGTCTTTTTTTCTGACAGGCTGAAGGATGGTGAGGTGGCAGCAGACCAATGCTCCAGATACCACATGGACGGGACTTCCCTGGTGATCCGGGACGTGGCGGAGGAGGATGCTGGGAAGTACACCGTCCTGGTCCGCATCCAGGAACACAGACTCTACCAGAATCTCACGCTCACACTCGTGGTTAAAGGTGAGAAGACGTAATTCTTTCCCCCCCCACCGGCCGCCTTCAGACTCTCAGACTCAGCTCGGGCTTGAACTGTTGTGTCTGTGTTCTTGTGGTCCGACAGTGAGTCCACAGATTGGGGAGAAAGCGGTGTCGTTGCAAGACCCCGGCTCGGTCCCTCGGGGCAGCAGACAAGCCCTTCACTGCACAACCCATGGAGTTCCTCCTCCACGCATCCAGTGGCTCTGGCATCCCTGCCCGCCCAAAGGCCTGTGAGTAGACCAGACGCTGCGCCGTGTGCACGTTGACACGCGGACGCCCAGAGTGAACCGTTCGAAAGAACCGTAATTCACACCAGCAGGAATTAGTCAGGTTCACTATTAAAGAGTATAAATACCTCTGCACTTTTCTTTAATAAGTAGCACATTAGACAAATTAGACATATATAGCATATGTTCAAATATTCATGTGATGCAATGGCCCACTTTTGTTCTCTTATATTATAGTTTATTATATCATTATATATATATACATATTGTACAAATCTTTTAGGCAAAGGCTAATACCAGCGCTAAAATGTATTTATCTGTGTTATTTCACGGTGTGTGTGTGTGTGTGTGTGTGTGTGTGCGTGTTTGTGTGTGTGTGATTTTGAAAAACAAGACATGTTTTGTCTATTTCAACGTGTGTACAGACAGCATTTCCTCCTTGCAACCAGAACAGATGCCTTTGGGGGCCTTTTATGTGCAGAGAATGTGTGAAAGTGTGTGTGTGTGTGTGTGTGTGTGTGTGTGTGTGTGTGTGTGTGTGTGTGTGTGTGTGTGTGTGTGTGTGTGCGCGCACGTACATGTCTGTATACGCACAAATGTCTGTCTGTCTCATCGTGTTTGTGTTTATATGTTTGCTTGCTTGTGGAACTTTTTTCCCATATGTTTGTTCCCTTACTGTCCGTGTTTCCTTTTTCATATGTTTGTTTAAGTGTATACAAATGTGTGGCAGTGTGTGTGTGCGTGTGTGTGTGTGTGCGCGCGCCATATTCGCAGACACAGAACACAGTGTATAGCAGACTTGAAAGGACAGAGAGAAAAAAAACACACTTCAATGGAAACCAGTTCCGTGCTCTCAGTCACGGTTTGTTGGTTTCCAAATCAAACGCTATGATTTAATGAATTTCCTGTCCAGGGCGCAGTTTAAGAGGCCTGTTTATTATTGTGATTGCACACTGCATCCTGTGATGCCATTTCTTATATCTGACACACACACACACTATATATAAAGTTCTCATGAGAAATGGCCCAACCCAGTGATGCAGAGGGACAGATTTAGTCAACACACACGAGTGCTGGAGCCTCACTTGGCTGAAACATTGATTGAGTTGTTCTTGGAGGTCAGCTACTTATTGTGTTGCTCATGACCAAGTCAGAAAGGTTAAGTATCACCTGAGAGCACCACAGCAGCCGCCCATACTTTATTCCCACTGACATCATCAGTGTACTTGACCCTTGACTCCGGCACTCTCTCATGGCGCCATGTCAAGGTGCCGCCTGCGTGGTTTCACTCGTCCATCTCTGCCATATGTACACGAACATCTCCTAGAACAGCAGCGGATGCTTAAGTATCTGATGTTCTTTGTCAGAGTGATATCAACTCTTTAACTCTCAAAAATGTACAATAGAAAATCTCTTATATATCCTTGAAATCTTGCTTGTGTTGTACCTCATTATTGTGTCGTTGTGTAGACGCATAACATGTATGAGAGCAGAGTGTATCTTGCTTTGTTGTGACGAGAGTTTACTGCAATTGCCCAAAATTCCTTGATTGCCCCCTTGATGATTCATTTGGTAAATGAGGCCCTGATATTAACTTATGTATATGTAACTTGATTCTGGGTGGCTTGTTAATAGCATTTCAATTTTTCTAAACAAACAATTTGGCAAAAGAGAACAAAACGCACATGCATGCAACCATGCGATAGAAAAGCATTACTCGCAAACAACAACCTAAAGATCTCACTAGAGCCCCGAAACTGCATCTTATTACCGTAAAGGATCTAGATTATATTTGCATAGGGATTTTTCAGACGATTACATTTGGCCTCTTCACTGGCTGATTCATGGTCCCTCGTAAAGCTCTGTTCTGGTTCTGGTCCTGGTTCTGCTGCAGTGTCTGCGATGAGTGTGTTCCTTTAGTTAGCTTTTGGCTGGATCCTCACTGGCCCCTTGTTCTTTGCAGCCCGGCTGCACCACCAGCCTGACGCCGCGCCGGAGGAAGCCCAGGGACATTGGACCAGGACGGGCCGGGCTGATGGGTGGCCTCGCGCCTGGGCCCTGGGCTCACTCCTGGGTCTGGCCCTGGGAACCGCAACGCTCTTATCTGGCCCGGGCAGGAGGCGCACTGGGCTTCCTGTGCGAAAATCAGAGCGCTTTTCCTCTCGTTGTTTGGCTTCCTCTCCGACGCGAGACGCTTCCCAGCAGCGTGATTGTCCCTTCGTCTTCAAACGTGGCACAGTCCGCTTTCCTCAAGAGCTTGATCTATTCTTGAGAGACCCCCCCTCCTCCTCCCCCCCCCCCCACCCACCCCACCCACTCCCTCCACCCCTTCCCCCACCTCGGCTGCCCCCCGCACATACCTCCTAAGACCCCTTTCCACTCGCCAGCTCTGCCCTCCACCCCAACCGAGCATCAAGAGCAACTCCCGCCCCGGAGCCCATCCTCTCCACCTCCTCCAACACCACCACCACCACCACCTGCACCTCCACACGCTCATCCGTGCTTGTCCACGTCAGCCAAGGACCCTCAGCGATATTACTAGTGACCCCGCGTGATGGTCCTGTGCGTGCTGAACTGGTGTGCAAACTGGAAAATTAGGAAAGTGACTTTTAAACACTGTCGAGCAGTGAAGACCAGGAAGGCAGGTGGAAAATAAGCCACATCAATAAGGATTTAAGGAAACCTGCTTTTTTTATTTATTTATTTCCTTCATTTTCCCAATTTGAGTCCGCCCTTTGCACCCAGCCATCCTGTAGTCTTACTCTTTTTTTTTTTTTACACTCCACAGACATTTTGAGCCAGAAGAAGTGCAATTCCATTCACCAACCAGCCACATTTCTGGAGCTGCTTTGCTTGTTTTTTGTGTCCTAGCGTGGTACTATAATGGGTGCATGAACCGTGCCTGTCCCAAGCCCCCAATCTGATTCTGACATCCGCAAAAAAAGCTGTGAGTTTCTGTTCCAAGCCACTGGTAGAAGGTCAAACGCGCTCACCTTGGACGGGCAAAAGAAGACAAGTGTTGTTCACTACGGGATGCCTAAAGTTCTCTACTGAAAGACTGACGGTCAGCGGACGCCTACCATGTAGGACGTGTCCGCGGACCAGAGACTACGCCCTCCGTCTCGTTGTGTCACCCTGTGTCGTCCCACGTCAAGATGTCTTGTTGGTCAAATGATGTCAGTATAACAGGACGTGCCTTTATATTGAAAGTTAATTAGGATTGAAATGTATGAGTGCCACAAGAGTTTTAGTAAAAGTCCATTTCTGAGTGTGTGTGTGTGTGTGTGTGTAATGCGAGTGCAAGCGTGTGAGTACTTGTGCAGGAACATCAGTGTGTGTGTGTGTGTGTGTGTGTGTGTGTGTGTGTGTGTGTGTGTGTGTGTGTGTGTGTGTGTGTGCGCGCGCCTACTTGGTGTCACCGAAAGATATTCATTCATTGTATACAGATGTTCTATGAGTAATATATGAATCTAATATTTAATAATTTTATACAACTAACTTACATATGACGAATGACAATATTTGCCAACTTTGTATGAATCTGTATTGAAGTGTTATATCAGTTGTGTTTTTGCATTAAACTTTGCTTATATTTGTCCATTGCTTTATGCCGCCTTGTGGTTATTCTGGGTTTGAGACCGGACCGGACAGGGACAGCGGTAAATAGTGTATTTTAAGCGGCGAAACAAGACAGGACAAAAAAAAAGCAGGAGACGACCCCCCAAACCCCCCCCACATACTGATACACAACTCATTCATACATCCAGGCGGCTGCTGCTCACCCTGTTCTCAGTTACACACTGTGTGAATGTGGCACGACTGAACTACACTACGCCTTCTTTCGCTTTCTGCTCCTAAACTTTGTTTATGTCAACACATCCATCTAACTAATCATATTTGTTCATGTGTGTGTGCGAGTGTCGTCCACTGGCAAGCGTGGGAGTGTAAGAGTGTAGTGTGTGTCGGTGTAATCTGCCTGTGTGACGGGTGTGTTTTTTGTCTGTGCGTTTGGTGTTTGTGCGTGCGTGTGTTTGTGTGTGTGCATGCACACTTTTCCGCCTTGGTGTGTGTGTGTGTGTGTGTGTGTGAGTCGGACCCGTGGTGTCATGCACAGGGTGGGCCGTTCGTGCAGTTGTGCATGCCAAGAGGAAGAGCAATCAGGGAGCAGAGAGGAGGCGAGCGGAGGGAGGAGCTCAGCACAGAGACGGGCAGTGACACCTTTATAAACAGGCAACGGATACGTGGACTCAGCGGAAATGACAGTTTACAGTCAGGATGATGGTTAATGTCTAAATAATGAAGCTACGTTCTTTCTATTAATACATATATACGTGATTCCTCTTAATGACGCACAGATGAGGCCCTACGATCAAGTAGCCGTCAAGTATTTCTTTTTGCATTTACTTCCAATCAAGCATAATAACTAATAACTTGCGTGGGGATATAAAACTGTATTGCCAAAACTGTCTGCCATAATACATTGAACCCCTTTGTAATGAACAAACCATGTCCGATTGTTAAGTATTTTATTTTGTATCAACTTCATGAATATAGTTTGGTTAAAATGAATAAGGAAAAAGTTCAAAATGTGCAAGATGTGCCTCCTCTATAAAAAAATAACTTCAGAGCCAGACATTCAGCATACTGAAAATATATTTCTAAATTGTTTCCAACTTTGTAAAAAACACAAAAGAAATAGAAAGAAATTAGAACGAATCAATGTATTCTGTATTATATACAATTATTACACAACTACGTATTTCACAACTACCGCGTCTTACATAAAGCACATTTACACAATGTAGTGCCCATTAAAAATAACTAAAATAAGCAAGTGTGGATGACTTTTATAGCATTCTTATAAGACATGGAGACATGTGTATAAATAAACCACCGGGCAGTGTACTCTAGCTCAACTGGTGTGTAATCTATGGATTTAGACTTGTGAGAGAGGAACTCTTGTCCTGGAAACGTGGGATGATTTGTTAAGAATGGAAGGAAGTTGATCCGCAGGATCACAATGCCACCTCTGCATCCTCCGTGGATGAACAATTCAGCATTACATAGCAATCCAAAGATGCTATTGTCCACCTGCAGGGCAGGTTAGGAGGACGTGATGCTATTGGTATAAAAAGGTCCACCGATAAAGGTTATGAGAATGAAGGTGAAGATCAAGCAGCGATGATCAAGGCGCTTCACTGATGTTTTGGTTTGTCGCCTGCCGAGCGCAGCTGAGAAAAGCCCACACAAACACACACCTGGAGGCCACGTAAAATTACTTGTGTCAACACAGCTGAGTCCCTGTCCCTCCTCCTCCTCCTCCTCGTCCTCAAGGTGTGTGTCTCCAACCTCCTCCTCGCCATGGAGCCCTGTGAGTGAGAGGATCCCCGCCACGTCCACAAGCAACCACATCCGGAGTGTTACTCACCGACAGGAAGTGCTCCAGGGGAAGATAAAGGTGGGTGAAGCATTGTAACACAGGCTGCCTAAGAGTTGGTGTGTGAGCAACTTTTACCTCAAATCGTTTTGTTGTGGAACGATATCTTCATTGCAATAGTTAACAGATTCATTGATGAAAATGGAACAAAAAACGCACCAATCACGTGTTAGAACTAAAAAAAACTTCTTGGCTCACTTCTCTCACGTGCAGAGTCACACTTTTATTAATACTTATCAACAGCTCGTGTGTTGAGCTGCCCGCTGGGTTGGAAGTGTGCAGGAGGCCTCGCTCAGAGACCCCCATTGTCTTGAATGTGTGTGTGTACCTGTTTTTAATCGTGATCGTGCGGATGTTTTGTCCTCTCCATAGACAGTGGGGGTCCTGACTGTGGCAGAGGCTTTTGTGTCTGGAGTTTACCGCTGCGTCGCCTCCAACGCCGTCGGCACCAACCAGCTAGACTTCCACTTCTACGTCACAGGTGGGGAATCAACTCCTCCCGGCGCACATCTTTCCCCTCCTCTCTTTCACTCCCCACAACGAGTTCAGCTGCTTTCTGTCTCTCTTTACTCCCTCGTCTGTTTCAAACTGAAACCAGGCCCATATCGGTTGATTCACTTGGTGCTCGGTCGCTATTGCTTCTGCAAAAATGGACAAAGGTGAAACGATCTTAAATTCTTCTGTGCCTTACACCTTTTTGGAGTTTTACATCACGCCAAAATATGCAATTAATTATCTTCGTAAGCCGGATGTATACTGATGAATGTTCTTAAAGAACATAAACAAGAACATATTTCCAGCAAAACAATTTTGTTTACAGGTATTACACAGTCATTAACAGCAGATTACCGTGCTCGCTCAATAATTGCAATATCTTTCCCCCTTTACGTATGTCAATCTTCATTCAAATAATAATAAGGTTATTGCTGTGACTTGCTTTTTGTTGCCTGCTGATGGCAGATTTAGACCAATTCTAATATCAATTAAGTCAATTCATTCATGTGGATGAATGTACAGTGGAACGCGTGAAGAATTGGACGACCGTTTGTCGTGAAAACAAACTGCGGTTACGTGCGTCCCGTGGGTGGATCCTGCAGGTAGAGCCTTTTGAGAGTCTCTTTGTGTGGGCGAGCTGTGTGTGAGCGGGAACGAAACAGGAACCTCGGGGCTCTTATCGTTCCACTTCCCCCAGTACAGCACACTTCCTTGGACTGGCAGGTCCGCTTTATTTCGAGAGGCCTTGGGGTGTTCGGGAAAGATAAACACTATCTGCCATCAGGAAACTCTGGCGCTGTTTCCACGGGAAGTTTCGGATGGCTAAAGTAAATAAAAAGCCTTTTCACTGCATCCCACTGGCTGCGTGTGCCCACAATAGCCATCCAACATCGCCGTCAAAGGTTTGTCAAAATGGAGGACGGGTTGAATCAGCGCGGCTGGTTTCACGCACCGGATCCACAAGGGCCACTGAGAGGGTTTTTCATCAAACAGGAGATCGGCGAAGGTTTAAACGTTACCCCTCCCCTCGCTCATCTCTTCTTCCTACACGTGTTTTTCAACATTTTTACCCTCAGACGTCACAGGAGGCTTCAGTGTGAGCCAGAGGGAGGAACCCAGAGAGGGCGGAGACCTCCACCTCACCTGCGTGGCCAATAAGTATCTGTACACAGCGCTGTCGTGGCAACAGGTGAACGGGACAGAGGTGAGCGGCCCTGACCTGAGCGGTCGGCTGCTCACCTCGGGGGAGTATTCCAATCGCCTGGTCCTGTTGCTAAGCAACCTAACAGCCAGAGACTCGGGAGGATACCGATGCTCCGCCCGCCACCTGATCACGGGACAGGAGACACACCTGGACACACAGGTGGTGGTCACAAGTGAGTAGCTGTGCAATATCCTCTTCATCGTCCTCATCATCACCTGCAACTACAGTCTACACTATGCATCTCTTCATTATTTAGATTACTATTAAAGAAATAGTACGTAAAGATTCATCCTTTGAAGCACATTTTGAAACATGTTCTTATTTATTGACGTTATTTGTTTCATATAATTCAGTTTTTTATCAGAAATCTAAAAATTCAGCTTCAAAATGTTAAAAGTGGACAACTTTAGTTTTCAACTTCAAGTATTAACCAAACGCGTTTATGGCAAGACTTAAACAAACGTTTAACGTAATTTGAGCCTTTCCTTGGATCCTTACAAATTAAATTAAATTAAAAAACGTCCTCCGGCGCTAAAACGATTCACTGATCCTACAGCGGAACAAGGGCCCTTGAAAATAACAGCGATTCATAATTATTGTTGTAGGGTGACGAGTAAGTTGTCAGGGCCTGGATTTCGTCGTGTATGAAGGTTCCACTTCATTTCTAATTTAGACCCTAAAATCTCAATATACAAACAAACACTCTCTCTCACAGAGTTTGGATGTTGGGAATCGGGTCCCCTCTGTTTCCTGGGGCCCCACCCTGCCTTTGCTCTTTGCGCTCCTGCTCAGCACCTCTTTCACGTGGGAATGAGCTCTTGTCTGGAGGAAGAGCATACAATGGTACTTCCCACAATGCCACATTTACAGGCCCCCACACAGGGCCGCAGGAACAATCAGCCAATCAGACACTGTCAGGCCCGAGACCCCGCGGACAATCATCAATTGTTGTCCAGGAGGAAGATAGGGCAAACAACAATCAGTCGCCTTGGTTAAGTGACTTTTCTTCATGTCTTTTACTGCTGTTCTCTATACAATCAGCGCTCAACGCGTCAACTTCCTCCCCCGGGACCCCCGCACGGGACTCTCGCTATACTGCTGCAGAAGCAGAGTGACCAGAAAAGGAGAAGTGAGACTAATAGAGGGAGAATGGAGTAAGAAATGAAATCATGTAGTCAAAACACAGAGTGGGAATATTGTAGTATAATTATAGTGTATTGAAAGAAAGAAAAAACTGCATTCAAATTATCGTTTGCACTCGTTGTCCAATAACTGTCCACATAATGAAATACTGCATTGTTGTAGGTTTTTAGAAATGGGTTTTTATTGCCCAAGAGTAATGCAAGCTGACTCACAGGTTGAACTCATGGCCACTCTTCTGGTAATATGTGTCACAGTGCACAATTATATTATTGTCCTCAAGTGGCACTGGTCCAAAAAACTGTGTCAAAAAATAGCTCTGCTTTCACTTCATCACAAATCTGCTTAAGTCTATAAATACCTGACACTGTAATACGTTATGGCAGCTTTCAAAGCTTGAGTTGATACTACTCTTTTGCCTATAAACGGTTGTGTAGTCTGTAATTCATTCTTAATCTAGACAGTTTTCAGGATAAATCAAATAAAAATGTGTTTTCTTTCAAAATTAGTGGCATAAAATCAAAGTACTCCAGCAACATACAAGTATCTCAAAATAGTATTTAAGTAATGTATTTTATATTTAAGTGTAATATAAGTGTCCCGAACACTTATTCATGCTGTGTGTGATTCTACTTTCAGTTCTGGAGCCTCCGGTGCTGCTTAACAATCTCACCGATTGTACGGTCAACGCCAGCGCCTCACTGATCCTGAGCTGCCCCTCCGAAGGCGTCCCCCCCCCGACCGTCACGTGGTACAAGGATGACCGCGCTCTGTCCCAGGGATCAGGTAAAAAGAAACACATGAACGTGCAGACCGCAGCGGCGTTCGGGAGTCTTGAGAGTTCTGTGCCATCGTCTTTAGGTATCGTGATATCGGCAGAAGATGGGACCCTCCACATTGATCGGATCACAGTGGAGGACCAGGGCCTTTACACGTGCCAGGCCACCAATGTGAGGGGATCTGCAGAGAGCTCTGCCCATATATGGGTCAACGGTAAGCAAACGCACATGTATTTTTCTGCCTTTGATCGGCTGTGTTTACTACTTCTTACAGATGGGACAGTTCCATATAAGGGTATGTCTGAATGTCCATTGTTCCCAGTCCTGCAAATAGATGCAGAGTCTGGCTGTACAGACACGCAGTGTATCAAGTTGTTTTTATGGATGTTGTATTTATACACACAGGAAGTGTGTGTCAATTATATTAATGGGAGATTATATGTCTGTTTATCAATTATTAACATAATCCAAAAGTGGAAAAACCTCCTTTTGTTCAGTGTTCGTGCATACACACACACACACACACACACACACACACACACACACACACACACACACACACACACATGCACACAAACTCAGTCAAGCGTCCGGTGCAGACAGGCCCCATGTAGTGCTACCCCACAGTTTTAGCATCGTTCCACGGCAGAAGTGGTGGACACACTTCCCAGTCCGGTTCTGCAGGAGGAGTGGCTGTGAGTCTGAGTGTGTGTGTATGTGTGTGTGTTTGTGTGTGTGTGTGTGTGTGTGTGTGTGTGTGTGTGTGTGTGTACGCGCTGGCAGGCGTGTGCGCGCGTGTGGGTGTGAGTGTTTTTGTGTTCTGGTCAATCAGGAAGGAAGCTGTCTCCCGTTTTTATTTCCTCCAGAAAGGGCCCGTCCTGCCTCTCACACAGGCTCCACACTCAGCTGAGCGTTTTCACTGCGTCACATTGAAGAAAGGAGGAATAAATTAGATGGTGTTTCAACGAGTAAGGTGGCTGATTGTGAAAACACAGTGCCCCCATTTGGAGGTTGGAAGGTGGACAACATCTTTAACCTCAAGCAAAATGATGTAATGTCACTTTAACAAAGCATCTCTGATTTATTCTTTATTGTACATAAGTTTATCTCAGTCTAAATCATCTGAACGGACAGAATGCATAAAAAATCAACGATATCATTCATCTCGATATGTTTAATGTCATGTGCAGCTGCTTCCAGTCTTGTACACACTAAAGTAAATGAATTCTAATACAAAAGGGAAGCTAATGAGCACTGCTGTGTGTTTGTGTACATTTAGGAGCCACAGAAGTCTCATTCCTGGAGATTCCCGCCCTCACCTGTACCTGTGTTGTTGCCGCTCTATTCTGGCTTTTGCTGACGCTCTTCATACGCAAACTGAGACAGGTGAGAGGAACCGAGATATGTAGGAAACATAAATACTGTTTTCTAAGTATGTCTGCAAGTATCTTCAGTATATAATTCAGTACAGTAATGGTGGGTTCCGTTTCTTTGCAGCAGCAACATCTCAGGCTTTTCTTTTCTTTTCACCTGAGTCATCCTAACACTACCAGGTGAAAAGAACCTGTGGCTCTGCATGTTTCAGCGAAGCGGCAATGAAAATTGTTTCTTTGTTACAAACACATTAATGCACTTAAAAACGTATATTTAATTTTACGGATTCACACGTATGCTATGAACTATACTCCGATACAGCAATACATGAGAGATGGTAATAATTAAGGGGAGTTTAAATTGATTTCAAAACTGTGCCTGTTCACAACCTTTCTCTAAATACTATAAAACTGCGGTGTCGATATAATACCGCTTTTCTATTCTTTCTTCAAAGCCCAGTAACGCAAACACCAAACCCGAGTACCTGTCAATCATCCTGGACAGCGGAGAGGGGCCGATAGACGAGCAGTGTGAGAGACTGCAATACGACCCCAACCAATGGGAGTTCCCTCGGGAGCGGCTCAAATTAGGTACCAATGTTCAGGAATGGGTGTTTTTAACATCAGCCGCTTGTGATATAAAAGGATTTCGGGGAACGTGATGCTAATGATGGGAGAAAGCGAAGGGCTTTAAGATCCCATTACAGATAAAGGACTTTCTCAGAGGTCTTATCAGAGTATTATGGGGAGTGACTCTCATTCCATTAATCAGACTTTGTGTCTCTGTTGTCAGTGGTGAGCTAATCAACTGGGGGTGAGGGGGGGGTTGTGAAGGGTAATTAGACTGGAACTAATCAGCCCTCTAGGGTGGGTCATTTAGATCGGCTGTTGATAGGGTCTCCTTTTATCAGCATCTGACATCCAGGATAGACAATAATAGTAATTAATGAAGCAGCTCAATCAGATCTCTCTCTCTCTCTCTCACAGGGAAACCTCTGGGCCGTGGAGCCTTCGGGAAGGTGATGCAGGCGGCTGCGTTCGGAATAGAAAACGCCTCCAGCTGCAGCACTGTGGCTGTTAAGATGCTCAAAGGTACAACGCGGCGTCTCACTGCGTTCCGAGAAAATGAAATCTCAAATCGCGTGCAAAAAGCATTTATTGCACTTGTTTTTTTCTCCCCCTGGCCGCTGTCCACCAGAGGGAGCTACAGACAGCGAACACAAAGCCCTGATGACCGAGCTGAAGATCCTCAACCACATCGGACACCATCTGAACGTAGTCAACCTACTGGGAGCCTGCACCAAACTGGGAGGTGTGCTCATTTCTCGTGCTTGTGTGCTTCTTAGTATGCATTTACGTACATGCGCATATGTGCACGAGTGAATTTGAATGCATAAGCTTAAGTGTACCAGGAGCTACTGGTCTATGTGTCTGTGACCTCACGCCCGGGCCCAACTGTACAGTGTGTGTTCCTGTGTGCGCAGGGCCGCTGATGGTCATTGTGGAGTACTGCCGGTATGGAAATCTCTCCACCTTCCTGAAGGGAAAGAGAGACGTGTTTGTGCACAAGACGGTGGGTCCACAAACGCGGTCGACGATGTTGCCGTGATACGGCAGGTTTTTCACATCATGGCGTGGCGAGTTAACACAGACCTCTGCGCCCCCACACTTCTCCTTACGGTTGAGAAAAAAAAAACAACAAAAACAATTTTGCTGCACTCAATTACAAAACCATGTAAAGGGTTACTTCTGCAGTCGGTTTCAAATATGTTATCAGTCCGCAAGCAGGACGACCACTTCCTTAATTTCCTCACAGGTTTAGACACCGAAAAAAAAAAACATTGTCACAGAGCAAAACATGTTGACCATCCCAACAAATTGATCAAAAACAATGAACATTTTATTTATTTATTTATTTTATTGTGAAAACTGCTTTCTCCTCCCCTCAGCCTGCCAGAGGAGAGGACAGGGGGCCGGCGTCTGTCGCCAGCATGTCCGAGTTTGATGAGAGAGACACCAAAGAAAAGCCCCCCAGTAAGCCGTGAGCTTCTGTGAAGGTTTCCTCGTGTTTGTGAATAAGCGAGCTGCTTTAATATCCCCCTTTCTGCCCCCAGGTCACAAATCGGCCTCCAACTCGCCCTTATTCCCAGAGGATCTCATCTCTTTCAGCTACCAGGTGGCGCGAGGAATGGAGTTTCTGGCCTCCCGCAAGGTCCGAAACTTGATGTGTGTGTGTGTGTGTGTGTGTGTGTGTGTGTGTTTGCATGTGTTGATGCAGGTGCACCATGTGAGTTTTCCGTGAGTCATTAGTGCTGTTCTCCTTGCTTCTGCCATTAGTGTATTCACAGGGACCTGGCCGCCAGGAACATTTTACTCTCTGAAAATAAAGTGGTCAAGATCTGTGACTTTGGCCTGGCCAGAGACATCTACAAAGACCCCGACTACGTCCGCAAGGGAGACGTGAGTACGCGCAACCAGCTCGGCTCCAAAAAACAACACAGTTTCAACCATTTCTTCTGGGGGTGAAGGGGAGGGGAGGACAATGCAATTCTTTCACAGACCGCAGTTAAAGCGCTTTACAAGAACCTTCAAAGTTTCCCCCTTAGTGGCCTTTGGTAACTCTGCTGCTGTCCTCTGATTGGCTGACAGGCCCGCCTCCCTCTCAAGTGGATGTCTCCAGAGTCCATCTTTGACAAGGTGTTCACCACGCAGAGCGACGTGTGGTCCTACGGCGTCCTGCTGTGGGAGATCTTCTCTCTGGGTAAGAGCCCTCTCACCTCTACCCGGGCGGTGGACAAAATAACAGACACACGTTGCACAACACAACAAGCCCTGTAGAACTTAACCTACTTGATTTACCACGTATAAATGTGACTGTGTGTGTCCAACAGGAGCTTCTCCGTACCCTGGTCTTCACATTGATGAGGAGTTCTGCCACAGACTGAAGGGGGGGACGAGGATGCGAGCACCTGACTACAGCACACCTGAGATGTGGGTGGACACTTTTTCCACACTAGTTACCTACTGAAATTAGTAGCGGAGGCAGGATGGGAGTTAATGGAGGTCTAACACGTAGGATGGTAGTAAATAGTTGGTGGAATTTGAACCTCTACGTCATGTGACACAGGTAATGACACGATGTTGGTCGAGAGTTAAACCCTGCACCTGTATGCTTGTGTTCCCAGTTACAGCACCATGCTGGCATGCTGGGAGGCCAGTCCCTCGGACCGACCCACCTTCTCGAACCTGGTGGAGACCCTGGGAGACCTGCTGCAGGCCAGGGTTCAGCAGGTCACACTGAGCACAGTGAAGGTTTCTCCAGAAAAATGTCTACGCAAAAGACGTCTTACGAATGTCTGTCTTCGCTCCTTCTCTTTGACAGGAAGGGAAGGACTACATTCCTCTGATGTCTCTCGTGAGTGGAGATACCGGCGAGACCTTCAAAGAAAACGTGCTTGCAGTCACAAACTTGAGGTAGAAAAACATGAAGAAGATATCGTTTAAAAAAATGTTGCTCAACATGTTAGGTCTGGATTTCCCAGCTTGACTGAAGATGTATTATACATATAGAAAGATGTATTTATATGATGTATTTAAGAAATCCATTCAAATCAATGTAGAGAAATAAACATGGGACGAAAAGACAGGTGTGGATGTGAAAGTTGAGAGAGGTGCGAGAAAACTGAAACTCCATCATAAAACAACAGGAAACAGCTTGAGAAAGTGGAAACATTTCCAAATGTTTTGAATGTGAATCCAACCTATGCAGCTACATGAGGGCCATGGCCACACTGCAGACGTTTGAGGAGCCGCCCTGCACAGAGCCGGACAGCCCTTACGTAAGGAAACTCCCTCGCTTCTGACTGCACGCACAAATACACACACACACACACAGTTTATTGTTTTGAATGAAAGCAGATGAAACAAGCTAGAAGCTGAAGCTGCATGTTCCCCCCTCCGGCTTTAGGATGAGCAGAGTGACAGCGGCATGGTGCTGGCATCCGAGGAAACCGAGAGTCTGACGTGGAACAACGGCCCAAAGATCAGGAAATTCAGCAGGTGATCTTTACTTGATCTTTTTCCTCCAGTCGCCTGCAAATCCTCGCACACAGTGGTGATGCACACGTTCACATTTCACAATGGACTTCAGAAGGGGGCCTTAGGGACCTTATGAATGAACTATAGGTTAAAGGTCGTTTTGATGTTTTGTTTAGACCGGTAGTAACTTGTTAATTAAAGTGTACTATTATGGCAAACCCTGCTACTACCTTTACCATGCTACTTTTAATGGGTTACTATATTATGGCAATTTATAAGAAGTCTTTTCATTAAATTAGTGCGTAGATTTTATGCATTTCTTACGTTCCTTTAATCTTTTTAGTACTAATTTAAGTATTATCCAAAAGCATTTTTGAACAATTTATCATTTCTTTTGGCGTAATATATTGTGACTTTCATTATTTAACTTAGTATGTTAAAAGATGTTATGATTTAGATTATTTAGTACGGACAAACACGTATTTTAAACGAGGCCATAACTCTGCTTGTGCACGTTCTCAGGTTCTTTGCCTTCACTGCGTGCCGGGACCAACAGGTGCCTTTCCTGTTGGACAACATCAAGGGTCTCTGGGACGACTCGGTCTCGCCCTCCATCCTTCCGCGCGATTGGGAGTCTGACGAGGGGGGCTCTCCTCCTCCGGACTACAACTCGGCTTTCCTCTTCCCTTCCCTGTAGCATCGCTGCTCAGAGGGAACACACACACACCCACACACACACACACACATATACTGTATATTCCTGCTCACAATCTTTATTCAACTGCGTCCTCTACCTCGTTGTATCCGCGCGTTTTCTGCCGTCCTCCTTTCTCTTCTGCGACCAAACATAAAAACATCCCTTTGCGGTTCTTAAGTTCTCAAAAAGAAACTGTCGTGCAACAAAGCCTCTACAGTATTACCAAGTAATGTTTTATACCACCACACACGATGCTTCCCAGAGCAGCTAAGAGTTATGCAGATTATTAGAGCGTATTGTTTTGGTACCTCATGTGCTGAGCTTTGTGAAGAGGAACACTGCTGTATAAAATAATGGTTCCTCCAACACCGCTTTTATATGCTGGAAAAAAAAAGTAACAATAAGACTGAATTGTAGGTCGTTTGACCGGACGTATTAATCTGTATTTATTTAAATGCTGCATTTATTCCATGGATGAGTGGATGTAATATGTACTCCGTTGCCAGTTTCCGTTTCTAATGTTCACTTTAACTGAAGCGGTCTGAGGAAGGTGCTGATTTGTCCGGCAGTGGTATTAATGAGGAAGGACAAAATATGTGGAAAAAAAACTCAATAAGTAAAACTACTGTCTGCAAAAACAAGTGTTCAAATATTTGTCTAAAAGGAAAAAGATTAATTGGATTGCTGAGAGTTGCAGAACTATTAAACTGGCAACTACGTTTATATTAGTTTTCTATATAAAATGTTGTTAAGATATGTCAGATCCTTCAGAGTTGACCAAATGTTATGCTGTTTTAGTTATATATATATATATATATATATATATATATCTCATCTTTATTTACAGAAACGCATGAGCTGTTAATTAGGACTGACGTGTCCATTAACCCCTTTAAAACAGCGATGGAACGTTTCACCCACACAAATATTCTCTGGTATAAAACACAAATGTTTGTGCGGTCTTGATGAATCGTATTATTTTGTTAAGTTTTTTTTATTGATTTTATTGATTGTAATTTCAAAAACAAGACAATATCCTGCATGTATCAATTTTGGTATTCTTTATTAAAATACTGCTGTACACACAAATATTGCAAAATTTGAAACAATGAACACAAGAGGGGCATAAAACGTCCTAACATGGTGATTGTAGGTGTTGTAATGTGAGGGGGGGGGGTGTTATGAGAACTGACAGTGTGTGGACCGTTAGGTGGGCGTGCGTGTTTTAAGGGTTTTCTAAAAAGCACCACATTCACCACCAAATGTTTTTTTTTCTGTTCATTTCACTAAAACAGAGGAAGTAGTACATGATCCATCACAGCCAGCTCTCTGCAGGGTTTGTTCGCCCCGAGTACAGATCATCCACTTCCCTGGCAACTTTGAAAGGTGAATGTAAAACGGCAAGACGTTCTTGTTTAAGCCTTTAACAACAATTCGTCCGCAAGACCCTTTTTGTCTGCGGCCTTTCGCTTGCGCGCACTCGTCAGACGCTACTGAGAGCTAGAATAAGGCAGAGAAATCAAGGACAGTAATTATATAGAGCTCGGATTGATCTCTTTATCAGAGTGGAGCAGGTTTGCACCAAATGAAAAAAACCCGGGTGATTCAAAGACGGAATATGAACCGTACTTAGGGGCGACATATCATCCCTCTGACTGATCCCCACCACCTCCACCGGAAGACATCCCCTCCGCCCCACTGCAGCTCTCCGCCTGGACAGGGGCTGACCAATGACAGCCAAACACATTCAATCACGGGGCCCCTCCGGCTGTTGAGCCGTCCTGAGAGAAATCCGAGTCCTCCGAGTGAGTGCAGCTCAGCCGCCGTTTGTATTTCATGATCTTTAAAAGTCAAATAAAACACAGCTGTTGTTGCCCCGTTCTCGCCGGTGTCCTTCATCCCTTCCCCAAAAACCCTGCTGGAATTGGTCCACAGAATAATAAAAGGTTGACTCGAGGCAAAAACGAAGTTGCCGTCATGGTTCCCACCATTCGTTCCTGCACAAAACCCGAACAAGGAGAAAAACGTGTCACTTTGTCTCAAATGGAGAGTGGCCTTTGTCCCCCGTTTGGAATTGAAGATTGGGGTCAAAGTAGAAATAAGAGGAGAGTAAGAGGGACAGAAAAGGGGACGTTGGGGCAGGAGGACAAGTGGCTGACAAAATAAGGACATTCCACAAAGAGGCAGCTGTGGCTCCACCTCAACAGGAGCGCCACCCTCGGGCCACAGCCAAGCGCTGGACAGCCAAACCAGAAGGACCAGTTCAAGTCACGAAAGCGTCCATTGACCAAAAAGGTGGTTGCTCCAAAATCAACAAAAAACACCTGGTAAACGGCATCAGGAGAAGGCACCGCTTCCTCAGTGCCAAAGAAAATGTACAATCTCTCCCCCCCACCCCAAATCTTAAATCCATGGTAGCTTGCTCACCCACAAGCGAGATGTTCCACAATCTCCCAAATCAAAATAGATTTTTCCAGTTTAGGAGCCCTTCCCACCTTCCCAAGTGGGTTGTTCTTTCTCAGGGGAAAAAGAGAGGGAGGGGGGGGGCAACCCACTTCATGAAACATGTGCCGTCCCACTCTAATGGGAAACTTGAGTGGTGTGTCCCGTCTCCCAGAGTGTCAACAATGAAAGGGGGTCTCCGGCCGGAAGAGAGTCGCAGTCCATAGGAAGCTGGATTTTGCTCGTTTGTTCCTCTGGTGTTTGCGTCGGTGTCTTCAGCTCTTTCTGCACCCTGTAGGTCACTCGCACTTATTGATAAAAAATTAAAATCTTAGTGCATCCTCCTCAGAAAAACAAATCCCCAAATGTCAAAACAAACAATAAAAGCCAGAAAATAGTTCAAAACCTCATGGTTTGTTTCGTGTTTGTTCCCAAATCTAAAAAAATGTCATCGTACTCGTTTGTCACAGTTTCCGTTTGTCTTTTTATGCTTGTTTTTTTCTACCCCGTTTATTTTACGATTTTCAGCTGCGGCCGGGGAGGAGGGGGAAGTTTTTTTTTTTTTTAGGAAAAAAAAAAAAACACTTTAGAAAAAGCCTTCCTGGTGGACAGAGTCAGTGTATGTGACTGAGGTTCACGAAGCCCCGCCGCCTTCGCCGTGCTGATGTCATCTCCGTGAGACTGGTCCTCCGCTGTAGTGCAATAGTGTGCTCCAGGTACAGGCGGTCCCATCCCATGTCCCCGAAGGGGGCGCTACAGAGAGCCGGAGGCTGCGGCCTGCAGCTCCTGGAAGGTACTGTCGAAGCAACGCTTCAGGTCCGAGTAGGTCACGACCAGGACGCTCTTCTCGTCCCGCGACACCAGGCTGATCTTCTCGGGAACGCCAGCGTCCAGCTGCGTGAACACAGGAGGACGTGGTTAGAAAACAGTCATATTTAGTGAGAAATAACAATAACAAAAAAGTGGAGGAGAAAGCTCCCTGACTTTGTTGAGGCAGGAGACGATGTGGCTGAGGTCGATCCAGGGCGTCCCGGCTTCCGTCACCTGGTGGAACAGGTGATCCCGGAAGAGCTTCAACAGGTAGCGGTCGCCCGTCTCCGACCACGACGGGTCTTTCTGGAACCTGAGAGACACGAGCAGGGTCACAGAGTGGAATCATAACGGAAGGGAAAGCGCACGCGAGCCGCTTATTAAAGAAGCAACTTACTCTGGCCGCTCGTTGATGGTGCCCAGTTTGGCCAACAGGCGGAAGAGACGGCCGTTTTGCACCTCCTGCGAATAAAGGGAATTCAAATTAATTACGTAATTGTTCCTAAACGGGCTAGTTGGTAGGAGGAGCTCAGAAAGTAACAGGTTAATCGTGCCGCGTGGCCTGAGGCTGCGCTGCTGCGCAGCATTCGCGCTCTGGGAGAAGCAATATCCTGCTGGTTAAAGTTAACTGAACACTTAACGGGACACTTAAGCTTCAACATGATGGACAAGCTCAGCTCCTACTCGTCCTCCTCGTCTGTGGACTGAGGCAGCGTGGAGCTACAGGGATTAGAGGTACTCGTTTTAAAAAGGTACAAGTGGCGTTACAGGACAGGATGGGCGAGGTCTAGCATGCTAGTATCGGTGGATATGACAAGACAGCGCATCCTTACCAGGAACTGATTCGGAAGCGTCTGCTGCTACCCACTCTGTCCATACATGGAGCTGGACTCTCGCAAGTACCAGAGGACACTTCCTCCTTACAAGAAGTCAATCACGAGAAGCAGAATTTTCCGTTCCTGTGGTCAGTGACTTGTGATATGTGACATATGAATACCAAGCAACCTCGCTGCACCCACTGTTGATCACTGGCTGATCTTGACTCCGCATCAGGTTATTGTCAACAAGTTGTAGCTCACCTTTCCCCTGTGCAGATCTAATTTACTCCTGCCTCTCCTTTCTCTTCCTCCTCTCTGCCTGTCTCACCCTTTCAAATCTCTTTCTGCACTGTTGGACAAAGTGAGAATGATTGAAGATCAATTAAAACAACCATGTCACACCCGCTGCTCTTGCCATATTGTGTTGAAACAATTTGCGGTATAAAACACCTCCCTGTTTACGCTCATTGAGCTCTTCTGGAGCACAAACTTGCTCTACTTGAAGCATTTATATGTGGATGATTTATTTTAACTATTTTGCTACAGTTAAGTGAACGAAACTGCTCATTCTACATGCTGATTTTTGTAACACGGCTACCGCTCCATAGGTGCAGACACGCCTTCAGCTACCACATTGTGCAGAGATGGGGGCAGAGACAAGAAGCGCTCTCCCAGCCAGCACAGATATTAGCAGATCACAGGCAGGTTTGGCCCAAAAATATACGACTCGACTTTTCAGAACTTCTGTTACGGACATTTTGTGCACCCCGATGGACATCTAACAGAAAGGCAGAAAGAGAAGTTGTTTGCAGCATGGAGATAAAAGACCAAGACAAAAGGTTTAAATAGCTCGATGGATGCCTCCTGGAAGTCTGGGTGTGAAAGGGAAGTTGGGGTCGGAGCGAGAAAAGAAAAAAAAAAGGAGGCGCGGGCCGGTTGTTTCACACGTTTAACAGCGGGAGCGACAACATTCAGGGCGAGACTGCGAGGCCTACAATATACCATACAAACTTCCTGTGTGCATACTAGTTCCCCCTTTGCTCAGTAAACCACTGGCCTATTTGCAGCCACCACCCAACAACCATGCGCTTCTCTGCCGGTGAGACACAAAACCTCCTTTTTATTTATTATCTTAATACCTTGGCCAGATCCTCCTCAATGACATCGTTCCTCATCTGCGATGCATCCAGCTGTGTGTAGAATCGAGCTCCGATCATCGGCATGATGTCGTTGACGCTGCGCAGGCGAGATTGTTCGGTCAGCAGATACCTGCACCCACGCAAAAACATCCGTTTGTTAGGACTCTTCAAAGAGCGTGTCAGTGAGCGCTTTAGGTGTCAACACTCGTCTTAATGCAGCCCTTCATGCGACGTTTAAATATGACTCTGCTCCTGTACAAAAGGAGATCATGCAAACGCTAAGAAGTGGACCTGTCATGTTTGCAATGGGCAGTTTCAGGCTGACAAAGACTCAATTTGAGATCTAAAAGCCCCTCAAAACAAATAATTTACGGTAACGCAAACTTGATTTCTGGGGGTTCTGGGATCACACACGCTGCACCCCTCCCGCCCTTACAGAATGAGGTTCTTCAGGTCTGAGGAGTAGTTGATGGACACCAGCTCCATGGCCTTCTGCAGGTTCTCCCTCTGAATACCAGCCAATGAGTTGCACGCCAACGCCAGCACCACCTTGCCCAGCGACACGAGGTCTGCTTGCTACGCAACAAAAACACAAATATCAATGAACCGGTCGCATTTTGAAAAGTGTTTAACGATATGCTCATAGTACGTGGGTGGGAAACGGCTCCTCTTTTGTGCATATTCATGTGTAGTGTACCTGGTACTGTGGCATTAGGGCAAGATGATTGGTTTGACTGCTGTCAAAGGTCAAGACATCAAACACACCGACACAGTTCACCCGTAACCTGCAGAGATAACAGAAAGGGACACTATCATCATCAACAGTTAATGTGCACGTCAGAGCGCACAACCACAGGGTTGTGAAAAAAGGAAGTATAATAAAACAAGACTTCTGCTTTTAATGTACTTACAGCATACACCCCCATTGACATCTATAAGAGACTCCGCGGTCATCTACTCGTATTAACTGTGGACAGATCGACGCGTGTGTACCTGGTCTTGCCGGTGATGAGGATCTTGCTGGGGTCCATGACGCGGCAGGCCAGGCCGGCAGTGTGGATGGTGCGCAGGGCCGAGCTGAGCTGGACGATGTAGGCCCAGATAAGAGACTCCGGGAGCAAACCGGCATGCTGCCGTGGGGGGGGAGGTTCATGTTGTCCTGCACATAAGCAATAGGATTTATCACCCAAATGCAGCCTGCGCAGTCAAAAAAGTAAACTCTCCAACTGTCACTGGCTTCCTTTCCTCCAGGACCATTGCAGTTATGAGGTCAATAAGATATGCAATTTTTATTCAATCTAACATACAACTAACTTACAATTGAGACACAGTTTTTATACAGACGAGACAAAGACCAGGACGGTTTTGCTTCCCCAGTAGGTAGACCTGACAGCACCTGTCCTAGGATCAGTTTCAGCCACAGTTTCCTTTTAGTCCCCACGTCTCACTCGCACAAAACGCACACTAACTGTCAACCTAGGAACGTTCAAACTCCAAACAATCCGAAGCCTCGTTTAAGGCCCCTAAACGTTAAGGTGAATGCATCATTATTTAAAGTGCTGAGCTGTTTAGTGTTTACTGCACAACCATCAAACACAGGATATGAGCAACACAACGCACAGCAAACCTTAAAAAAACCCCACACACAAATAGACCATAGCTGATGACCTCATTAGCATACAAGTAAACAAACCCCAAGTGTTGGAAGCAGATGGCTGAAGATGGGCATCTGGGGTGATACTGGCTTCATTGCGACGGTAGACCAACTCACCCCACTTCCTCTTGGTGAAGTACGAATCTGCCGCAGGATCACTGAAGTGTCTGCCGAACATGGTTTCTGCACCCGCATGAAAGTCATAGGAGAAGACCAACGCTGGGACAAACAGAGCCATGCGGGAAAGGGTTTGAAATGACGGCAACGCAGTTTATAGACACCTAAAAAGCACCAGCAACTTAATAGAGTTGAAATGCTACACTGTAGACACAAGTATACCGAACCACCGTCTAATTTAGCATTTGGGAATAAAGTTGTGGATTACGTAAAATATTCCAGAAAGAGACAAGAATGTTCATACACAACAAACACTCACAGTGGTCTCCAAAGGCCTTTGTGGTGAAGACCTCCCTCAGTGTTACAGAGTTTGAGTGCTGAATTTTCTTCCACATGTCCACCAGCATCATACACTTGGTGTTTACGAGGCGGAAACCTGTATACGTTTAAAAAAAAGACACACAACACACAAAAAGGGCAATGAGAAGTACAGCTACATCTTACACGATCACAACTCATGTCGTGCACTGCTCATCGTAATCAAAATTACAAACAAGAGATCTAAAGAATTTGTTTTCTTTTTTTCAACAGCAATGCATTATTTGCCCCTTTTGAAGAAAAAATAATTTTATGCAAATGACTACATACATTTAGTTGCTCGAGTTGTATTTTCTGAAAAATACCAATCATTTGGAAAGAGTAATTGAGAAAGCATTACGCCAATCGAATCAAAAGGTTTTTGAAGACCTTTGGTATTCTTTGGAAGCAATCGGTTTTCTCTTAAAGCTAGTGGCATTTTTAGTTACTAAAAAACAACATTATGAGTCGATACACCATTAAATACTTCCTGAAACTGGCTTTTTTGGTGGAGTGACATATGCGTTATTGTGGAAGGAAACTTCGTAACTCATTTATTACCGTGTATCCTCCTCAGGCAGTAAGGAAGGTCATCCTTGCTGTTGACAGCCTTGTAGCAGGAGGTGATGTAGCTGAAGTTGCTGGTCTTCTGCATGCGGTTTGGTGGAGGCAGGGCCTCAAGCGGGAAGAGGCTGTGGTAGCTGTCCACCTCCGAGGGTACGTCTGCCAAAGAACGACAAAGTCACAGAGGAAATTAAACAATGAACGAAAAACACGCAAAATTTAAAAATATATATATTAAAAAGTTATAACTAGTTCATAGCCAACACAAGGAATAATTAGTTTTGACTATTACTAAACCAGCACTAGATTATACTTTACCAATATGATTTACCGTCACAAAATCCCTAACTTTACCTTCTCGTTGTGTGCCTGACAAATTACAAAAGTTGGCACTAAAAACAAAAAAAAAATGTCAACACCGTTAGACTCTTACACAAAGAAATCAACTCTACGCGAAGAAATCCCCTCCACATTTGTTTCAGTAAGAAATGTGGGTTTAGTTGTAGACAGCATCAAAATGGTCTTCTGCTGAATACAAAGCCCCCGTTTTGTGAACTCCAAATAGGACTTTTTTCCATGGGAAATAATTGAACTTATAACAAGCATTTGTATTGAAAACAAAGCAGACCCTGTACCTGTGTTCTCTGAGTGGTCAATCTGGGCCATGGTTATCAGATGTCTGTTTATCAACTCCTGGAAGACAAATTAAAGGGCACCACATTGAACATTGCCTCTGAATAACATGGCAAATACTTCAAAAAGGAGGTAGGTATGTTGGAAAAAACCTGTCGGAGTTCATCTGCCATGAAGAAGGACGGAGCGTTGGCTTTTGGCTGCATGTAAGCCACATGGGGTGCAGTGGGGGGATAGATATGGTACGTAGGAAACACCTGCGATGAAACCAGAAAAACACAGCTTCCTATTTATCGAGAAATGAAAGCCAATGAGATCTTTTTTCTTTTTTCAAACTACAAGCTCGTAGCTACACAAATTAATGTGACGGAATGAAGCTCTTATTATTTTAATGATGAGTTGGGATGGCAAACACGCCCTCTGAAGCCAAATTATAAACCATAGTTTGCCACAATTAAGTGTGTTTTTCAAGTATGAAAAGAAAAAGGGTGGGTGCGGGAGATCAATGAAGTGTAGGGTCATGTGCAGGAATTCAGGTGTCAAGTTCTGACTTCTTAAAAGAACCTGAGGTCAGATAATGAGTTAAATGCAAACTCCTTTGCTTCCAATCCACATTTACAAATGTCATGGTGTGATGCTGCATCTTTGAGTCTGGCTAGGAATTCAAAAGTATTGTAGTGTATCCCCATGCTTTAGTGTATCCCAAATAAAATACAGAGTCGCACAGTTTGTGTAGCACATACCATCCCGGCCATCGGTGCTGGGGTGTTGTCTGTGTAGAAGTAGGTGGTCCCCCCTACGGTTTCTTTCTGGATCATGTGAGGTCCCTGGTCAGCTGCACTTGTGGGCACCATGTAGTTGGCCGGGTTTGGGGTGTGACTGCGCCGACGTGGAGCCGGTGAGGTGTGCGGTGTAATTTTCGGGGAGTGGAGAGGAGAAGATCCCGCAGAAAGAGACATACCTAAAATTGGAGACAGAGAGTCTATATTGGTTTCAATAGTGGCACATCTGAAGATCAAAAACAAAACAAGGTGACGTAGAAGCTACTGCAAACAGATACAATGGGGTGGTTTCTCGGTCACTGAGCTTAAAAAAAAACCTCACCAGGAGCCAGGGCAGCAGCCGTGGAGGTGGGGAGGCCAGGATGGGGGAAGAGAGGCGAGGGGAAGGCCTGGACAGTGGACTGAACCATCGTGGCCATACGTGGAGCTCCCTTAGGGATGAACTCACTTGCTGCCGGGTTAGGAGTCTGATGGTACACAAAAAAAAAAACATGCACAAGTTTACATTACATCAACCACACCCGATGGCAATAAAGACAAGGGACATCAATCAAACTAATCTCAGTCGAGTCTTAACTAGATGCTTATGAAAAATAAAAAAGCAGTAATGAAATTTTAAAGCACCTTACTGATTTGGACTGATTCGGATTAAGATACTTGTGAGCTCACCTTTCTCCTTTGGGAGATACTAAGAGCACCAAAATCACTGAAAAGTGAGGATGTCGGGGAGTTCACTGGATCTGTGGGGACCAACGAGAAAAAGACATTTAATATACACCGGATGAGTACCGCACACCGCTTCGCTGAGCACCGAGAGTCTCACCATGTGTGCTGCGGCTGAAGTTCTTGGCACAGTCGTTGAGACTTGGAGAGCTGCTGCTGGTGGTCATTCGCTAAAGAGAATAGCATCAAGAACAACATTTTTGAAGAAGACGCTCCAATATGCTTAAATATTTATCAATAAGTTAGATGCAGATATTGCGTTGTGATGAAATGTATGAATCCGAATTAAACATTTAGACTAACTCAAATATATCAATACAAGTAAAATATGGCAATAACTAAGCTTGTGCATGGGTGTACAACCACAATTACATTATTTTACAATGCATTTTTCGTCTTTCCTTTACACTAACTCGAATATACAGTTTTTCATTTGTACCTGCATCATTGAGTATTTAGTCTCAGCTGGGCTTCCAAACCCATTGACGCCAATAAAGCTGCTGCTGAAGTAAGAGTTGGTGAGATTGGCATCGCTCAGAGTTGCACCCTCCATCCCTGGGACTGTTGGAAACAGCAAGATAATTATGTGCTTAACAGATACGAGGAAGCAGTTTGTGCACGTCTGCACTGCCGCATCGAGCCACAAACACAGAACTAATTTAGGAGCATGTAAACAGTTCCGCCGCCGACATTACAACGTGCGAGCTCACGTCAAGTCTGCCACAGGGCGATGTGCACAGAGCATCGTTTAATAACAACAACAATTAAAGTTTATGGTAGCGGTCGTCCCGGGTTAAAGAGGACGTGATTGAGTTACACGTGGATTTTAGTCACGGTGGTTTGTTTACGTTGGGAACCACCGTGACACAATTGCTAAACGAATGCCCCGTGAACGGGGTGGTCAAGCTAATGTTAGCAAACAGTACACTAAAAGTAGATTTAACACGAATACCACAGCTCACTTAAAACACTCAACCTGGAACTAACCACCGGAGCTAGAACTAAATTTGATAACCCCTGGTAGAAGGAAAAGCCACACGCGTTGAAGTTAATAAAAACGGTCAATTTGAAGCCAGTTTAGCTAACGCTAGCTCGCTAATAGCTACACTAGCTAGCAGTAGTGTGTCCCGGATTTTTCCCCACTCACAGCTGTCATAGAAAAACAGCAGGCCTCCTCCGTGCGAGCTGCAACAGCATGGCTAATGTTAACTGCATGTTGTCACAAACATTACTTATAACTTAACCACCGGAAAAAACGTCATTATCTAGTCGGCAAAAGAGTACAACGTATGCTAGCTGCATATAAGAAGGCTTTAAAATGAGGTTTGGCAAGTTAAGTGAAACCCACGCTGTTTTGGGGTGACGAGGCCTCAAATGAATCCCCGAGCTGGATTTTAACAAAGCCCAACAAGGCCCAAAAGTAAAGTCCGAGACAGTCACCCGTGAGAGGCGCTTTCTTGCCTTAATTGTTACTCACTTGATAACAGCTGCCCCTCCAGAGATGCGCCCGTAGGACCCAATGGTTCACTTTTCTTGGACACGCCGGTCCCCCCGCCGCCCGGGCAGGCCGCCGCGGAGCCGCCGAGAGAAAACACCGCGGGAGTCCCGCCACCTCCGGCCATCGACATCGGCACGGGGCTGCCGCCGCCGCCGTGCAGCGGCAAGCCTGACATGGAAGGATCCTCGTGGAGGAACTGGCACTCTTCCCCATAAAAGCAGGTTTTGTCTTTCGCGTAATATCGGCAAAACTTCACCTTGACATTGGGTATTCCGGCAACCCCAAGCGGAGCAGCTGAGGCTGGGAGTCCACTGTTCATGGCACCGCTGCTGCCGCCACCGCTGCAGCCGGAAGACACTCAAACATAGAGAGACGCAGGTAGCTAGCGAGCTAGCCAGCTAGCCTGCAAAAAGATTCCCCCTTAAAGGAGCGAATTAATATCAGTTGAGCTGGCGAAGAACACTCAAAACCCGACGGTACTCACATTCTAAGGCTAAGATGGATTCGAGGGTTAAGAAAATATCTTTGCATGCGCGGTCTCCTGGTCGTCGTTGTTGTCGCTATCCATGCAGCTGCCTCGTTCGTAAAGTAGCCTGTTGTTGTTTTCTTCTCCTGCTGCTCTGCTAAGGACTCGCTAGCTTAGCTTTGCATTGTGGGTACAGCGTTTGGCGGAGTTTACAAGCGCAAGCCGCAAGTTGAATCTGCCGCACAATAATATCGTGACATGCAAAACGACCAAAGCAGACGACGGCGTAAAGGTGTTTTGGAGGCAAATTATAAGCATCAATACTGCTTAGTGCCTTTGCTTAATGTTTACAAGTTTAAATTCTAGCAAACGAAGCAGATTATTGCAACATGGCATATCTGGATTTATACGGTTTTATATTATCTGCACTGAAGAAAACTGGTAAAAGAACATCAGACCAAAATAAAAATGAAATAAATAAAAATGTTCGTCTGGTAGGAAATGTGAAATTATCACAATTACTTGAAAAAATGTACAAATGTGAATTTATTTATTGCTTATTTTCTCACCATTTTCTCCCCGTAGTCCAAAAAGACAATACAACTTTAAAAACACACGCACGTGGTTGTTATCATATGGTAATTTGGCTCCCATCATATTCCATTGAGCCTTTGCTAAAAGTTGCATTAATAGTTCCAGCCATGCGCGGCTCACAGCGTCATCGTTTCGAGTCACACTTCCTCCGTTTAAAAGGTTCACGCACACACTTGTCACATCAAAGTGTCGCTGTCTCACCCTGTAATGACACTGACAGAAAGAAAGGACCAATGCGCAGGCGGATCGATATGATCGCGGGTGAGTCAAACCTCTTCACTCGGGAGTTATTGGCAGTGATGGTGAATACGAATGCAATTTCAATAGATATAAATGTTTTTCGATTATTTCAAAATCTTAAAACAATAATATTAGCATCATTTCTTTCATATCGCATTTTTTGAAGATCGATACGACAATGTCGCATTGTGAAACATTCCGTTCAATGATGACATTCAGCTGTTGTTCAATAATTAAGTTTGAGGAACGTTCAGTAAAAAGTGGTAAACTTCGGATGAGAGACACACCTGCTCTGATGGAATTAAGAAATATCAAGTATTTAAGAAATAGTTTATGAAATGATCATCTATATGCTAAATCATTTTAATTAACTAGAGAAAGAGCTAACAGTTTGGGGGGGGATTGCATTTCTAATGTACATCTCTTAAAAATACCCGCTTCTTTTTAAATAGCCTCTGGCTGAAATTAAGTAAAAAAAATTTTATTCTTGTAGTTATCTTCCTCCTGTGTGCTGTTGAGCTTCACTGCTCGGATGGCATCGCAGCGCAGAATACGACTTGTGAGTCCTACCTTGAGGTAAAAGTCGTCGGGATCTTCACTGTGTTTTAACTGAATTATGCATTAAATCGTTTTTGTATATTTCTGAATTTATAACGATTTAAGGAAACTATTCATCATTGGTAAACTCCAATAAATGCTGAGGGAATGTAAACTAGTGACACATACATTCAGACAGCAGCTTTTACAGAAAATAGATTGTGACCATATAACATAATGCAATTTAACGTTTGCTTTTTTCAGTGCATTAGTCCAGCATATACATTGTTGTCATCCAAGTGATCACCAGTGACTTCTTTACATAAGACCATATCGCAGATTAAACAAAATACTTTCATTGCCTTTGATTTAGTTAGAAACAAAGCTGCAGCACAACATGAGGTTGTGAAACTGCAGAGAGGCAAATAGCACACACTCGACTAAACGTTTATTTCTGTTCACCAGTTTGAGGTGTCCGTTTAAAAATAATTTTAGCGTAACCTTTCAAAGAGGATGTCTTTTAAAAGCAAACACTAGACAAGTTTTTTTTTTTTGATATGTATGGAATTAGCTCTGGTACACTTGGTCGTGTGAATTATTTATTATTAAAACACCAACATCAAACAACAAAATATGCCTTTTACCGGTATGAAGGTCAGCCACTTTGTTTATTGAGCTACATACCGTAGTTTGCATTGTGGTTTGCAACCTTTGCACAAAATGTTATTGTTGCTACCACATCAAAAGCTGCTGAGGGCAAGATCATGAAACGACGAGTCTTGTCTTCCAGGGGACATATTTTGTGCCAGTTGCCTCTCCCAATGCGACTCCTTCTGTGATCGCAGAAGGATGTTTTGGTAAGACACTCAACATCTCTCTGGAGCACTTCTCTGAATTCCCCGTTTGTCAATGGATCAGAGGAGCAGACACAATACTTACCGTGTAAGTGAATGTCTATGTGTGTGTGTGTATTTAGATGTGTTTGTCCTTTTCTATCATGTTTACGTGATTAAGCTGAGTTTTTTTTCTTAAACTCAGAAACGGGAGTAGCTCCATGGTCCTACCGGCGCTTTCTGAAAAAGATTCAGGGGAGTTTAAGCTGAGCTGTGAAAGTAACGAAGGGACCGGGACGTCTCTGACTGTGTCTCTGCGTGTAAACAGTGAGTCCCACCACGTCTCGGGCACAACGCTAAAACTTAATACAGAAAACACACAACAGAATGTTTGACGCAGATACGATTTTGACGATTCACTTTTTTCCAGGACGTCCCACAAAACCAAAGCTGACGCTGTCCGAAGTGGAAGATTACGGGTATTCCCCTCTTTTTAGATGCAGCTCTGAAGGCTTCCCAAAGCCCACGCTCCAGTGGTTCCCAACCCCAACCCCAACGTATGCACAATTCACAACCATATTTTCAACAAATATATTAACAATGTGGTCTTCCAAAACTTCTTATAATAGTGTCATTTTCTGTGTAATCCTCCTTGGACAGAAAACCAACGGAAGATACAAGAGATTCAATGGCAATTAGCCAAATATCCAGTATGTATTTTATGAGTGAAGCGAAGTGCTGTGCTAACAACGCTGAAGGACAAGAGTGCTCTCAACTCTATGACTACGGTAATTTGATCTTTCAACTCATTCAAAACATACATTCTACAAACGTTTGGACTATCTCTAATAATTAGACTTCTTGTTAAACTACATTTAACGAAACATATCTGACTTGAGTCCCAACTGTGTTTCAGACCTAGACTCTAATAAGGTCTCTACTGCCATCCTGAGCCCGGGTCAGTCTCTACTCCTACGCTGCCGTAGTAGTAAAAGACAACCTGTTTGGGAGAACAGCTCAAAAATGGGCACCAAAATATCAGCGTGCTCTTCTAAAGTCCAAGAGGTATGGTAATTCCCGCTGAGATCATTGCGATTTTCTTTTTATTTGAACAATTTCCACGTACGATTGTCTATTTACACTCAAATCCCAACGATGATATATTTTTGTCCCAGATTTGCATCAAGTTGGATCGCCATAATGGCAATCGTATGTCCTACCTGTTGATCGAGTCAGTTAACATGGACCACAGTGGGACATACACCTGCAGTACTGATGACAACAAAACAAACTCTATGGAGATCCGTGTCCAAGGTTAGCGGAAATACTTTCACCTAATCTGTTCTCTCTGTGCGGGTAGTCACATCATCAGTGATCAATGATACTCATTAAAGTTTGTTCCAATTCGGGCTTGGACTCATTTCATTCTTGTTTTTCGGCAGCCAATGGTTTGGTCTCTGTCCAGCTGGATGAGAGACGGATCATACCGCCTGAGAGAGCGTCCTCCTCCTGTTTGCAGGCCACTGTTTCCTACCACCATGTTCTCCAGCAATGTTCCTGGGAAGATCCTGATGGAAACGTGACTAAATGCCAGAGGGACACAGGGGTAACACACCACAGGTAGTTGCGACGTTACCGGTTGCATAGTTGTATTTTAATTATCATGTACTGTACATTTCTACAATGTCGGCAAACTAGCCTCTCTGGAAATTAATAATCCTTTGTGACTTTCGGGTGGTATAAATGTTGTCTTCTCAGCATCGTGAAGCTATGTGATGTACGCAAGTCAGGAAACTATACATTACACTTGGAGGCTGGCGGACAAAAAGAAACAAAGACCATATCAGTGTGTGTTGTAGGTAAGACAGATTTATCGTGTGCGTCTCAAATGATTAATATTAAATTCTACTGGATTCTGTCATTTTTAAAACATTCGCCACAATTTGTTTTGCATCGCTTATTGACTTTGTTTCAGAGACACCAAAGCTTAAATTCAAGCTTGGCAGTGATAATGTGTACACCATTGAGACCGCCACTCTTGTTCCAGCAAATTACACCTTGATGTGGTGTCCCCCTTCTAACGACAGGTACGCTCATCTTAGCTTGTTGTAAACACAAACACACACAATCACATTCTGATTTCCTCAAGTCTCCGCTGTATGTATCATAGCAGCTGTGAAACGGACTCTTCCTGGACGGAGATTGAAAATGACTCTCTGTCTGATGTCGCCTGTACCGCGACAATCAAGCGCTCGCTCAGCAGACCTTTGGTGGGCAGGAATCATTTAAAGTTTTGCGTGACAAACTCTGTTGGATCCTGGTGCAACACCCAATACTCATTATACCACCCAGATCAACCCAAGGCCTCCACAGGTAGAGACACTGATTTAACATCAAGATCATCAACTGTTATCATTATCATGGTCATCATTAGAAACTATCTCTCACCACCGTTTCAGGTTCTGCAAACACTGATGACGGCAGCTTCACGGTGCTGAAAGTAGGCAGTTTTATTCTGCTCCTGGCTTTAGCAGTGGTTAGCATGGTTCTCGCGTACTTTGTGAAAAAAAAGGTATGTGCTTCACATTGACAAAAATACACACAACAACACACAGGGTGACACGATGCAAACTCTTCTGTGTTTCCAATAGAAACCCCGGTACCAGCCCCAGCTCCAGATAATGCAGATGGTTGGACCCAATGACAACGATTACATCTACATAAACTTCAAGGAGTTTGGATACGACCTGAAGTGGGAGTTTCCCAGGGAAAATCTGGAACTGGGTACAAAGCTCACGAGCGTCTGACATAAAACCCCACTTCAGTGAAGAAAGCAGTACTCTGATGCTTTACTTAAGTCAAAGTGGCAATACAATACAAATGAAACCCCTGCATTTCAGTTCCTTCTGTATCCAAAACTATTATCAGCTTAATATGCTTAAAATATGAAATGAAAAAAAAAAGTAGAGATAAATAGTTGTAACATGGGTGATGGGGAAAAGAAGGACAAAGACGTTCTGCTACATTCGATTGGATTATTACGAAAGAAGATATTTTTAATTCGGTATCGGGGGGGTTTATGTTTATGTTTTTGGGCCGTGAACAGTTGTATTTTAAATCAGAGGGGAAATCTCTCTTTGACACCTGAAGAGTGACCAGGGGCCCTAACTGGACCTTCTATTTTATAACAGACCACAAGTCAGTAAAAAAAACAAATGTGGAGAGAAGCAGAATAAAATTGAAATACTCAACTAAAGTATAAATAAACTCGCAGCTTTTTTTAATGGTATTGTTCCCTTACAACGTGGCAGAAAAACTTTTATTCCTTCCTGTGTTTCCGTGCCAGGTCAGGAACTGGGCTCCGGGGCTTTCGGCACGGTGGTCCAGGCTACAGCTTACGGCATCAACAAGCCTGGAGTCTCCCAGCAGGTGGCCGTCAAGATGCTTAAAGGTCGGTGTTGTTTCATTTTTATCTCTTTCTCCGTGAGTTAAATGCAAAATATGTCACGGGTAGTCGTTCCGGCAGCTGATGTGATATTTGACGCTGCAGAGAAACACCAGGCGCTGGAGAAGGAGGCGCTGATGTCAGAGCTGAAGATGCTGACTCACATCGGTCACCATGCCAACATCGTTAACCTGCTCGGCGCATGCACAGACTCCGGTTGAGTTACCGCAGCAGACACTTTTGTCAGAAGTGATGATCCATGATACAAGCCACGATGTCTTATTTTGTTTCTCCCTCACAGGACCCACGTACCTGATTTTTCAGTACTGCTGTCACGGAGATCTACTGAACTACCTGAAGACCAACAGAGAGCACTACCACAAGTCTGCCGCCGACGCCTTCAACAAGATCCGCTTCAGCAACCTTTTCCACCACCAACTGCAGCCCAACAGAAGCTCTGGGTGAGGAAAGCGGGAGGGAGGTGGGGGGGGGGCAACCTTGGGAATAGTTCAAGCAAAATGACTCTGTTGCAAGTTTAACTTTACAATAACAAGCACGGCGCGCTTCTGTTTTCTCAGTGAGGTGGACTCAGAAGTGGCCAACTACATGCCCATGTATGGCTCCGCCACTAGAGGGCAGGAGGACATCGCTCTCCTCGCCGTCAACTCCGGGGACGCAGACGGCTACGAAGGTGAACTGGAAATTAAAACATGCGTGTTGTCACACTGATGGACTTGTATATTGCCGCAGATCTATCTGAGTGGTGTGAGATCGTTTCTGATCCCAGTTCATCCGCAGACCCGATGACCTACGAAGACGACCCGACGGACGACCTGCAGATCTTGACCTTTGATGACCTGCTCAGCTTTGCCTTCCAAGTGGCCAAAGGCATGGAGTTCCTCTCCTCCAAGAATGTAATAAACAAAGAACTGTGGAAACGCTACATTTACATCTCAACACTCACACTCTTGAAAGGACAAAACTGGTTTGACAACTGATTAATCATTTGGTTGTTTTTAAGCAAAATAACGGCCATGACTTTGCGCTCTTCCTGCATGGACATTAAATCTATATTAACTATTAATCAGACAAATCAAAGTAAGCGCCCTGATGACCCGTCTGTCTGCAGTGCATCCATCGAGACCTGGCAGCTCGGAACGTGTTGGTGACAAAGGGCGGGCGGGTGAAAATTGGTGACTTCGGACTGGCCAGAGACATCGAAAACGACTCCAACTACGTCGTCAGAGGAAATGTGTGGTACTTTTATTTGAGAGGTTTCAATGGTTGCCAAGTTCTGTGCGTTTCTGACCGCGTCTGACACCTCATGTGGGCGACGTGGCTTTCTTCAGGTGCGCTTGCCCGTGAAGTGGATGGCACCGGAGAGCACCTTTCAGGGGATCTACACCATTAAGAGTGACGTCTGGGCTTATGGCATTCTGCTCTGGGAAATCTTCTCACTCGGTAGTTTTTGCGAGCACTTTAGTGCATTTAAAAGCAAGCAAATCGTCAATTCCTAGACAGCGATTAATGCCTACTCTGTTCCGTGTACCTCTCAGGTGTCACTCCGTACCCGGGCATGAAGGTGGATCACACGTTCTATTCGATGATTGAGAAAGGATTCAAGATGGAGTGTCCATACTACGCCAATGACTCTGTGTAGGTGTCATAAAATCATAACCACAATGACGTAAAGCAGGAAGAATTGAAGTGTACTTTGTTGTATTGGGACTTTCACTTAAGAAAAGGAACCAAGTACTATTTCCACCGTCATCGAAAGGAATACAGCAGTGGGTTGACCTTTTGACTTCTAGCTAATACGCATTGACTGGGAGTCTTGTAAAAATAGTTTGTCTCCACGGGTGACTTCCTCAGGTACAGCATGATGTGCAAGTGTTGGTCTCTGGATCCCAGCAACCGGCCCTCGTTCTCCAAACTGGTTACCTTGATGTGCAATTGGCTGACGGAGAGAGAAGAGAAGGTACCGGCCTGCAGAGCGAGACCGTCACAGTTTTATCCCAGTCGCCTCCACAGCTGGACAGCCACGTGAACATTGTCTCTGACCTAAAAGTACCATATCACCCTTCCTCTTTCAGCTCTACCACAACACATCCGACCAGACGACCAGCGACTACCAGAACGCCGCGACTATTTTGGACATCTCCGCCTTGGCAAAGCAGGACGACAACAGGACGCAGTCGGCCAATGATTACCGCGGCATCCGTGCCACTGAGGAGAGCAAAGACGCGGCGTCTGACACGGAGCCCGCGGCAGCTGACGAGAAGCTTGTGAAGCCGCCCGATACAGAGTGACCCCCAAATGATCAAAGCAATTTATCTATACGTGTGTGTGTGTTTTAACGGTTTATATAAGGCTTTTGGCAATAATCTCAGGATTGAGAGTAGAATGCACTTGCTTCATATTTTTTATTATTAGAGTATTGTAACATAAGTTCAATGATATTAGAAATATATTTTCATTGCGCAGCTAAAAAGGAACAAAAACATCTCAGGATTATAGAGGTAATGACATGCAAGATAAGGAGTTGTAAAATGTTTATGGATTCGGCCAACATGTAGCAATTTATAAGCTTTTGGGTTTTACCATATACACATCATACATCATATATGTTGTTATGCAGTGCAATATTATGGCAATTATTTTTTGTGGTCTCTCATATAATACGAGCAGCTATTACTTGCAGATCAAAAACATTTTTAAACATTTTATTTTTTTAAGCTTCATTTTGAATTATTTTATTTGTTTGTCAGTGTTATACCTGCAATTAAATGTACTCATTCATAAAATAAATGGTGATCTGTCAACAGTTCAACCACCAAAAACATTTTTGCTTCTTGCTTTTTTAAAATCATTTTCCAAAGTCTGAAGGGGAATATCTATTCAGAATTCACAAATAAAAAACAAAATGATATGAATAAAATCCATGATGGAAGAAGAATTCAGATCTTCAGAATTATCTTCACCAAAGCAAACGTTTTTTCTTCATATCTGATGTTTTTGGATTTATTTTATTGCTGCATTAATGGGATGTTGCATTTTTACTGCAGATCGTAATATTTTAACTATCTTAACTTAGAAAATACAGTTTGATCTGCAATAATGCATTTTATTCTACATAACGAGTTTTTAATTTAGCATGTGACAAAAGAGAATTGTTTTAATCTAAAGAAAAACATAAGCCTTCTGTTGGAGATCAAAATCACCAAATCTCTCCCAGATGAACAGGAACGGTATGAAGCATTTTTTATGAGAATTAACTTAAGCTTCCCGACATGTGTATAGAGACGGGACAAGTACAATACAAACCTGTGAGGTGTGCTAAGCAACTATGTACGAGTACCACGAGCACTTACCTCTGCAAATATAAACCCCTCTGTGGGCTTTCCCTTTGCACAGCAGAGGGTGTCGTTTCTCCACCTCGCTGGGCAGGAGAAGGTCCGGCTTCTCTTTATGGTACAAACCTGTACAGATCCATGGTATTGTCCTATGATTTACAAATACATTTCTTTCTCTGTGGTGATGTTATATTTGTAACAACTGTCATGTTTCGTTTTATTCAAGTAATTTAGTAAAAAGGGGTAAATACAGAACTACATGTTATTTATGAGTGTTTTTCCTCCAAACGGGTCCGGTATGTATATATCATATGTATTTCTTAGACTTTAGAAAGTTTGGGCCTCACCACAGAAGTTCCTTAAGGGGAAGCAGGTGTCGTTTAAGTTGATCCATAATCAAATTAGTCTTACAAAGGTGAGAGTGACAAATATTTGAATGGATACAGTTGTATTAATCAATGGAATTGAAGAAATATTAATAATATTACATTAACATAAACATGTGTTATGTGATGTAGTAAATGAAAGAACAGTTAAAAGATCCAGAATGTGAGACAATGTGAGAGTGCTTGGTTCCTATTTACTGAATGACTGAAAAATGTAAAATGTTTTCTTCAATAATATTTCTTCAATGTATTAATAACAACCGCCAGGTGTTTATTTCTAGTTATTTGTTTGATTTTACTTTGAATGTTGATGTTATATCACATAGCTTATCTGCTCTCCATCTGTGAGTTATTCTGATGTTTTCTTTTGACTTTTGATGTTCACAATGTGAAAAATGAGATTCACACCCACGAGGCATTAGGGAGACGGTTTTTGAACATTCCTCAATAATCATCATAAGTTTGCTTCTTTTCAGTACGGACACACGCTAGAAAATAAATGACCATGAAATGATTGCCACTTGATCTGACGAGGAAAACATGAACTCGACGTGTGTCCAGGAGGTCATTTCTCCCTGTTGTCTCGTCCGAAGGTCAATAAACACAGTTGTGCAACTGCTGAAGAGAGTCCTCGCGCACAAGAACATGGACATGGCCACAGTGAATGCTCTTCCTTATGAGGATTTTGTGAATCTTTTGGGCAACGTGGTTGAGAAATGTCCCATTATAACAGCTGCAGTGTGGTCAGGACGTCCCTTTTTGAACTTTGCTGCCTTGGAGGCTGCGATCAGTGAATTCATCGACGCTCTCCCAGAGTCAGGTAAGAACTACATTTATTTTTGTCTTTGGGTATTTAAAATATAATTTACTCCCACGGCCAAGGCCACCGATTAGACATCTCAAAGGCATTAATAAGGCATCACATGTGTTCGTGAGCAGGCAAGGAGGGGGTCCTCAGGTGCCACCCCGACCTCGCGGGCAGGGACCTCCGGGGCGGCACCTTGACCCGGGAATCGCGCGAGGAACAGACGGGAGCCGGGATGGACGCGTTGACCTCGGCGGAAGCCTCGCGCGTGACCCGGCTCAACGAGGAGTACAAGGAGCGCTTCGGCTTCCCGTTTATCATCTGCGCCCGGCTCAGCGACAAGGCCACCGTTTTACGGCAACTGTCCGAGCGCCGCCGGAACGAGCGCGCGGTGGAGAGGGCGCGCGCAGTCGAGGAGGTGAAGAAGATATGTCGCCTCAGGCTGCAGGCTCTCGTGCGCGACGACGCTCAGAACAAGTTATAGAACCGTGAATGCTGCAGTTTTATCTGGGATTTAGAGGATGTAGAGACCGCCATTGTTGCACCGCAGGCTGTGGGGATCGTTGCTTTATTCCGAACAAGGTGTCATTCATGCGTCGCACTGTACAGTGAATTCTTCAAACAATAAAATATGTTTACAATTAAACCTCAACAATATACGCGTTATTTACAAGTGTACATATGGAAAATACAATCATACATACGCATAAATACATCCTTAATCTTAGATTAGAGTGTGCACCCGACCATGATTTGGTTTTTGCAACCGAACTATATCAGTGCTTCTAAATGGGGGGCTTGTTGGTCCTTAAGGTTGTCTCAGCATGCCGTCATGGTGCCCAGGACCTCGCAGCCGGGGCATGAGGAGGATACGTCCCTTAAGTCCAGACCGACAGTGGTATCCAACGAGAGGGCCGCAGTGGTCCTTGAGAAAGTTCAACGGGGTCCATGAGAATGAGAACTTCATTTAAATAACTATATATGTTCTCCCTTCTCGGCCTAATCGAGATCGTATAGGATTAATCTCATAGACGTTTCTTTCTATTTGACCCCCGCCCCCGCCCCCCCCCATGCATTAAGGTTTGAACCCGGTGCGGGCCTATGCGGCCTCTCTGCACCCGGGGGAGGACAGGGGGTGTCCGTGGAGCGGGGAAACAGGAGGCGAGGCGGTGTGGGGTCCGTTCGTGGAGGTGACCCCTCCCGCGGCCTCCCCCTGGTCCCCGGAGGTGATGGAGGAGTCCTGGTCGGGTTCCGACCCCCGCACCTTCCTCCGGTCTTCCTCCTTCTTCCACTTCATGCGCCGGTTCTGGAACCAGATCTTGATGTGGCGCTCGGTGAGGCTCAGGGTCAGCGCCAGCTCCACGCGCCGCGGCCTCGAGATGTAGCGGTTGAACAGGAACTCCTTCTCCAACTCCAGCAGCTGCGCGCGCGTGTACGCCGTCCTCGTGCGCTTGTTTTCCTCGGATTCCGCCATCACGTACGGCCCTGGTCGCAAATAGAGATTCACTCAGTGGTTTAGATCCAAGGGCTTTAAACTGTGATCAACCCCCGGATTCCAGTACCAACGCTTAACTAAGTGATCATTTGTATTTTTACGAATTTTATTTTTTACAAGTTTATTTTTTGAGAATAGCGTTTCATTAGTGCGCACTTGATGTGCACACATGTTGACCCTATAATAAAAGACCGATTCGGAAAGAGAGAGATCCTCTCCCCGTCATTGCTATCAAACTTCTGAACTGTATTTATTAAAATGCATATAAAAGGTCGATTTTGTTTGGACTAAATCTCAAGCAATATCTTTACAAATCATTAATGATCATAAAGGGAGAATGTTATGGTTTTACTGCAAATGACTGTAGTTTATTAGAAGGGCATGGGTTAGATTTTGACCTCTCCAGCAGACACCCACAGAAACCACCTAGCATGTTTGCCTTCTGGTAGTAAAATAAACATTTACTCTCTCTTAATGTTAGAAGGAATTCACAATTACTTGAGATTTGGTTAAAAAAATAGCATTTTCTTTTACTTAAAATGGAAGTGGATCAACAGTTGATAAAGGGTGAAGCATGTTTTTTCAAGGCTTAGTGGTGTGATTCTGTTAAAACGTTCAGGTCGGTGTGCAGTCCCCCTTACTATTGAAATGTGATTTTCCCAGCTTTGTACATGCGGTGAATATTATTTAAAATATATCAAGTCATCAGCGATTACAAATATTGGTCCATTTTATCTCACTGAGACTTTTGCTATTAACTCTTTACGATCAGTAAGATACAAGGTTTGTTTTAGGTTATTTAGTTTCAAGCTTTAATTCAACACATTTTTCTACACAAGCTTTTAACGCTATGCTTATTAATAAAGGCAAGTTACCTGTGGTGACATTATAAAAGCCTGCGAATTATACAAAAAAATACCTGCAGTTTCTCCTTCGTTTTGAAATGAAACTCTTCATAATGTAACTTTGTCAGATTTAAAACTTACTTATAATGTAATTATTCTGTTGTTTTTTTTAAATACTGACATGTCGTTGACATATGACACTATAATTACAAAGAAAAACAATCGTCTCACAAGATAGGACTTTGTAAATCAATTATATAAATCTCTTAATGTTACATCAAACACGAGAAGCAGCATATACGTATTTCAAATGGGCTAAAATCTTTCTCTGATTGGAGAAAAGTCTGAACTATACATACATTTTAACTATAGAGAACTTTTGTGGTTTGAAACATTTTGCACGCTCATGAAAAAAAACGATTCAAGTGTTTTGGCCTATAATTAAAGCTAATTCTCTAATCAAAATTCCTCCAATAAACACGTAACATTAAACACGAGAGCATAATTTACCTTTGTTCATATTTTCACGTCAAAACCAATCAAACCCAATTACGGTATAGATTGGGTTGTTTTACCTGCCTAATACAATATAGGGAGATTTGTAAATATGTTTGTGTGTAGGCAAACCCCACTTTTTGTGACGATAAGACCTGATAAAAGCGAGCGGACCTTCCGGGCCTTTTACAAATTGACTGACAAGGTAAACTGAAACACCCAAGATCATATTGTTGGGTGCATGATGTCATTATAGGCCCTCAGAAAGCCTCAGATGAAACACACTCGTTAGTGCTATATGCCTACAGAGCAGTGCTGTAAACCAAACACCCACAATTTAAAATACGCCGATAAGTGGTTATAGATATTGTCACCAAATCAAACAGAATCATCTCTCAATTCAGTGATTCTCTTTGTAATTATGCTATCAAACAGATGACATGTTAGCCTATCGGTGTGTGGCGGGTTGGCAGATTTACCTGACCACTGTCCCTTCCAGGTGTGCGAGTGAGACTTTGTGCTTTTCATCCAGGGGAAAGGAAGGTGGTACCTGCCCTGCTCCCCCGGCTCTCCGTAGTCCGCAGCGGGCGGGAGAGGCTCCTGCTGCAGCCCTTGCGGGTGGTAGAGCTGGGGCAGATCCTCCCGCATGGGTAGACCGTAAGAGGGGGCGATGTCGGGAAGGCTGGCCTGCTCCAAGGCTCCCACGGACGGCGTCGTGTAGACCGAGTGGACCTGCCTGCTCATGTAGAGGCAGGGCGGAGGGCTGTGGCTGTAGTCCTCCACCTGAGATCTCTGGTAGGCGCACGAGTCCTTAAAAACCCGAGATGGGTAATAGTGATCTTCCCGATTCATGGCTTCCGAGGACCCGCACATGTACCGTATACCTGCATGCGCCTTTCCTCGGCGTGGACATATACTGCTCTACGTGTCTCTGGCGCAACTGCGGGGCCCTGGCGGCTCCTACACAGGTGTGTCACTTTGGCACCATGTGACCGCGCAGCACCAAAGCCATTGGTTTCACTGTTTGCAGACCTGTAGCCCTTTAGTTCCAGGATATTCTGCAGCGTGTGGGATTGTTCGGTGAATTGAACAGAACGGCCGTCAGCGCGTAAATCAATGCCGCTCTGTAAATACCGCGACGTTTACCTGGCACCCACCTGTGTTTGCCCCCTCCCCCCCCCACTGCAGCGACAGACACCGAACAGGTGGATCTCTGCCTCGGTAAGAAATGCTTAAAAGTTCTCGATGGTGCAGCGCGCGCGGCAGAAAAGGGGTTTCTTCTTGTTGGACACGATTGTCTTCACGCAATATTTCAATCAACGAATTGATATGGATATCTCTCGCGCGTGCACTCCTATAAATCGATACGTATGGGCGCAAACAAGGGTTGACCCGCCAGATAAGACACCTGCACGGAGAGACAGTTGTCTTGGAAACTCAAGAGACTCATGAGAAGCTCAAACAACCACAAGTCTGTTTCAGCAACCGTTTTCTTTTTTTTTCTTCTTCTTAGACTTAGACTTTTAAAATCACCCATTACACTTCTGCAATTGCATCATTTAACACAATTTAGCGAACGTGGGCGCGCGGTCCCCTCGCGAGGAGCCCTCGGCGATGGCAAACACTGAGCCGCCGACGGTCGCTGCACTCTCCCTGTGTTTGCTGGCCATTAGCCTTTAGCGGGCGCGCGCTCGCCCCATTAAACAGCAGCTCTCGTGGTTAACCAATTACGGTTGGAGTGAGCAGAAGAGAACTCAACAAACCGGCGTGCGCGCGAGGCGCGTCCCCAAAATCCCCCAGGAGATCCCCATGCATGCGCGTTTATGCAACAAGTTGCGCCATTGCCGTTCGATCAGAGTGATTAAGCGGATTTGTATTTAGTGTAAATTGTAGGCCTATTCTATTCCCTGATGGCGGGTATCAATAGTCAATTTGCACAGAGTTCTTCAAAAGCAATTATGGCACTTTCAACAGTATCTTAATGGGGCACTCTGCGGTGCAATAAAGTTCAAGTAAGCCCATTCTGTAGAAATCACCCCGTGCGCCGCGGCTTAATGGTGTTTATATTTGATTGTTCTTTGAAAAGAGGAAGGAAACAGTTAACCCAAGCTATGCTCCACTAGAGTGGAGATGGGCAACGGGATTTATGGAGCGCGAGGGGCTCCAAACGCGTCTGACTTTCCAGACTCCGAATTTGGCATAATGGCTACATCGAGGAGACATGCATTTTAGGTTTAGTATATAATATCCAAGGGTCCTCGCAACCACAGAGTTTGACAGTGTGGGTGTGGAACAATAAAAGATTGTATACACACATGGAGACCGGCCAAATGGATGAGAAAGATATGCAACACTTTCAACGCTTGAGCACATTTCCATCTGTCGTCCTGAAAAGCTTGTGACCCCACAAAAACACACTTGGAAATATGAAGATGAGTTTTAGTCCATAGATTATCATTGTACATTATTATTAAAGCCTTATTGCTATTAATTCATACTCTAAAATCAGTACTTGGAGGACACATGTAGGAGTGTCAGGATGTTTTCTCCTTGGACAAACAGTTTAGTTTCCGATAGCCGGTAGGCCGATATACGTGTCCCAAAAAGTTGGACACGCGATCAAATGTGCTTACCCAGTGGCGACAGCAGCACGGCTTATGTAAACATTATGACGGGTGAATAAGGACAGAAGAATGGTATTGACTAATAATGGATTTCATTTGAATCAAATCTTGTTCACTGTAGGTGAAACAGAATTACACAGAGCGTGAGTCATGTGTGTGGGGAGGAAACGGAAAGTTAGCTAAAAAAACTTCTCCTGATTACCTGGGCTTAAACGGCAACTTGGTAGTTTATTCTACAATACAAGTGAAGAAACAGAAAAGAGAAAGAAAGGAATCTTGGCTACTGGCTTTATGAGCAATTGAATAAAAACAAATAAACCTCGTCAATGTTGGTGTATAAATATCTATCTATAATCTATCATCAGAAATAAAATTGTCAACGTCTTCTCAGCCCGGTGCACAGAACTACTCTCTTGGTCGGCTGGTGAGGTGTGGTCCACAGGAGCGTCCACCTAAGTGCGGCCTGTACAGGGAGCGGCAATCTGTAAAGTCAGTGTTCCCTTCCCTGAACAGAAGTCTTCATTCATGAAGTCCGCCTTTGGCTCTGTCCCGGCCATCTTTTCCATGTCTCCCGTCTCTGCTGTCTGCATGTCTGCAACTCCTCTCTTTGTCTCTCTCCGGCTTCTTATCTTTGTTATTGCAGCTGTCCTCGCGGCGGTGTTTACGGTCCGCCTGGTCTCCTTTGCCTCTGGGATCTCTGGGAGGTGTTCTGCTGCGGTTGCGGCTTCTGTCCGGGGAGTCGCTCCTCAGGCGCCCTCTCGCGGTGGAGTTTCCGTCTCTGGACTCAGCAGTGTGCTGCTGCAGGCCGGTGGAGCGCAGGGTGTTGAGGAGGAAGCGCTTGTTGGTGCTCCGCAGGGGACACTTCAACCTGGTGGAGGAAGGAACAGAAACCTTTAGTCTTGGACATTTTGATGCAATCATTGGCCTGTGAGACATTTTCGTTTTTAAAAAAGCCCATGCTGATGTAAATAACAAGATATATTAACATCATTGCTGGAGTTCACCATCATCTCTAAAGAGACTGGTTTCCAGTACCATCGTATCATTGGAACGAAGTGTGACACAAACTAAAGTTAGAGACATAATCCTCTGGGTGACCAGAACGTTCTACTTGTTCATATTGCAAGAATACATTTGGGATTGTTTTCATACAAGTGTGTGTATGTGATGACTAGAGATTTGTGTGACTGAATGATGATGTTAATATGAAATTGTTTCTGTTTTTTGTAAAAAAAAAAAGGAATTGATCCCAAGAACACGTCTTAAATAAACTAACAATAAAGAATCCATTTAATTTGGTAACAATTTTTAGAAAGAATTATGTGGACATTTTGGTGGGTGAGCAATACATGAATAAAATACTACTCAATATAATCATGTCCATTTTACTGATCCGGAAGAATATGGTAAATAAATATGATTTTTCCAAAAAGATATGCAATCTTTCTTGGAAAAATATTTTATTTTTGTTTTTATTGTTGAGTCTTATTGTGAGTGTGCATCACAATCCGTGTAGCGTGATAAACAAACGTGCACGTGGCCTGGCCGTACATAAACAAACTACCCAAGACTATCGCACTATAATGCACTTTGTCTTGACTATAAACACGACAAAGTGAGTCGGTCTTAAACGTAAAGTCTTTAAAAACACCCCAGTGTTTTACAGCCAGGCAGAGAAGAAGCAGTCATGGGTCCACAAGTGACAGATGTGTGCAGGCTGACGCAGATGTGTCAAACACAGTGCTCACCATCCTGCAGGGCCCATGGTCTCTGCTCTCACTCGAGCCCTGTCGGTCTCCTTTAGGAGCTCCTCTACTGCACGCCTGCACAAACACACCAGGGCACGAGGGTCACGTGAAGGAGAGGAACACGGGGAGACGTTGAGGATAAAGATAGCACGACACCTCAAGGGGGAGCCAAGGGGAGGATAATTCAATTAAGTGGGAGAAAACAGAGATGCGGGGAGCAGAGGAGACAGTGAGTCGTTTAGTGAATGGACGAGGGACGGCGAGCAGTGTCCTCCTTTGACCCGAGTTGCTGAATCAGCGGAGGCGTCGGCAGAGGAGACTCACTCATTTAGCCGACCTTTCACCCCACGCACAGCACACGCAGTTAATGGAAACTGTATTAGCGGGAGGATTTTCTCACACAGGATAACACACTCGTCTTAGAACACGATGAATACAACAGCTGTCAAACGAAAACACCCCTGCTCTACGGTGGAGGGCGGTTAACGTTTTAGGCTGAAAACTAGCGTTAGCTTGAAGCGTAAGTAGCTGTAACGGGGAAACTGAGCACACGCAGTAAAACAGTTTTATACTTCTCCAGTTCATTTTCCTCCGCCATCGCTTCGTAGTCAAATGTACGTGTGAGTGAGGTAAATTCTACTGAAATCGGTAATTGAACGTTAATTGCCGTTAGCGAACATCTTTTTTATGTTTACTTCTGCCGCGGTCCTTCTACCAAGGACCCTGTGGTTTAAGCTGTCCTTACCGATGCCTGGTCACTTATAAAAATGTTTGTTACAAATCTTTGAACAACTAAATTAGTTTATGTGGAGTAAAAGTAGTTGAAACGCTAACAAACTGCCAACTTATTTGCGCATTTCAAATGAAACAGGTAACTGAATAGTGATGGGAGAGGCATTCAAGCAGCAACCCCGTGCTACTATGAACTACAAAATTAAAGTCCAATTTCTTAAATGAGTTTCAATGTGTTTAAAATGAGTACTTGTTTGAAAATAAAACTATAAAAATGTGAGTTTCTGTTGATTTCTTTTATTTGACAATGAAAATGAGTTTTATTGTACAAAGCAATAGTACACAATTGATTATTTCATTAAAATGTAAAAACCATATAAAATAGGTGTTTTAATAAGTGTTGAACTGACCCTCAAACTAAAAAAAAACACGTATCTTGACTGTTTTTGGCAGTCCAGTACAACCCTTAATATTAAAACAGAATCTCAATTAAACTAACAACATGATCTGCAATAATACATTGATTTAAAAGAAGCAAAATGTGCCTAGCTAACTCATATTTAGGAAACACTACGACTATAAACTGCACAGTAGAAAAGCCTTTTGCATGAAACAATACTCCCAATCTAACTCCACAATACCGTAGAAGAGATGAAATCCCTCTGTGGGGATTACTTTTGAGCAGGCTATTTCGAAGCCACCTCTAATGCTGCTCTGACTTGACGGTGTCAAGCACCGCCCAGCTGCTTCGACAGACAGTAGTGGGCGGGGCCAGCGCCGCCAAAGGCACGGGGGCGTTTTCGTGCGGGTTTTGCGGAACGGGCCGTTGCGGTGAATGCGTGATTGAGGTCCCGCAGCAAATATTTGTTCCCCTTTCCGGGGCCGGAGTGCGCGGCGCGGAGGAGCAGCCGGAGCAGGTAATATCACATCTGCTCATATTGAGCGGCTGCATGCACGGTGCCAGCGTGTGGCTTGCCTCTCGTTGATATTGCCATTGTCGCCTCATCTGTCCTAGCTTCTGCGCTGGTGGAGGGTGTGATGGAGACAGACAGATGGGAACAATGATGACAAAAAATGCACTTGTCTAATCAAATGTGACGTGTAGCGAATGGATCACGACACCCGGTGCGTTACCCAACTAAATCAGGACAATGAGATGGGAATTATCAATTACATCAGTGTCAGTTTTTGTTGTTAGCATTGCATGCCTGACTGTTATGAGAAAAAAAACCTGAATATTGCAACCGGCCTTTTGTCGGAAGTCTGATTTTGTTTTGAGATAAGAGGAAGAGATGGAGGTTTACATGAATGTAAGCCGACATGACCTGAGATTTTAAATCTCTGCCCTAAACGTCATTTCATCTTATCTAAAAATGTAATTCCTGCAGGCGAGGTTGTTCATAGCTTGTCCCAGTGTTGTTGGATTAGATTGTCATCCCTGAAAAATGAAAAAATGAGCAAACAGGTGCAGGGCCAGGACTGTCATTTATTAATATAGACAGCAGTAGTGCAACGACAATAACAGCATGGCCTTCGACTCCCACGCACACACAGTAGGACTGAGGGGAGAGATAAGCATTTGCTATGACTCGCGTAAAAGAATCTGTTGCTACAGTCCAGCTATGTTTAAAATAGATTTAAGTGCTTTTCGTGGCCGGGGCTCCAAACTGCTGCCACAGTGAAAACCTGAAGACTTTACTTATTGATAAAGACCATTCGCAGGATGCCCTAAAAAGCTCTTGTGCACGTGCATACGTTCTCTCTTTTGCAGACTTATACTTGCGTGTCTACAAGTGTGTGTGTGCGTGTGTGTGAGTGAGTGTGTGTGATGTGGTGATGTCACAGCTTTGTTATAGGAACAGAGAAGCCTTGTGTCCTTATGATTAATTCATGTCCAGCTGCGGGATGGAGACAGAAGCGGCCAGTCACACACAGACAGGAGCACGTACTTAAAGGAGACTGAAATAAGTAACTACCGGTTCGGTAGCCAAGGAGACCGTTGAGACAGGTTGTCACAGACATGGGTAGCTAAGGAGACGAGACCAACCAGTTAAAAAAACATAGCGGCTCTGATCTGATCATCGTCTCGGCTGTTTGATAAGCTTTCAGGCTGTACCAGGGAGGAGCAGAGCATCCTGCAGAGAGAAATGCATCTGTTGTGTGGCTCCTCTTATGCGTCCCTCTTCGGCTACACTCTGAATGTCAAGCCCCACTGAACAGAACAGGCTCCGGGTCGTCATGGAGACAAGAGCAGACCCCCGCTGGAACAGAGGCAGGTAGTCACTATTCTGTGGCTCGGCTGGCCCCGCTGTGAGTCGAGGCACGCCCTCTGCTGTCCACTGATTGCATCAGGCCCACGGGAGAGGGGGGGGGGCGTGTGTGAAATGCTGTGGAAATGATCAGTGCACACAGTGCATTAGCTCTGGAGACGCACTCCCCTCACGCAGCGCTGTATTTTGAGACTTTGCTTCAGGCATGTTCTCTTTTCTGTTGTGAAGTGAAAGACAAGAGTGCATTCACTGCACTACACGGCCTGGACCCAAAAATATCCAGTTTGCTGTGGGGAATCTGTGAAGAATCTTTGTTTTTATCTCTTTCGTGGGTCTAACTGCTTTTTAGAGCTTCAGATTTCTATTTTTTTTCTCTTCTCTTTTCACATTGTTACACCCCATTAATCTCTCTTGCACCTCTTTTTATTTTTTCCTTGCTCTGCCTCAGCTCCTTTTTAACCCTGGCCGGCACTATTTTGCTGTCACTTTCCCAGTCCCAATAACTCTGATCTGTGTCCTCTCTCTGCCTCAATCCCAGATAATTCCCTCTATGTGGAATTGGAAGATTGCAACAGTCGAGAGCAAAAAAGAGATTATACTACCAGATTAGTGGACAGGAGCAGCAATAGATAATCTCAGCACACTCACTGTGACACACACACACACACACACACACACACACACACACACACACACACACACAGTGCGACTCTCAATCTCATGCAGACACGTGGATCCACGTGCACAAAGCATTTGCCACGCGAATAAATGCACAAGCACATAATCAGACACTTGTTGTTTGTCTGAAACAGCTGTTTAAATCTCTTTCCCTGCCCTCTGACCTGCAGGGTGATGAGCCATCAGCCACTGGGGGGCATCTGTCCTCTCTGCAGCTTCCGCATCCTGTGAAGCTTATGGGATAGAGGTGCACGTGCCCCCTTCCCAAACACTGCAGCCTGGAGTCATCCGTGCCAAAGCCGAGCGGCGTCGGGGGACCAGAGATGGGCAGCCCGGGCAGCGAGGTGGGTCTAACCGGGCCGGGGGAGCCGGCCTCGGAGGCTCTGTGTCCTGAGTGTGGCCAGATCCACCGCAGCTGGGAGAACCACCTCTTCAACTACCGCCTGGAGGTGGACGACGACCTGGTGTGCCACATCTGCCTGCAGCCGCTGGTGCAGCCGCTGGACACGCCGTGCGGACACACCTTCTGCGCCCGCTGCCTGCGCAGCTTCCTCCAGGAGAGGGACTTCTGCCCGCTGGACAGGACGCGGCTGCAGATGCAGGCGTGCCGCAGATCCAGCATACTGGTGCACAAGCTGCTGGACAAGCTGTCCGTGTCCTGCCCTTTGACCCCCGTCTGCTCTCTCAGCATGCCAAGATGCGACCTGGAGGCGCACCTCAAACACAGGTAATGAAGCCTGCATACACACATAAAAGGGTTGTGCTTTGATGTGTGCAAACACACAGACACACACAGACACACACAGATCAAACGCTGTATGCGATTTAACCAGCCTTAAGTGTGTTGTAACTTTGTTACAACTCCATTTGAATCCATCAGCCACCTTTGTTAAAGATGTTAAAGGAGAAGTGCTCATTTGCTGGTTTACTTTGTCTTCTGTGCAAGTAACCTTCGTACTTTTGGGTATTGAGTTGTTGATTGTAGTAATCAAGCCGTTTCAAGTCGTCGCTTTGCGCCCTACAGGAATTCTTTTGACTGAACCAACAGAATCAATGTAGAAAGTACTCAACAACTAAATTAATAACAAAGACAGCACTCGTCACCTTTATACAACACTCACTTTTGCTGGTAACCTTTGGAGACTTCACAGTTCTTAGTCGCGAGCGGTAAGGACCCTTGAGGTTTTCACACTCCTTGGACCAGGTGTTGTGGGACCCTGCAGGGATTACTGGGCTGTAGGTCATGTGACGGGGGATTAGTGGTTCCCTACTGCAGTCATGGGTTGACGGTCCAGAAGCTCCATATTCTCATTCTGCAATCATGCTGAGCAACTTCAACACCAGAGACCTTTTCAACCATTTCTTCTGCGAGACAGCCAAGGGCAACCCCGGCCTGTGGTGAGTGGGACCCGGCGGGGTGCGAGTCTGCAAACCTTCCTCCCACCGGTCTCCTCTACCTCTCCTTTCGCGTGCCGCTCTTTAACTTGATTTTTGCTCTCTCTTTCCTGCTTGCGTCTTCGCCCCGATGGTCCGTGTCTATTTGTGTATCGTTGTTGAAGGGAGCGCCAGTTGGGATGTTTTTTGCTGTTGATGGAAGTCGTGTCTATATATATGAAGGAACGTTTGAAGTTTCAGCCCAGAGAATTCACTTTTTCCTCTGGTCGAAAGAGGGTGGGGGACTGACAGTGGGCTTTAAAGGATGATGTATCACCTGAGCCCAGTATTATTTTTTTGTAGTTTTTTATAGTTTGCAAAACGTCTGATATCATCAGTGTTATTGATTTTTCACCTTCTATTTGGTCTTTTGTTTTAAAGCTGTAATAAGGATACATCTTATAATACTACTTCACTGGATATCAGGTGATTGTCTAACACCTTAAGTTAAGTCAATAAGATTTCCGTTAATAAGCTCACACTAACAAGCTAGTGCTAGCAAGGTGTTAAAAGCTTTTTTGAGTCAGCTGTTGTTTACAAGCAACCCCGGCTAAATACTTATTATTCATTATTTTATCTTCACGTCTGACCTTTACTGAAAGTAACAACTCCAGCAAACAGTAAATAGTAAAAAATGTCATAGTTAAGTAGAGAAGACATCGTTTAAAGTCAGTGAACTGACTCGGCTGATAACATATAGCGAGTTAATCAGCAATATTTGGTGTGTCTAAATTTAGCCAAAGTTAATTAACATCAGACACCGTAAGCCACAGGTCACTGCAGGCCGCTGAGCCTTGGGCAGCTAAATCCAATCTATCTAAGAGATAGTGGAATGTTTTACTGTTTACTAATGTAACGTTTAGTTTTAAATGTTTAATTTCATCCATGAAAGAAAGGGTCAAAGGTAGAAGTAAAATAAAAAATTAAGAAATATAAAAAAATGATGAGTGTAAAATTGAATTAGAGGCCACATATCATTACTGGTTATTGATGTGTGTGATGTGTCTGTCTGTGTTTATTTTTAATTGTCTTACAGTGAAGATCTGTTTCAAGAGTTTCATTGAATGAAATGTAAAAGGGGCTGAACTTCTTGTAATTTAACTATAAGTCATTAACCAATTAATTAAGTCATATACAAATTAATGTATGTAGCTTATGCTGGTTTTCGCCTCTCAATTGGGAATTCACCTTTAAATTGCCCTCTGACCTCCACTCAGGAGAGCACACACAAAGAGAGACCCTCCCTGATCAGAACCAGTTGCGCCACGTCGAGTCAACTGATGCTGAGCCTGATTTTCTTTACACGTCAGATGGACTAACAAACTGACGCCTGTTGCTTGGTGAAAGGTGTCCCGGGACGAGGTGTCAGCAGACCAACATGGAAGGCCTGCGCTGTGAGAGCGGGGACGAGCGAGCGATGGTGACCAGCCCCCCCAGGTCGCCCCGCTCCCCACAGACACGGCTGAGGGGCCGCACGCCCTCCCCTCCCCCGCCCGGGCCCACTAACACCCGCGGCAACGGGCCCGCGTGGACGGCCGACGTGGGCCTCGACAACCCCGCCTTTGAGGAGAGCACGGAGGAAGAAGGTGAGCGGATCCGCCGGCCTTCGTCGATGTAGATTCTTGGTGCGGTTCCCAGATGAGAAACCGAACAAATGGCACCCTCTGTCCTCAGGCGTGGTCGGGTTGGAGTGCGTGGTGCCCAGGGTGAAGCGGCCCCTCAGCAACCCCTGCATCCACCTCCTCCGCTCCGTCAGCTCCACCTCCTCCGGCTGGGACTGCCCCGAGTCTCCGCCTCTCTCGGCGGAAGAGGGTACGACATCAATTCCTTCGTTTATCTTCTCCCCCCCCCCCGAGTATTACAGATGGGAGATGCGTGCACGCATCTCATTGGGAAAATGTGTTTTGGTCAGATCTGGATGTGCAGCTGTGTAACGTGATCCGTTTGTCCACGAAGGCTGTGTGAAGTTGCCCTCGCTTCCCGAAGGAGAGATAACGACCATAGAGGTGCACCGGGCGAACCCGTATGTCGAGCTGGGCATCAGCGTCGTCGGTGGAAACGAGACGCCTCTCATCAACGTCGTGATTCAGGAAGTGTACAGAGACGGGGTGATTGCACGAGACGGGAGGCTGCTGGCCGGGGATCAGATACTCCAGGTAACAGCCAACGCTTCTTTGCGCCTCTTTAGGGCTTCGTTTGAATTATTAGTGTCTGTTATCACTCATTTGGTTAGCTCGAGCTGTCATGGCAGACAGTAATAGATCGTTTTGTATAATATAAATGGTAATTTACTAAATTTTTATGTATTTTAATCAAATTTTTACTTTACCTTGCAAGATATCTGTGTCTTAAATCAACTGCTATCATTATTTGACCTATACGACTCAAAGTTACTCTAATCAACATTTTAATTGGTAATGAGTCACATGACAACCTGTTTGTGAGCGGGGTTACTCGTAAAGGTGAAAACACGGAAATGGGGTCATCCATCGCTGCTCTTCCTCTCAAGTCTGAGGAGCATTTTAGCATCTTCAGCTCATTGTTTTGGTCGTAAAGGCCCACAGCGTTAATGTTTTGTTTCACTCTCACCACTTTCATCAACCTTATTCTCAGTCGCAGCAGAAAGCTGTTTTCAGGAAGGCAGACAATCAAAGGCTGCCTGCTGAAGATAGTGGAGCATTTAGCAACTAAAGAACCAAATATTTTTCTCAAAACACAATCTGTGAGTGAATATTGCACTCACATTCGTAAGACGACTTTAAATGAATGACCCCAAAAATCATTTAACGCACGCTCCGACATTGAATCCTTTCGTCCCGACTCGCCTCCCTCCCAAGGTGAACAACGTGGACATCAGTAATGTCCCCCACAGCTTGGCCCGCTCCACGCTGGCCCGCCCCTGCACCACTTTGCAGCTGACCGTGCTCCGGGAGCGCCGCTGCTCTTCCCGGGCACCTCCCTCCTCCTCCTCCACCTCCTCCACCCCGGCCGTGCCCCACGCGCCGTGCTCCACCCCCGAGGGCGCCCCGTCCAGCCCGGCCACCCTGAGAATCACCCTGCACAAGAGGGACACGGCGGAGCAGCTGGGCATTAAGCTGGTGAGGCGGACGGACGAGTCCGGGGTGTTCGTGTTGGATCTGTTGGAGGGAGGCCTGGCGGCGAAGGACGGCAAGCTGAGGAGCAACGACCGCGTGCTGGCGGTCAACGACCAGGACCTACGCCACGGCACCCCTGAGCAGGCAGCACAGATCATACAGGTGGGGGCTTCATTTGTTCATGGAGGTTTCTTTATGGTTTTATTGTGAGTGAGGAGAAAAGGTCCCTAAAAGACTCTCGTCCTCCAAGGCGAGTGGCGAGCGAGTCCACCTGCTGATTGGCCGACCCACCAAACCAACTCCTCCTCCGCCGCCGCCGAAATCAAGCTCCACCAGAGACCTCTACTGCCTTGATCACTTCCTGCCTAACCACAGCGCCACCCCGAGCCCTGTGCCAACACACCCCTCCCGCACCAGCACCCACAGAGTGAGCCAAAAATGACACAACGCACAAAAGTACGCATTTCCCATGCGAGTGACTGAAACTGTGTGTGTGTTGCCTCTGCGTGGTTATACCCAGGACCTTTCCCAGTGTGTGACCTGTAAAGAGAAACACATCACTGTGAAGAAGGAGCCCCTGGAATCTCTAGGCATGACCGTGGCGGGAGGGCGGGGCAGCAAGAGCGGCGAGCTGCCCATCTTCGTGACGAGCGTCCAGCCACACGGCTGCCTGTCGAGGGACGGCCGAATCAAACGAGGTGAGCCGCTGCCCGCGAAGACGGGGGGGCGACGTCGGATCCACAAAAAAAAACCACTGCAGCGGAAACCCCAGCGTTCCCTCCCTCTCCTCTCTCGCACAGGCGACGTCCTGCTGAGCATCAACGGGCAGGACCTGACGTACCTGAGCCACGGCGAGGCGGTGGGCACCCTGAAGGCCAGCGCCGCCTCGTCCTCGGTGCAGCTGCGGGTGCTGGAGGTCAGCATGGTGGAGGAGCCCGACCGCGACGAGCTGCTGCCTCACACGCACGACCGCGACTTTGACGCCAACTGGTCCCCGTCGTGGGTCATGTGGCTGGGCCTCCCCAGGTGAGCTCATTAGGTCATTAAGATTTTGTTTTAAAACAGGTGGAACTACCCGACCTGCAGATATCTGCCACGTCCTGCAATTGATTTTAAGAGTCAGATAGTCAGACATTTATTGGAGATGAAGCAGCAGCTGGGCTCCGTGAAGGACACAGAGCATCTGTACAATCAGTTGTCTCTGCTCCTGCAGCTACCTTCACAGTAGTCATGAGATTGTTCTGCGGAGGAGCCACCCGGGCAGCTGGGGCTTCAGCATCGTTGGGGGTTACGAGGAAAGTCACGGCAACCAGGCGTTCTTTATCAAGACCATCGTCCTTGGCACACCTGCATACTACGACGGCCGCCTCAAGTGAGTCATCCCTTGTTCCTCACGTGGGGCTTCTTTTAGCAGGGACATGGGGGTTGGATCAGCAAGGCAGTAATACTGTAACCTCCCATCGGTGATTAATGAGGGTGGCGTGACGATAGGCGTGGCCTAAGTTTATTACATGAACAAATTAAAACATGTTACTTTTTTTTTTTAACTGTGTTAAATATTTTAGAACATTACTCTTTAAATGAAACACCTGCATGTTAATCACTCATTTTGTTTTATTTGATTATGAAATGATTAATCCGAGACCTTGGATCCACATTTATGGTACTTGCTAGGCATAGCCTTTTTGCTCTCATCAGGTATTTTATCTGCCTAATGCAAACAAATACCAATTGTTGGACATACAATAGGAATATAACAAGGATGAATGCAATTTTTGTCTTAGCTTAAATACAAGCGGTTTTGCATTTCAAAGGTAGCAGTAGAGGAGACTTGGTGACTCCAAGTGGCACAAATACGCAACAAGACCATTACCGTCTGAAATAATTAACAAGTCTATTGATATTTTACATTTTTCGTGCTGCCAAAACATCCCACCAAAGCCAAAAATAAATTAACCCCACTAATGAGTATTAGGAGCCAAAGCCACATAATCCTCCGTGCATCTATGTCTTAGTTTTTATTAGACTGAGGACTGGGAGCAAGCATCGCAAAGTAATGAAAAGAGCACTCATGCATTTCATTATTTCCAGTATCCATTTATATGGTTTATCCAGTTAAGTTGTTTAAATGTCAAATATATTCAGAGAAAACAAAAAGATTCCCAGACAAAATACTGGAAAAGAAATGTAATTCTAATAAATATTTGACTTGACACACTGACTTGTGTCCCTCTAGGTGCGGCGATATGATCATGGCAGTCAACAGCCTGTCGACAGCGGGAATGAGCCACTCGGCGCTGGTGCCCATGCTGAAGGAGCAGCGCAGCCGGGTGGCGCTCACCGTGGTCTCCTGGCCCGGCAGCCTGGTGTAGCCGGGCTGCGCACGCCGTCCTCCCAGAACGTTCTACATATCGGGAACGACCTTGGCCAAAGTGAACTGGTACACGCTGCTGTACATTGCTCCATAAAACAGGCTTAATCCAGGACCAAAAGCATTCAGAACTGTGGTAAACCCAGCAGGACCAAGCCCGTCCTGTGGGAACTAATCCACATCGTGGCACGACGCTCAACGGACTGCACTCAAAAACACACTGCTGTGGTCATGTGGTCGTCACTCGCGCAGGGAGAAACAGTACTGCAGGCGTGAACAGGCGATCCGTGCCGGCGGTTGTGGAACGCAGGGCTGTATTCAGCTGGATGAGTCGCTGCAGGCAGGAGATGGAATATTAAACTAAATTAAATTAAGGAGAACGTGATCCTCGGTCATCTAGGATAACGACCCGTAATCACCCTGGATTTTCTGTAACATCAGCGCCGTATCCAGCTGAATAAGCCCTCCGGCCGTATTAGAAACCTGCCACACCCTGTGGGCTTAACTGCCCCGAAGGCCTCATCACCACGACAACCAGCTGTCCCATCAGCTGGAGTTTTATACATGTGTGTGTGAATGTGTATTCTGATTGTTTAATAAACATTTCCTTCCAAGGATTGACGGCTCCACAGCGTGCTTTTACACACATTGGTCGGCGCAATTGTCAGTGAACATGAAAGACTGCTGGTATAGTGCTTCATTAACAAGGCTTTATTTGCCGAAACCAAAGTATATTAAACTGAAAATATGGGATTTGTATCACCATTAGTTAACTCATTCAAGCAGTTATTCATACAATGCGGGCCTCGAGATTAGTCACCCTTTAAAGTTGCATTGTGCAGCTTCTCAGCAAGCTTGTTGGCCTCTGCTTGGTTGGCCTGTCTGACCTGCACGGCCTTAACCCAGGTCTTCTTTTTAGGAACTTTCTGCAAGGGGGATAAAAATACATGAAGGACCAGAGCGAGGGAAGGACAAATTTACAGTTTAAACCGTTTTAAAAGAAAAATCATTAAAAAAAAAAAAAAAAAAAAGAAGGACATCACCTTGAGTTTTTTCTTTGTCACGTCATGCACCACTCCATGTCGCCACAGGCTCTCCTGAATAATAATAATGAGACCAGTTAGTTAGTGTTTCACTGCAAGTTTGTGCTGCTAAAACATTTGGTTACCTTTCCTTTGTAAAACAAAAAAGGGCCCTATTTCAGGGTCAAAATCATTGCTGGAATTAAAATTAAGCCAAACGACTAAATGTATTCACCTGCTGCGGTGTTAGGGCTGCAGCACAGAGTCATAGGAGCACGTTGAATGCCTCTGACAATTGAAAGATAAGCCATCGCCGTGAACGTACCCCACCAGTTTGCCTTATCAAAGAAGGCAAAGTTTACCTTCATGGCGAAGCTCTTGCCGCAGCCGGCATACACACAGCTAAAGGGCTTCTTGCCCTCATGGTCTCCCAGTACGTGACTCTCCAAGTTGAAGGGACGCGTGAACCTTTTCCCACAACCCTCCTTTGGGCACAGCAGCTGCTGCTGCGGCTTCTCCCCAGCGTGGACACGCAGCCCATGCTGGTGCAGGAACCATGCGTTGTTAAACAGCTTCTTACACTCGCCACACTGCACCTTGACTGTGGGGGGGATTAAGCTTTTGTATTACAGCAGCTCAACACATAATTTGAAAAAAAAAAAAAAGGTATGCAACGAACAACCCTTTACACCTGGGTACCTTTGTGTTCTTTCCTGTGCTGCAGATATTCTGTCCAAGTATTTCCCTGGAAAGGACAGGCTTCCTGCTCACACTGGTAACCTGCAACAGAGAGTTTTGTGAAACACTTGCCAGTGAAAACAAAAAAGGGAATAAAATGCTTCTAGTCATCAACCAACCTCTATGTACTTTCTCATGACGCTTTAGTTTTCCATGGGTGGGAAGTGCCTTTGTGCAGCCGCTGATGGTACAACTATCGAAAGATGAATATGATTTGACTCAAGTGGACCGAGAACAGAAACTTCAGTTATTTCTGCTTTGGACGCGTAGTCACTTACGGAAATGGAAGAATCTGCAAGTGCTCACACTTGTGGGCTTTGAGTTGGTTCCGCTTGTTGAAACCTTTTCCACAGCCCTGATGGTCACACTGAAAGAACAAAAGCAAGCCAATGCTTCACGGAAAATCACAACAAGAGAAACAGAAAATCACAGGAGGGGTCTTGTACCGGATATTGTTTCTCCTGTTGCTGGTGAGCTCGAGCCACGTGGTTCTTCATGCTGCCCTTTGTGACAAAGACCCTGGAGCATCCGTCAGCCGGACACCTGGAGGACCAGAGCAGGTTAACGTTCAATAAAACCCAGAGGTTACACTTTACACGCTGAATGTAGAAGCTTACTTGTGCGTTTTCTCCCCACTGTGATGGAGCTCATGTTTGGTGAGTTGATAGCGAGTGCAAAAGCTCTGGTCGCAGTTCTCGCAGGAGAACGGCTTCTGAAGTCAGGGAAACATTTGACTCAGTGCCACCAACGTTAACTGGGCAACGAAACACATGAGCTGCCATGACGGATCCACTTGGCCTTTCTCACGGCATGTGCTCACTTACCAATCCTGTGTGTTTGCAAAGATGTGCTTCCAACTTCCAGGACTTACTAAATGCAGCTTTACAATCAGAAAAAGAGCAAATGTACATTTTGGGACTTTGCAACCTCTCCCCCATATTCAATCAGATATGGCAGACGTGTCGTCGTCACAGACAAAGCGGTTTACAGGGGCGGGACACCTACTGTCCTACAACTAGTGGAGCACCTGTGGTTGATTTATCTTATTGGACTGTACCATTTAGAGCAGGAGAGGGGTGTCCTGCTTTACTGAAACAAAAAAATATGCGGTGGATTTGAGATGTAATGATCTCTACAAATTGTTACGCAAAAAGAATAAAAGAGTTTACGCAACATTAATGCTAAGGTTCAGGAGCTACGTGCACTCAGCAATGCAGGATTGTAACACGGATTATGCAACAAGTTAGCTGCTATCAATTCAGGCCTCTACGTTTAATAGTGATCTCACGGATACTCAGACATTATAAACTTCCAAGACTCCTCCACATTGATTGATTCAGGCTTTAAAAATGTCACCTGGGCTCCTTGCAGTAGGATATGCGTCCCTATCTGCCGATCTGCTGTGTGTGTGTGTGCACGGTGCACAGGCAGGGACAGCGGCGACGGTCTGTCTCCATTAATCACACACACACACAGACTTTACTGCTTTAATCTCAATCTTATCAACGCTCCAGTATTGTTTTCTGATAGGTGTATTTTATCGTTGTCAGAAAATAGTCTTCATTGAAATTCTTGGTAACCCACAACTGTGAAGCTTAATCAACCTTTCTCAGCTGGGAGAGCGACACTGCTTGAAAGAAGAAATTGCTCATTTTATCTTTTGGAAATGGAAAACTCAATTCACCATCGCTAAAGTATTTACGCCAATTGGACATTCTGCTACAGTTTTACTGTATGACCTGTAGCTAATGTTCAAATATTTATATTTCGGAACATTTCGCTGCATGACACATTATTATGTAACTCGGCTTTTAATATTTTAACTAAAGGGGTTACAAGAGTTTGTGATCACGAAAGATCAAACGTTTAGACTGACTAACGGAAGTCAACGGTAGAGTAATAAAAACAGCAAAGGGGCTGATTTATACAGAAATATCTCTGTAAGTTAACTTACATTAGCTAAAATTAGCCACCATAGGCCAATGGTTATGTACTAAAACTATACGAATAAGGCAAGTGACTTGAAGCAAGACCATGTAACTTTGTTACTGATCACATGTTAAAACATTGTCTAACAGTAAACACAACCATATGAAAGCAATTAAACCAAACAGCAATTTCTACTTAGTTTTCGAATATTAGCTTACAGTTAGCCGCTCTACGCTAGCCAACTTGTCACACCAGACCAAATACGCCTATAGCAGCAAAAACATAGGTTAATTTAATTGAGCAATAGCGCTTATGTTTCTTTCTTTCTTTCTTTCTTTATGAATGAAACATTTCATTTAATGTAGCTATATTTCTTTAAAATAAAAAAGGGTACTAAGTAAAAATTGTATTTTTAAGACTAGAAAAGAAACAGAGACGGACAATCCAACAACACTATCTGCTTATCCAAACATGAGGGTTCAGCCCCTGAGCCCCTGTCATGCTCTCATGTGAAACCTTTGACTGACTGTGGTGAATAAGGCCTATTGAGAGCCGGTTGGGCGTTACCTCGGTGCCCTCCCACGCTTCAGGTGAGCATGCCGGGGTCAGTTTACACCTTTATCAGCCTCCTGGTCCTCCCTTCCGGTCCCTCCCACCCGCTCCACCTCTGCTGTCAGGGCCAGGATCAATACAGCTGGCCCAATATCCACATATATGACCCCCCCCCCCCAATCTCTGATAACCACGCTGACTCTATCACCCCACCTATCAAACACACAGATACAGCATGCACTCTGTTTGGCCTGCTGTGGGATTTCCTTGTGCCTTTGTCAGAGCTCCAAGCCTTTCCCAAACACACACACACACACACACACACACACACAGATGTCATGTAGACACACGGGGTCTCACTCATGCTTTCATCACAGGTACTTTCAAGACCACTCACAGCCTTTTCTTCTGGGTTGGAGATGGTGAGGCCTCACACGGGGGTAAAAAGAAGACATATCGACACAATTTTATCGTTAGAAAGTAATGACACCTCATTTAGTGTATTTGTAGCATTGACTTTCATGCTGCTGTGAACTGCATACAACACCATAGGGAAGTATTGTAATTTAAGAAGATAACATGTATTCTCTAAAGGACTATCAGATATTGCGTATGAACCTGTGATGACTTTATATTTATGATAGCTCAGACCACAGCGTGTTCATTTGGAGTGACCACAACACTGTTTAGGGAAAGTCACATTGTGTTTGGAATGTTTCAATGCTTTGAGCAGCACAAATTAAATCCAATTGATTGGGAAAAGAAATGTTTACGTGTTTATTTAACACATTAAAAAAAGTCTAATAATTGTGACATTTTATACAATCCAACATTTTCCCACTCAACTCGTCTTGCGTCAGCGGTGTCCATATCCGGTTATCTACTCTTTGCGTGTGTGTGTGTGCGCGTGTGGTTAATGTGTAACACTACGGGTCGATAGGCTGCTGGCTGAGCTGACAGACTCAATCTGTGTGTGTCAAACATGTGTGATTAAGGAGTTCATAGTGCTCCACGGCTTTTATCCACCATCCTCGTCTCTCTGCCCTTCATCCCTCCCTCCTCCTCTCTCTCTCTCTCTGCTCTGTTTACCTTTTCCTCATTCAATCAGTAACTTCCATGAGTCAGACATGGCTCATACACTCACACACACACACACAGACACACACACACTTGGTGTATCTGTGAGGATACACACACAAAGGACGTACTGTAGATGTGTAGAGGGGGAGGATGTCATACTATGTAAAATGAGAAACTGTATAGATTCCTATTAATTCAAGCAGTAAAATTTACGATTGATTTTGGATCCTCTATTTGCTTTAATTGGTGACTTCTACGTCTCCTGAAAGCTGTGGGAATGTACCAAACGGTGGAGGCACCACTCGCCTTATCTAAATACTATGCGACGGAAATCCAGATCAATACCAAGGGCTTTGTACGCCAACACGCTCATTGATTGATTGCATTTTATTTTTCCATCGTTTTTTTTCCTGGTTCTCCTCTGGTTGTTGGATACTTATTACTTTGTCCCGATAAGACCCGTGTCTTAGGTCCCTGACCTTCAGGGTTGTGAGGGTGAAGAAAGAGTTCCCCGGGAATTGATCTCAACCCCCGTTTAAGAGGAGATTTCCTCCACTTATATAAAGGAGATGGTTTCAACTGCAAAATGCTTCCACAGAAATCAAATTAAGGTCCATGGACTGTTACACTGTTGTCTTTCTCTGTCCTGAACTACGCACACACACACACACACTTAATCCTGTCAGCTGCTCCCTATCTCTGTAAACTGGTCCTAATTTGTGTAAATATTGGGTAAAGTACTGAGGTGCGATGAGATAACCTATTTGTCACATAACCAGCCAGCCATTCAGCCTCCACTGATTAAAAAGCAAACATCAAGTGGTCCACTCACACACACTATGACAGGCCATTTTCACACACACACGCACAGATATGACTGATAAATAGATTTTATTCTTATTCTGAGGAAAAAAGCCAAGTAAAAAGACATGATTTAGTTGCATTATGGAAGAATTAGATTAGATAAAGATGTAACTTCAAATGACGAAGGATTGTAACTTGTACAACTCATTCACAAACAATTAAGTTTTTTAATTTTTGAAAAGTCGATGACACAGAAAGTTGTAGAGATATAGGTGTAAAATATGTCATAGTTTGATTTCCGAATGGAAAAAAACGGTATAACTATTAGATTAATTAAAAGTGAATGTATAACCGGTCGCCACGACGAGGTGTGCTGGGAAGCACAAGGTTGGTGGTTCGAGTCCAGGCTGCCCCATGTTCCATGTCGAAGTGTCCCTGAGCAAGACACCTAACCCCTAATTGCTCCCCGGGCAAAAATGTGAAAAAGCCATGGGTTTAAAGTGAAATGTAAGTCGCTTTGGATAAAAAAAGCGTCTGCTAAATGACATGTAATGTAATGTAATGTATAAAGCTGCCATTGTCCCTTCAATAAAAACTTGTGCAGTCCAAATTATAACTCATTTAAAGCATATTTTCATTACAGATTATCCTGCTTTAATATTCAATTTTACCTCGCACTGGTAAAAACCTTTAACGGTTCTATAAAAATAAAATGTCTGCCGATATGACTTTATAAATGTAGAATATTACAACAGTAATTGAAGTTTGCTCGACAGCCAAACATGTAAACTTGTGATTTAGTGATTATAATCACTTATGACACCGACTTCAGCACTTTGCTAGTTTGGCTTTCTTGATTCCTCGTTGTTCCGTTTCTGTTGCTTCTTGATTAAATGCACTTATTGTAAGTCGCTTTGGACGAAAGCGTCAGAATGATAAATGTAATGTATAATTAAAACCATTTATTTCATGCATGTGTGGACCGACAAGTAATTTGACAGATATCTTTATCTCGCTATGTTTACTTCATTTTCACACAATACAAATACTGAATAGATCAACATAGACTGGCTGGATACATAAATGTCCTCCATTATGGCAACAATGTTTTGGCGCTGTAAAGGTTATTCACAATGTATGACAATAGTTCACAATTCAATTAATCATCATTAAACGTCATAAGATCCCGGTTCAGTTTTCTAGAGCGCGGTTGTCTACACCAAAGGTGCCGGGTTAATATGCAGGTGCACACTGCCACCTACTGCACAGGGGAAACGCTACCGATGGCAATAAAACAATATATAATTGACTTGCACATTAGACATTTCCTTTCGGTAAATGGTCTTATTTTCAGTAGTTCTAGCGTTGGTGCAAAACCGCTCCAGTTTGATGAGTATTAACTGAAACTGTATTTCACAACCACACAGCTGTTTAACTACTGTGTCTTATTCTATCAGTGCTGTAATATTCAGTCAGCTTTAACAAATACAGTAGGAATGGGCTGTATTTAATAATGGCTATAATAATGTTTTATACTGTCAACACTAATGCAGCTCTACAGAAGTCGGCATTACTTAGCTAAGCATATCGTGTGTATCAAGACCTCAACTTCAGTTAAGAAGGCCTTCAATTAGAGTCAGTGAGGATAAGCAGGCTTATCCACGGTACAAGTGTGGGAACGTGAGATGCTTTGTGACATGTGTACCATTCGCTCTCAGATCGCCGGTGAAATGAAAGTGCGTTTGATTTCATTTGTAATCAAAACAGGAGAATCATCACTGAGCGACGGCACATCATGACAATTTAGCATAGAAACAGAAATCAAAATGTGTGGACAGACGACAAGGCGGCAAGCAGCGTGTGTACAAAGATTTTTTTATTCGGGTGAGCACTTTATGCCATGAACTCATAGGGGATGGGCTCCAGCAGCTGAGGCTGGTTGTTCTTGGTGCTGACAAAGTGAGCATCACGAGGAGGAGCGGGCTGCAGAGACGAGAAGGGGGACCGTTAGATGGTCAGACAAATGAAACAAAGATGTTAATCACTAAAATGTTTAAAGAAAATTAGGACTTAAGTGTGATTCATTCAAAACACTGAAATACACATCGCATTTCTAACAACACAATTTGTTCTGGTTTAGTAGTAAAACCGACATACCTGACGCTTCAGGTCCACCCAGGTGCCGTTCACCTTGGCCTCCTTCTTTTTGGCCTCGTTCTCTTTGACGCGCTGCAGGAAACTGTCTCTGCTCTTTGAGTGCTTCACGTGCTCAATGCGCACGTTGATCCTCTTGGCCAGGATCCTGCCCCTGTGACAGCCGAAACCAAGGATTGGGAATCAAAAACCTGACAGGAAGCTCTACGTTGTTTCAATGTGTGCGTTTGTCTCGGATGTCTCCTCAATACAGCCCAAAGTCCAACGGGAGTTGGACCGGGGTGCTTAAGGATGAAATACTCTCCCCCACGTGAATGACCACTGAGGACACGGACGATCCGCGTGGCAAAGTGATAATGGGGTCAAATGGTTCTCAAACATGTTTATTTATTTCCCTTTCGGAGAATAACAAGGCCCCTGATGCAGCATCAGTGTTTGTGTGTTTGTAGGAACCAGAGGAAGAAAAGAGGTATGTAATGTATTTGTCAATTCTTAATAGTAAATTGTATTTAAGGTCACATTACTACATGAGCTGTCAACTATTCCCAACAGCTATGGTAGCCATGCTAGCTTTTGATTACTATTAACCAAGCCAATAAATCCGCTCTAAAAACAGTAGATAAACCTCGCTGCAGCTATCCTTGCTAATAACCTGTTATGTAATCTTACATGCAAGTGACTCAGAGCCAGATGTCCATGTATAAACTAGAAGTTGGCCCTTTAAATAGGCAACATCCTGTAAATTTGATAGATTCTGGTCACATCAACACTGTTCACGATTGAGAACTGCTCTAAAAATCACAGTTTGTGATCCTCAAAATCCTCTACAAGAAGGAAAGTATTTAAATGATGAATTTGAGTGAGTTAAGTAATTTGGTGTGTTCAAGCGCAAAGTTACGTAGTAAAGAACAAGAATGTAAATGACACAAAAAAAACATGACATTGTACTTACTTAACCTGCTTGTTGACAATAATGCCGACAGCGTGCTGGGTTACATTGTACACACGTCCTGTCTTGCCATGGTAACACTTGTGGGGCATTCCTTTCTGGATGGTGCCTGTGCCCTGAGAAGAAAATAGTAGTTTAAGAATCTCACATTATAGAACAATCCCAACATTCAATGACATACGTATGTTTTAGTGTATAACCAATGGAAGAATATTTAATTTTAAGAAGAGTTTAAGAGAGTGGCTGCAATAATCTCATTGTCGTTGGTCAGGTGGACCACGACAACGGTACGTGACTCAAACCGGTTTCCAACTCACCTTGATGTCAACGATGTCGCCCTTCTTGTAGATGCGCATGTATGTTGACAGGGGAATTGGGCCTGTGAAGCAAACAGCCAAACGATTAATGCGACATTACAGATGTCAGAGTCAAATTACAAAACATGGTCCATAGCATTGTTAAAAGGGGGATTAGTCGATGTGTGCTGGGGTGTTACATGTGTACTCACCATGCTTGCGGAATTGCCTGCTGAACATGTACCGGGTCCCCCTCCTCTTGCCTCTGGTGTTCGTCATGGTGACTGATTACTGAGAATATGAATATGCCATTAGTCATGATGGTCTTCAGGTAATGCAACTTATATTTTTGCTCAACAGAAGGAATATTGCCTGGAACCATTGTAACATCTGGCGTTACTTAATTTCGATTACATTATAAAGCGTAAGTTAAGACCCATTACGGTTTAACGTTTGACCCAAGTTGGCTGCCAAACTACAACTGTGCTCAGTTTATGAAACAGCTGATCCAAGTCAAGGACAACACAAATCATGTGGTGTATTCACATCACACGCACATGGACTTTGCATGGATTTTATTCAACACATTGTAACAAAGCTAATGTACGATGCGTTGTGTAAAAGCTAGCAACGAGATACATGGCAACCACAAGGCAGCAACACATTTGCAATGACAGTTTGGTTGAAAACGGTCGAAAATCAACGACAAAAACGTCACGATATGAGCGTCGCAAACTTGTAAAAGGTAAAATATGGTGTCTGCTACACGGTGGAGCGTCCGCCGGGCCCACATGGGAGAGCCACGCTGCTGGTCCTGCTCACCCTAAACGGAAGATATCCCTCAATACAACGATTTTTCAAGCTGCAATATCCAATTGAGCGGCTCTATAAGATGCAGCGAATGCGCGAATCCATCAGTGAGCGAAATATATAGTAATAAGTTAGAAACAAACATTTAACAGGGAGAGGATCTTACCCCCGGTCTCGACAAGATGGCGGGTGCTGCGGAAAGAGAGATTGAAGGACCCCAAACTCCGCCTAGTGAAACGTTCATGGACTGTAGGGCGGGCCGCGGGAGTGCCTGAACCAAATAGATGTGACGCTGAAGCTCTGCCAAGGGAGTAAAAAAGGGGTTAGAAGATCTGGAGTCAGCTTAATCACGAACTACGACATAACATGTTACGCCGTTTTAGTATGTAAACCCGTCTGTGTTACGATACATGTCTATGGTTATGATCCATTATGTTTCTGTGTTTTTTATTTAATGTTTCCCCCAGTCTAACAAATATTAAGAAAGGATTAAATATACTCAGGCGGAAAATACAACCAGTGTAAAAATAATGGAAAGGTTATTTCCAATGCTCTTTATCATGCGCATGCGCAACACCCCCGCCTGGCTAAGCGGTATGTTTTAAAGTCGTCAAGGATTTGGAGATTACTTAACTATTTGGATTTTTTTTAATGATTCACAGGGGTATGAATTTGTGGTATCCTATACCTCAAAACAAAGCCAACCTCTGTGTACTTTGCTGACCGTGATTAAGCGAACGCGGAAACAACCAGCGGGGAATGCTCTCGTTTTCTTCGACTCCTGCACCGTTTTCGTCGCGAGCGCCGCGGCACTGCCTGCCTTGCCCTCACGAGGGAACCAGCCCAGTCTCGCCAGCGCACAACGGCGGTCGAAGATGGCGCTAGTCGAATGGAAATCCTAATGACAGTCTCCAAATTTGCCTCTTTTTGTACCATGGTGAGTGCACGGCAGTTTCAATCTGGCGTTCCCCGCGCTACGAGGCGACGTGGAAACCGTTTCTGTGCCGGGATTTTCCTTTAAACCGTCTTGTTAAAATTATTAGCGGTTAATTCTGGGGTCAGTGCTAGCCAAGCATATTTCCGACCATAGCAACGCACCGCCCTCCTCCGGTCAGGTATTTTAGCTAACAGGCAGTAGATGGACATTCGTTAGTTTGGGATTTATTTCAATTCCTGCATTGACGATGTGTTTGTTTGACTTGAATAGTTATCGCAGCCCGTTTGTGCCCGGTGACAGTGCACCTGCTGCAGCTCAGATTCGCAGTTAGCCAATTAATGTTAGCTACGGTAGCTAGCTAGCTAACGCGTAGCTAAACCAGTGTTGCACAATGCTAACAACTGGAACGCCGTTGAATCATTAATGGTGACGGTGGCGATCTGCGCGATGGGTAAGTTAACGTTAGAGATGCCGTGGGGAGGGGGGGGGACTAAGTTGGCGCGTTGGCCTTTACTAACCAGACGTTAACGCGACCAATGACGACATGGTTTGACATTAGCTGCGCAGTTGTGGAATTGCACCAGCTCCGTGTCAAATCTGCAGCTTGTCACTTTCCACATACCGCACCGCATCAATCCGTGCCAAATTTGAGAAGGGATTCGCGTTCCGAAAACGTCCTCCGCCGAATCCTCCGATCACTAAAAAAAAAAAAAAAATCTGCGTTTGAATCATTTATTCATTCTGACACGTGTAATTGTGTCGCGTCAATAGTTGCACATTAATAATACCTTTTTGGGGACGTGTTTGCAGGATCCTTGGAAAACTCAATTCTACCTTGCAGATATAGAGCATGCTTTTAGCGATACTCGTGTTGACGGCAGGCCGTCGTGGAGAATGCATCCAGTCTTGGTTTTAAGCATCCATCGGTTTATGGATTCATCTGCAAAGGATTCCCAGAAAATATCTGCTGCCCTGTAATTTAGTTACTACGCTTTAAGAGGTGGCCTTGGCGTGTGTCATTGTTTTATCCCAAATAACTGCGCTTAAATATGTCTCTTTTTTTTTTTTTTGCTCTGTGCATTTAAAGGGCGCCAATGCCTCTGCTCTGGAGAAAGAGATTGGATCTGAGCAGTTTCCGGTCAATGAGCACTACTTTGGCCTGGTCAACGTAAGCGAACGTCGCGCTGCACAGATCCACTGTTTGGTACACTTCCCCACTTGACTGCACTCACTGATTCGACTGCCTTCCATGTGATTTTTAGTTTGGAAACACCTGCTACTGCAACTCGGTGCTGCAGGCTCTCTACTTCTGCCGACCGTTTCGGGAGAAGATCTTGGCGTACCGCAGTCAGCCTCGGCGGAAGGAGAACCTGCTCACCTGCCTGGCCGACCTGTTTCACAGTATTGCCAACCAGAAGAGGAAAGTGGGAGTGATACCACCAAAGAAGTTCATCACACGGCTTCGCAAAGAGAACGGTGAGAGGAAAATGATTTATTTAGTGAGATGGGTGTGATCAAAAGAGGCTCAAAATGAAAAAATCGACATTCCTATTTTGTTTCACCTTGTGGGCTGTTGTATCCTACATGCCTTGAAAACATCGCAAGACCTCGAAATACCTGCTGAACAACGTAGAATAGTTGAACTATTCTAATCCCTTCTTTTGTTCCCCTTTTCTCCCTCAGAGCTGTTTGACAATTACATGCAGCAGGATGCCCATGAATTCCTGAACTACCTCCTCAACACCATCGCGGATCTGCTTCAGGAGGAGAGAAAGCAGGACAAGACCAACGGCCGCCTCGCCAACGGCACATTAGACTCTCAGAACAACAACAGCAATGCCACGCCCGCTCCAACCTGGGTCCATGAGATCTTTCAAGGCACTCTCACCAATGAGACGCGCTGCCTTACCTGTGAAACGGTGAGGCGTCATCCCGCTGTGTTACCACAGTCTTGTTTCAACATGTTTTCAAATTAAACAGTCCTACTGGCGAGAGATTAGATAAAATACACAGATGAAGCTCCTTGGCACAAGGAAAGAGAAACGCTTGGGTTGTTTGTGTGTTAGTTGCTCGGTTTGAGTGCAAACAGTGTTTTAGGCAAATACAATATTATTTTATTCCAAACTTCTCAACCGGGTGTATTGATGTAGTACGTGTGTTTACTTTTATTTTAGCTCAGCTTTATGTCCTATTTCTTTTTTTCTCTCTTCAGATTAGCAGCAAAGATGAGGATTTTTTGGACCTTTCCGTGGATGTAGAACAGAACACCTCCATCACGCACTGCCTCAGGTAAACGACGTGCAGGAGCAGAGCTCAGCCTGGAACAGTAGTTGATATGCAGAAAATGAATTGGCAGCTCTTGCAATCAAAGAAAAAAGCTTTTCAGGCGAAGACCTAAAACATTTGACGGTCCGTTTTGACATGTTTTCTTGTGAAGAAGATTTCATAAGCCCCTTTGTTTGAGGCTGCTGGATTTATAGCGTAATGAATGTTAGTGATGTAATGGACCATTGTCGATCCTTATCGAATAATTACAGTTCAACGTTCACCACCGCAGTGTGAAATTTATGTTTTACTGACCTTCGTATCTGGGAATTATGACCCATATACGCTGATTCCAAATCACCATGTAATACATCAGAACCTCAGGTTCAGGACAAGATGTGAAAACTATAAAAATGACATTATTGAATTGGAAGTCTTATAAAGGAATTGCTATAATAGAAAATTCACCATGAATCACGTATGCTATTGATACATTTTTTGACTGACTTCGGAGCAGTTGAAATTATTTTTGGGATGGTAGCAAAAAACATTGCCTTGTAGGCCAGCAGCTATAATCCTCAAGTGATGAGGAACCCACTCTGCGTTGTGCGAGTCCTTCACTGGGCTGCATGAGGTGAGTGTGTTGACCCACATTGACTGAGTCTCTCTTTGTGGCTCCTCTCAGAGGTTTCAGTAACACGGAGACACTGTGCAGCGAGTACAAATACTACTGTGAAGAATGTAGAAGCAAGCAGGAGGCACACAAGAGGTCGGTACCCCGGTTTGTTCTCCACGTGGGCCTTTTGGCGGTCGGGTCAATGCATCCCTGTGTGCGGCTGGTCATTCGGGTGTTGTCGTGGTCTGACTGTGATGTTTTGTGGCGCAGGATGCGTGTCAAGAAGCTGCCAATGATCTTGGCGCTGCACCTGAAGCGCTTCAAGTACATGGAGCAGCTGCAGCGCTACACCAAGCTGTCCTATCGCGTCGTCTTCCCCCTGGAGCTCCGCCTCTTCAACACCTCCGGGGACGCCACCAATCCGGAGAGGCTGTACGACCTGGTGGCTGTGGTGGTGCATTGTGGGAGGTGCGTAGGTGGTCACGCACTCACAATACTGCGCCTCTTGTTTTTAACCTTCTCCACAGCAACCGAAGACCGGCAGATGATTTATTGTTGTAATAAAAACATGCATTTCAACCCGTTGGCACAGGAATAAAATTACATTAGAAAGCTCAGACCGCCATCCATTATTGTTCCGCTGTGCTGCACTTTGTGTCAGTGGGCGTTTAGTCCGTCTGTGTTTATACAAGGAGTTTCCCTGCTGAAACTGACTCCCGCCCTTCACTACCCAAAAGACTATTACTAAAGTGATTTGTGGTTTAGCAAGTAAGGGAATCCACGATATGCAAGTTATCTGTGTGAATTCTCCCTTTTGAGCTGTACTCTCGTCTCCGCTCCCTTCAGCTGCTCTGTATTCACAGGAGGGAGGTATTTAATGAAGTCGATAGTCATAGTTTAGTTTTAGGCAACACTTAAACAAAACGGTACATTTAATTCTGCTTCCACTACCCGCTACCGTGTTTTAAGACACTATATTATAGAGCCTAAAGCAACATGTATCGAGGCAGATTCACTGAGGTTGATAACGCCCGGCACTGGTCCGTCAGTGTTTATCATGTAAAGGAAACGTGTTTCGTTAAAGGCCCGTGTACACACACGGGCCACACACACACACGGATGTTTCAACCTAACGGGTTAGGGTTACAAATGTTAAACAAACATGTCTACAGACTTCCATGGTCTTGCAAAGGAGTCGAAATACGTTTTTTTATTTTTTTTAGTTCAAGCAATATTACAGTGGGGAAATTTTTAAATTTTAAGTGTTTTATTTCTTTGCAGTGGGCCAAACAGGGGTCACTACATTGCCATCGTGAAAAGTCATGACTTCTGGTTGCTGTTTGACGATGATATTGTTGAGGTAAGTAACTTAACTTGTATTTATCTTAAGATTTGGTATTCACAGTACCTTTCCGTCTTCAACCCCCTCTTGTGTATCGCCTTCCTGTAGAAAATCGACGCGCAGGCCATAGAGGAATTCTACGGCCTGACTTCTGAAATCTCCAAGAACTCCGAGTCGGGCTACATCCTCTTCTACCAGTCCAGAGACTGAGCGCGGAGCCTGCGTGTCTGCCACAGGAACCAGAGGAGACGCTGCGTTCCCTCTTTCGACGAGGAGCGGCGGACTGTCGACGCGCCGCCGCAGCAGCCCGCCCGGTGCCACACCTGCCCGCACAGCTGTATTTAATTATTGTGCTTTTTACGTGCTCAGCCGTGAAAGTTCCTCCTCCGTGCCAGCCTATTCTCCCGCCCCCCCCAAAATCCCACGTCCTCCCCACCCCGTCCCCGTCACTCTGGCTGGACGCTGCTGCCTGGACAACGAGACGATAATGAATGCAAACTGTGTCGATTTGTTTTTAAGAAAAAGACGCTGAATGAGGATTGTACAGATAATTGGTCGGTCCATTGAGTGGCATATTTTGATTATTATTATTTTTTTCCTTGGGTGAGGGGTTGAAACGGTATTTAATAATTCCTGACACGTAACATCGGCCTGGTTTTCACCCCCCTTCCTTTAGTCTGCACTGGGGTTTACCGAGAGCGGGTCATATTTGTGTGATGCGGATGTGATCTGGGGGGAGGGCTGAGTCTCCCACTTGTGGGACACGCTGGGTTGTGTATTTCTACAGTGTACAGAATGGTATTTGTATAAATATAACAAGAAGATATTATCATTGGAAATTGTTAGACCTTGAGAAGATGTATTAACACTATGGTGCACTTTTGATACCGTTTTGTAGGTGTTGGCAAGTTAATTGTGAGGGTTTGCTTGAGAAGGCCTGTTGTAAAGCGATTATTTTCTGTTTTAAAGAAAACGAAATAAAGCCAGTAAGATTGAGGTGGGGTGAGCTCTTATTTTCTGTCCTACAGGTGCGCCCTGATGACTCATAGGGGGGGGGGGGCTCTACATCGCCCCCCGGCGGTGTGACCTGGCGCCACCGCGCGCTGTTCGTGATCCAATCACATCCGTAAAGGGCTTTTGTTAAAGACTCACCCAATTAACCATTAGTGCTTCATCAACACGTCCCCCATCAGTTACTCCTCGAGGCAGTGCGGGGGGGAGGGGGGGGGCGCATTCAGACGCACGCATTGGGGTCGCTGTTAATAGCACAGACGGGACCCAGAATAGCAGGGCGTCGCAGGAGGAAAGAGCCTCCGTATCGGAAACAAAACAGCTGAAGCTGCACCTCAATGCGTTGTTCATTTCTTTGTCGCGACACACAAACGGGCCCTTAATGCTCAGAAGAAAGCGCGTTGTGCTGATGCAACAAGGGGCCACAGGTACCCGAAGCCTCCACACGCCGTGGCTCCTTTTGCAGGGTTCACCGGCTCTGTGGTGATCTGACCCGCGGGACTCCTCCTTCATCATCCTCGACACCTCCTTCCTCCTCTTCCTCCGCTGCTCTCTGCACAGCCGCAGTCCACGGCGATGCGCCGTTAACGGAGGAGCCGCTCCGCGCTCTTTTCTCACTCTTCCATCACCCACCGGAGGAACCGGCATCCCGGCACCCCTCACTTCCCGGCACCCCTCACCCCTCTCCGGGCTGCGCCGCAGCATCCTCATCGGTGACATGGCGATACAAGGCTGCCACTTGTCCATCTAGACGGTCTCACTCCACAGACTCAAGGTAGGCTGGAAAAGGGATTATTCAGCGTCCTTTGCATGGGGGAGGAAAAAAAAGGTCGCCCGTTTTTGTTTTTTTTTCTCCGTTCCTCCCAAGCATCGTTCTGCTGACGTGGAGCAGCTGCCGTGTTCCTCTGATGTAAGGTGCAGAGAGGGTGAAGCAGCACCATATGGCCACCGGTGTGAGAGGCATCTCTGCCAGAGGCTGTGTGCTCATAACGGGTGCGGTGTCTTCTGCTTTGTAAAGCAGCGTGAATTATTACCGGGGCTGGTTTTGTTAACTCTCAATAAGCATGACCTGATATTGCAACAAGAGCCTGATTTTCTGTTATGCCCTTGTTCATAAATTAAGCTACCCTCCGGAGGTGTACCCTCGAGGCCTGTTAAACAGTCTCTGGGCTCAAGTCCCAGAGGAAAAGACATGAACTGTCCGGAAGCCAAAATGTACATTTCTATTGATGTGCAGGTTGTTAAATATTTTAAAAGGGGCACAAACCAAAATCAAAGAGACATGTTTTTCTAGACCACGGTTTTTGTTATACTCATATGTCTACCTACTTTACCACGGGGCCGACAATGTGATATTTACCAAAGCCGTTGTGCAATGAGTAACAAGTTATTGGTGAATCTCATTGGTTTGGTCGAGACTTTGATCCCCAACTATGAAATAACAGGTTGCCTTGATTGTGTTCAACTTCAGACGGGGGCTACGATGAGTGAAGGGCCACCGGTCACCTCCAGCTGGCTGACCGCCGACCCCACCGCTTGGGCCAGCGGGGGACCGATGGACAACAGCACCGGCCCGGGGACTTCCCCGCCGGACTCCTTCCACCCCGGCCGGATGCCCCTGTTGATCAACCCCTGGGACATCGTGCTGTGCACATCTGGGACTCTGATAGCCTGCGAGAACGCCCTGGTGGTGCTGGTGATCTGGCAGAACCCGGCGCTCCGGGCTCCCATGTTCCTGCTGATCGGCAGCCTGGCGCTGGCCGACCTGCTGGCCGGCCTGGGCTTGGTGCTCCACTTCACCTGTGCCTACTTGCTCCACTCCGAATCGGCCCAGTTGCTGACCGTGGGCCTGGTGGTGGCCTCTTTCTCCGCCTCCGTCTTCAGCCTGCTGGCCATCACCATCGACCGCTACCTGTCGCTGTACTACGCCCTCACCTACAACTCTGAGCGGACGGCGGTCTTCACCTACACCATGCTGGTGCTTCTGTGGGGCCTCTCGCTGTGTCTGGGCCTGCTGCCGGTCACGGGAGTCAACTGCCTGGCGGAGGAGGCCGCGTGCAGCGTGGTGCGCCCGCTGACCAAGAACAACATCGCCGTGCTGTCCGTTTCCTTCCTGCTGCTCTTCGGCCTCATGCTGCAGCTCTACGTCCAGATCTGCAAGATCGTGATGCGCCACGCTCACCAGATCGCCCTGCAGCACCACTTCCTGGCCGCCACGCCCCACTACGTCACCACGCGGAAGGGCGTGTCCACGTTGGCGATCATCCTGGGCACTTTCGCCGCCTGCTGGATGCCCTTCACCGTCTACTCCCTCATCGCTGACTACACCTACCCGCCCCTTTACACCTACGCCACCCTGGTACCCGCCACCTACAACTCCATCATCAACCCGGTCATCTACGCCTTCAGGAACCAGGAGATCCAGAAGGCGCTGTGGCTGGTGTGCTGCGGATGCATTCCCGCCAGCGTGGCCCAGCGCGCACGGACCCCTAGTGACGTCTGACCGGACGGACCCAGGTGGGAAGAGAGAGGCGGCGTGGGTCAGCTCTGCTCCTCGCCGGGTCTGAGTAGTGCCAAAAGGTTCGGGGGACGGGAGTGAGGCGTAGAGGGGGTGTGGTTTTTCAGGTGAAGATGTCACAGCCAGGAGGGGAGGGGGAGGGGGCAGCCCACCTGGATGGCTGGCAGTCGCCCCCCCCCCCCCCCGCTTTCCTCCACCCCCACCACCATCCTTTGTTTCGCGTACACAATGAGCCAAGGTGTCTCACTGTCTTCCCAAGGCCAATGGGCGGGCAGCATCACCCCCACCCCCACCCCCAATTCAGACGGTGCCACGCCCTTCCCCTGCCACGGGCAGCAGCTGTCTATACCCCTTCTGCCCTTCTGTGCATTTAGTTTACGGCACTGGAACTTTGGGAGGGATGGGCCATTTGTGCGCGCCTGCGTAAAAGCGCGCAGGTCCTCTACGGAGTGTGTGCGGGGCGCGGAGGGGAGCAATGAACGGTACGATTCACGTACATTCGTGTCTGGAGCAGCACCCCGGCGCGCTGCTGCTGCTGCTGCTGCTGCTGCGCTCGGAACGTGCGTCGAAAGCTAAACGGCCGCGGAGAGCTAAAAATAGATGCGATCTCTGTGATCCGCGTCCTCTGTGGACGCCGGGGAAGAAATCAAGCCGCTTCGTCTTCCCTTCAGCTCTCCAAAATGCGTCTTGTTTTCTCTCTGGATTTGTGCGTGATTTGTGTTTTAGGTCACCTCGCAAGTTTGGAGGCGCCTGCTTTTGTTATTAACGTGTCGAACCGAGTAGAAGCTCATCACAGTGATGCAGATTGCTTTTTGAATGTCTTGAATTTGTTATGTGTAATCATAATTTAATAAAGCCCCAATCATTTGAACAATACTTTGAATTATACGGTAGGCGTACTTAACAATAAAAATCACATAATGGTAAATGTAGGATATTAAGTTATAAAATATGATGAGAATACTACAGACCTTGGAGGCAAAAGTCCAACCAACCAGAACACATTGGTTTATTGTAGATGGAAATCTGCTAAATTTTAATGCATCTCCCTTTATTCAAACCACATATCTGAAATGCAGCCTTGACTTTAGTGTAATTAGCATGCAACAAGCCCAGATACCCCACAGTTTAGTGTGCAAGGTCACATTTTTGAATACAAACCATGTGACATGGTACTCTGATGTCCTCGTGATCTTGATTTTTTTTTTCTCTACACAGTGTACCTCAACTGTATCCCATTGAATGAGCTAATCGTAATGCCGCGGTCACACGAGGTGCAACCTTGTTGAAAATATGTGGATTTAAAACAAGGCTTTTGTTGTATAGTGCGGATAAGTCCAGAGGCTCTTCTGCTCCATCAAGTGCGGTCCGATGGAAGACCAAATCACAACACCAGCTGCTCTGAGTGGATCCACCTTCGGCTTTAGGTCTCATAATTAGTTTAATGAGCCATTCCTTCATGTCTTCTCAGCAGTAACTAGCCGGGTAATGGTAGTTATTTAGCAATACTCAGACAGCAATAACATCCACCTCCCACTGTTACTTCTTCCTGCGGCGTGAAGGGCCATAGTCTCCGCTCAGGTGAGGGTGGGAGAGGGGGGGCGGGGGGTGTTGTAGTGAATGTGCTCAGTGAGCTTAAAAAAATAGTGTGTTAAGGTAATCCCTCCTGGGCTGGTCACACGGCTCCGTCCCAGTGACATCACTGCCTCTTTCCGCTGAAATTATTTTTATTTTCCCTGAACTTAAAACCGGGCTTCAACCCCAAATGGTGAACTGTATTATTTGTGTTTGTTGCCTCGGCCTTTTGTGACATATGATCTTTCTTTTCCTAACTGTCGTAAAAACCTCAAGTCTCATGTGTGTGTGTGTCCGGACCTCAATCTGTGTCCTTCGCTGCCAGTCTTCCTGTACATTCTGAGAGAAGTGGCCTTGTTACGCGTTCGTAGAGCTTGTTTCAAGAGAGGGAGGACTCACGCTCCGGCACTTTAAGCCAAAGTGAAAGGTCCTGCTGTGTGTGTGTGTGTGTGTGTGTGTTCTGTCTCCCTGACATTCGGTACTACTTCAAATCGATCTATGGTCTGATCGAGGAAGGCGTCCGCCGAGTTGACCTCTGAATGATTCAATGAGCTAAATATAGTCACTTCCAAATACAACAAGTAGTGCTTCTCCTTGTTCTCGCTTTCTCCCCTCCAGGCGAGCCCCGAGGCATTTGACGAGCTGCCAGTCTCCTTCTTTCTGGCCTCAGATCAGATGCAAAGCGGTAAAAGGAGAGGAAAAGCACCTCTGAGCGTTGGAAGTCAAACTTGTGCACAGTGTCGGACTGAATCCTGTTTCTTTACCTTTTGAGAAAAGTCTATTTTGTTATATGCATTGACCGGTTCCATTTTTTCCCCTCCACTTAAGTGTGGCCTGAATTCTTTCAACTTATAATGTTGGGCCTTTGAGTGATCAAATTGACTGACGCCTGTCCCTGTTGACTCATTGGTTTCTTTACATATGGCATGCTGAAGAGGAGGGGCTTCAGACCCCCTTGCATGGTGCCACCAATACAGTCAAACTATGGGATGAGTTGGGTCGCACCATTTCCTCCCGTCGGGCATCAATATGCACCGGTTTATTGGCGCCGGTGGAGCGCTTGGCTGCACAGGGATGAGGGGAATGTTCTTCTCTTGTGCAGTGTTGTGGAGATTTTCATGATCGAGCATGTGTGAACAAGGGCTTTGTATCCAAGGAAAGCAAAAGACTGTGAAGTTGGATGTAATATTTCTCTGCGTACACGCACCTGTTCCGTCTATTGAATCGTCTGAGTGTGATAGAACGCTTGAGAAAATGAATGGCTGGAGGTTTCTCGCTGATGGTTGCTAATCTAGAGCTATATTTCACTCAAGGGCCTGGTAATGTGTGTGAGTCTGTGTGTGTGTCTTGGGGGTTGGAGGCGGGAGGACGCCACAGTAACAGCATCATGTGTAGACGTATGCATAGTTTTCAATGTGAAATGCACTTTATTTTTTGGATGAAAATGGCACAACAAATTAATTATCTGCAAAATGAGACATATAAACGATAATCAATATGCACTGACTTAACTGAGATATTGTAAGAAACATTTCTGTGAACGTGGTGTCTATTTTTCCAAGGTGTTAGTTGTACTTTTTATTGCTTTGGTTAGTTCACTTGATTGAGAGATCTTGTTAATTTTGTATTAAAAACCAAACATGTGCTGTGCATAAAACTTCTGCCTCGACTATTTTGTCCGTCCTCGTCCTGGCTCGGTGCCCCCCCCACCCACCCTCTTTTTCACACTCTTGTTTCCCTGGCAACTCCCTTCTTAGCTATACTGTTACCATGGGAACTGAAGTCTTAGAGGCAGGTATTTGTTGTCTCTATGACGACGGTGGAACAGTGAAGAGACGTGGCGCCCCGGCTCACAAACCTTGATTCATCATTTTATTTTTTTCCCTCTGGGTCAAAGGTTACAGAGCACACACACTAGCATATGCATGACGACCCCCCCCCCCCCCACAGCAGTGATCGATCACGGACACAGATGGCTCGATCGATTATCACGCTCATCATCAAGACTCATTACCCGTCGCTCGCTCATACATCACCCCCATTCACTCCCCCGTCATCGACGGCCCCGACACTTCCTCACTTCCAGTTATCGACGTGTTAAAAACACGCCTCATGACCTACAGCATACGCCAGTGTTTCAGTAAAAACATTTAAAAAATCAAAAACAAGTACATCGGTTAGCTCAAAAAGGGAAGTTCCTAATTCTTCTAACACTCTCAAAGCTTTGACTATACACAAGATCAGCACCGTCACAGGGCGTCTATGGTGAGATAACAGAGGAACATCCACTGGGGTGCATTCACATCGCCTTGAGATAGATATATATCTATCTATATCTATATCTATAGATCTATATATAGATAGAGATATATATATCTATAGAGATAAATATCTATATCTCTAGATATAGATATATCTATATATCTATATATATAGATATATATACGTTAAGCTACATGTTAATATTCCAACGAGTGCTTAGTATGTTACGAGTGTCTTTACAGTCTTAATGCTTCTTGAATACACCAACACATTTCCAGTTTTGGACTATTCAGCTCATATAGACATACAGCATGTGATTGTGTTTATGTGTGTGTGTGTGTGCGCGTTTGTTTCCAGTAACAAAGTGTGTGACAACCCGGTGGTGTGGTACAGTGGGCATTCGTTCAAGTGAGTGTTCGATCGACTGTGTGTGTGTGTGTTTATATTCAGTAGTTATCCTATTTTTCTTCCTTCTTTAATTTTTTTGCATGTACGTTAATCCGACCAATCGTTCTCTTCCAACTCGGAGTCGTCCTCGGAGTCGGAGTACTCCACGGCGATGCGCCGGGAGAGGATGGTGGCCACGTCGTTTCCTACCGGCTCCCTCTTTGCCTGCTGTTCCTGCTGCTCCTGCACCTTCTTCAGCTGGATGCCTGCAGGAAAACATCCAGATGGGTATTTTTTGTAATTTATTGTAATTACCTCTAGAAATAAGATATAACTAAGTAACGAAAAAGCTCTGTGACTTTCCGCATCGCCGTTGCGTTGAAAATCTGCGTCCACAACACCCCCACCCCCCCTTTCAGTCAGTGTCAGCACATCCTTTAGATCCCTTTGTAGTGATGCAGGTATATGACTTGTGAATATTGTATTATATAGTTCCTCTCAATCTTCACTTATAACCTGCTAGACTAAATCCTGAATATTAATACAAATATTTAATGTTAATACAAATGCACACTGTTCTACACACACACACACACATCCAGATGGCACATGTTTATGAGCACACACATGGACACACTAGAGCCCTTACCCATACGTATGGCAGCCAGCAGATCACTGCGCGCATCGGCGACCGCTGAGGTCTCAGCGGGAGTGGAGGAAGACATCTTCCGGGTAGTGGAGTGGGAGGCGCCGGCCGGAAGGGGTGGAGGTGGAGGACCGGGGGGAGGCGGAGCGGCCTGGGCTCCGCATAGAGGTGGTGGAGGCAGAGCGAAGCCCCCGGCCATTTGCCCGAGAGGCATTGGACCCCCGGGGGGCGAGGCAAATGCCGTTTGGGCAGAAGGGATGAGAGGGGCTGGGGGGGGAGGAGGAGGACCCGTGTTGGCGTAGCCATCCATACTTCAAGGGGCAGAAAACAAGAGAGAATTGTCCGAGGTTAAAACAAACGAGAGTGTAATTAGTCTTTTGATATGAATAAGTCCAGTCATCGGGGTTTGAGAGTCAAGCAAAGGGCCACTAGAGGGCAGCATCGGGTCAAAACTCATACATAATATAAACGTGTGCACAAAGACGTGAACAGTGAACAGCTGTGAGGGACAGCGAGAATTTGAGTGGACATTATGTCCTTCACCTCGACGGCCAACTGCTGCTGCTTGAAATACAACTTTTAGAGGCTGCTAGGAAAAAGAAAACCTTCAATAGACTCCATCTTAAACTTGTACCTGTAGTCCATCGGTGGGAGGGACATGGAGCCACCGTTCATAGCCTCGGCGGGTGGAGGAGGCAGCGGGACTTGGTGGTGGTGGGAACGCCCCAGTGTCCCGCCCTGGTAGCCCAACATGGCCCTTCCCCTCATATCGTGTTCACCTCCGCCACGAGGGGCGTGGCCAGCCGCGGCCATCTGGGCGGCCAGGACGCTCGGCGGGGGGCCGGAGTAGGTGTGGGCGTGGCCGGCGTGGTTCATCATGTTGGGGTAGTGGTGTTGATCGGGACCGTGAGCCCTGATGGAGACAGCGTAGTGCGAGGAACGATGAAGACGGGAGGGGTGGAACACTGAACATTACCGTTCGCTGGGCAGATACAATGAGAAATAAAGGGAAATGGCCGACCTGTTCTCTGGGGACATGGAGCCCTCGGAGGAAGCCCCCCTGTCGCGGTGTATGGTGTGACGGTGGTCCGGCCTCAGCTCTTTATCCAGAGCCATCATGTTCCACTCCTGCCGACGGTTCCTCGCCTTCCGGACCTTCTTCACCTCCCTCTGCAACGTCCCATCCACACAACGCCTCTGCTCCTGAGAGACAAGCAGGGGAAGGGCGGCATTTTAATCAGTTACAGCGCTGTTTTAAATATGAACTAGATTGGACAGAATAGCACCAGTTTAAGGTGGCCGGTAGCAAGAGCTCCACAACGGTGTGTACACCACATAACATGATCTGCAAGCTCCTCGTCAACACAGTGGTACCTTCTGCTTCCTCTTCTCTTTCCTTTTATCCTCCGTGTCCTGCAGCATCTTCTCCTTCCACAAGCTGAAGAAGTAGGCGGGGTCGGTGTAGAACTTGAGCGCTTCCTTGTTGTCATCCCTTCGGAAAAAGAGACAATAAGAATTACACAGGCGCACTAATCTCTTTGTGCAGGAACATGCAGGATACGCCTGTGGGAAGGATACGTTGGGTATAAAACATCTGAAGCTATGAGTATTGCAAAAGTGAAAGAGACTGATGGGGGAGAACAGGGGTGACATGTTGAGTGGGCACCACAATAGAACTGTCAGAGGGGACAGAAAGACCGGATGAAGAGGGATGAAAGTGTGCAACGTGATCACGGTTAGGAGTCGGATCCCCACCGGAGCTGCTCATGCTAAATACGTGATGCACCCAGAGTATTAAAAAGTACACTTTGGATATAAGTAGCTCAGGGAAAGGATACACAATCTGCCATGTCACTGTGAATTTGGGTCAGAAGCGAGGAGCCAAAATCAAATCTAGAACAAGGGACGACTTTGAGTATTACTCTCAAAGTTACAAAGTAGAATACATGGTTTAAACTTGACAAGCGTTTTTTGTCTTTCACACCTTAAAAGCAAATCGTGTTCAAACAGAGGCCGCTTGTGTCCCACCTGTAAGATGAGAGGATGTTGAGTGGCGGAGGCTTATCACTCAGGTTGTATATGTCCTTCACAGGATTGGGCACGCTGCTCTTGGACACCACCTGCTGGTCCTGAGTGGTGGAGCTCTTGAAGGCTTTCCTCATGTTGATGTCCTGTAGGGAAACTGAGAACAACAACAACAACAACAAAAGGTCAACAAGTCGGTAAGAATGGCAGATGAGGGGCGACTCCCCGGTGTTCCTCTGCCCCACCTTCTTCCACGGTGGAGTCCAGCTGCGTGACCTTGACGGCCAGCCGGTCGATGCGGTCCTGCAGGGAGTTGGCGCGCAGATAGAAGGTGTTGGCCTCGTTAAACAGCTCGCCGAATATATCCTCTGCATGCTTGCCTGGGGAAAAAGGCGCAGCGGAGGGACGAAAAAGGGACAGGAAATGTGAGAGAAAGAAGGACCCTGGTGATCGATGATCGAAGGCCTGAGGGTCCATGAGCGGAAGTGAACCACAATAAAAGCTGTTAATCCAGGGTTTATGGAACTACAAACCTCCGGCCCTGGGGGGTCTAAGGCCGAAGTTAATAAGTGTAAATGCCTTTTTTATTAAAGAAACAGCTAAACTGGGTAATAACTATAAATGAAAATACAAATAAATGCGTCCTCTGGATGTAAACGGTTTAAAGCCTGTAGACTGTGTGTAAACAGCTTTTTGTGTCCCTCCTCCTGACAGGATGGGCCGCAGGGAAAACATTTAGAGGAAGGAAGAATCACAGATCCGGCACGCTGAGCCGGGTCAACTCTGACCCCTCCATGTGCACAAAGACACGCACAGTGCCTGTAGTCTTCAGACATACCCCAACAAGCCCGCCTGGGCATTTATATATAGCTCCCACAGCTGCTGCTGAAGGCCCCCCTCCCAACGCAGGAACTTGACACAATGACAGACAGAATGGGTGTGAATGGGCCAAAATGTACAGGGTCAACAGCAACACCAGAGAAAATGCTCTAGGAATGCGGAGTGAATGAGTTTAACCGAGGGTGAATGGGTGAAGGGTGAATTTCAAAATACAACACACACACACACACTGGCACACGCACTCACACCGTTTTTATGGTTTATTAAACAAGGACATGGGTAATGGGTGGGGAGATAGAGGTCCTTGGTAACGTAAATACATATTTTGAATGAGTGAGCATAACAATCAATATGAAACAGTCCTGTACGCAAATACTGTTAACATACACCCCTCCAGTCATCCATGCAAACACACACACACACACACACAGCTGTCCACATAAGTTCCAGTTGTGCAGAGCCATCTACAAGGATTACATTTAACCAGTCTCCCGATA